AATTCCAGGAGAGTTGCATAAATCATATACAGATCAAATAGAGTATAAAATACAGATGATACAAAGCAAAATAATAGCTATTATACCCCATAGTAGAGTACGACGCGGAATTTTTAACGGATTAGGTTCTTTAGTAAAAACAGTTACAGGCAATCTAGATTACGATGATGCAGTAAAAATAGAGCAACAAATTTCTAATCTCAATAATAAAATACATTCTATACAAGAAAAATCTATTGTAATAGCTCAAAAGACTATTGCAGAATTTGCGAATCAATTAGATAAGATAAATCAAACTCAAAATAGGTTAAGTTTAATTATACAAAATATAACGCAGCATTCTAATATAGTATTTAGGCAGTTTAGTTTATTACAAGTTCATATACAAATAGATTTTAGTTTACAGTTAATATTAGATAAGCTAATGATCTTAGAAGACGCTATGGCATTCGCACAAATAGGTATCATGCACCCCAGTGTAATAAATACTAAAAACTTAATTATTGAAATGTTAGATATGAAACGTAAATATAGCTTCAATCCCGTGGCACCGATCTATCTAGAAAATATTCACGAAATAGAAAAGTCTATAGAGGTTAAAGCTTATAGTACAGAACAATCATTAAATTTCATTTTAGAAATACCCTCAGTAGAAACAGCTACCTATGACCTTATCCATATGTATTCTATTCCTAACAAAGACAACCTTACCATTATTCCCAAATCCAAATACCTAGTACTTGGAAAGGGAGAGTACACGTACATAGATGAAGATTGTCGCAGCATCACCGAAGACGTACACATCTGCAAGCAGTTGTTACTGAAATCCTTACAAGACGCTGGAGATTGTATCACAGCAACTATAGAACATAAAATCAACCACGAATCTTGTCCATACGCAAAAATGATGATAAAGAAGGGAAAGTTACAAAATATTAGTCCTAGTAGCTGGCTTCTTATCACCAACACTCAAGAGGTCCTGAAAGCAACATGTGGTACTGAAATAACGTATCACACCCTCAACGGAGTACATCTCATCGCAATCCCCAACGAGTGTTACGTGCAAGTTTTAAATAAAACTCTACAAACTCATAGCAATACTGTAACCATTGAAGACATTATTCCATTACCAAAGCAGGAGGCAATAAGAACAGATGAAATTCAAGCAAAAATACAACTAGAAGACATCTCCTTAGACAATATACATGAACTCATAAAAACAGCGCATTATATACAAGATGATGTGGATAATAATGAGACTTTCATATCACTAAAACCAAGTTGGACTACCATCGCCCTATACCTCCTTGGGTTAGGCTATTTGAGCTGGAAATTAATTACATATATAACTACCCGAAGGAAGAAGATGGCCGCAGACCAGATTGCTAGACCATCCCCGCAGAAGAACAGCGAGACGCGGTTCTATCTAAAGGAGGAGGAGTTACCATGGCGTAACGCCTGGTAAATTGCTGTGTGTGGCACAATAAGCTGACACCGCTACCAGGAACAGCAAATTACCACGAATCGGCACCTAACACCAATTATTAATTGTTATATTTTTACAGCAGTCTTGTTCGATCTTTAGACATAATTACACTTTTTGTACTTTAATAATTTAATTTGTTTTAATTAAATAAAATATATTTTTAAAAGGCAAATATCGCCCGCCGTAACATACGTACAGTTATACAGTTTTTCATATAAAGTACAATGAAAAATATATAAAAAATATTTTTGTTAATACCACAGTTAATACAGCAAGATAATAATGGATAATAAAAATCGGAAACATCACAACATGCGCTTTAAGATCTCATAAATATCGTAACCCTTAGTTAATCGTGCCGCTTTTATGTCAACAACATGTTACTTGTAAGTGGTGGTCTTGTCTTTACATCAGTAAACTCACTATATTATGTACACATTACCTATGTTGAAGTAAAATTATAGATTTAATCAAATTGCTTAACGCCCAGCTAAATTAATAAAACTGTTTGATATAACAATCGTACTCGTAGATATAGGTATATACAATGCTTTGGATTAATCAGTCGGATTATTCATCATTATGTTATATACTAGTACACGGCCTAGAATTTCCCTGGCGCCCATACTTTTCGTATCTTCATTCTGTAACTGTGTACTGTACTGTAATTTTTACTTAAAGAAATATTTTTTCCAATCATTGCAATGGAATTTAAGTGTAATAAAGTCACTAGTTCCCGTTACTAACATAGTCGTCTCAAACTCAATTAACTACTAGGTACAAGCCCGTGATTTATTTTTAAAATAGGTATAGCTAGCCATTATGTAAAGCGGCAATTTCTATAAATTGACTGCTACATGTAGATATATCCCAAAGATCAAGTGCGGTGCAATAGAATCGATGAAAAATCATTATTGCATAGCATAAAGCGCGCGATTCCAGATCATAACCATCTGCAGTGCGCAAGCTTGGTTGCAATTTGAATTAAACCGTCATTAAATATGCTTTAATAAAGATTAATACCACTAAAACTACATTTTAAATAATCGCAAGAATAGAGCCAATTAATGTATCGAGAACAGAAATCGATAATATTGATAATTTTGCAGTAATAAATGTGTTTTATGTTGACCTAGTAGGCATTCTATGGACTAGAATTGCGACTTGCATATAGGTATGGAGAAATGTATGTTCTTAGAACTATAAATAAAGTGAAGTAGGTATACCATATAATTTAGTTACTGCACCAAAGCTTTAGAATTAGAAGCTTACTACTCGTAGTGGGGAGGAAGGGTTATAAGTAACGGCCTAGAGTAGCGGTCCTTTTACATTTGCCCCATTATTAGAATTGTATCATGTCAGATTGAACTCGACGAGATCTTCCCTTGAAATCCTGCTGATGAATTCGCCACGAAGGCTGATGCTTAACTAACTTCCTCATTCCATTATAAGCCACTGGTGCCCCATCAGAGTATATAGCTAGTATAGGCGAAGCCTATGTGCAATATTCAGTCATTATTAAAAAAAACAACTCGTAGTAGGTATTTGTACCTACCTAAAAAAACCAGATATTACATAGCAATTGTAAAGAAATATTAAAACAATATTTTAGATGGCATTGATTTTCTGTGGCTTACTATGAAAGCCAATAATTTAGTTTAAAAATTATCTTATACGCAAAAGGGTTTATCAAGAATCATACCAATAATTTCATTAAGCTAATTAGGTTTCAGGACAGTATGTATTTTACAGGAATCTCAGGGACAACAACTCGAAATTGCAGTTTAAAACTTACTCCATTAAAGGACGATCGAAGACAAGGAAGGGTTCTCACTAGTCGCCGGTAACGGCAATTCATGCGCGGCGGCCACTTTGATCAATATTTCGGCCTTTTCAACAAGTTCGAAATATTTCTCTGGCATTAATGAGACAAACTGACGTCGACAGCGGCCGTTTTACAAGCGTATGCCTTAAGAGATGGACATCGAACTAATGACCGCTTTCCATCAGGTGGGCCGTCAGCTTCTTGTTTGCCAATCCTGTCACATTAAAAAACGTACTTAAAAATGTCGTACCTACTTTGTAATAAATTATGTTTGTGAATAATGATGTTTTTCCCATAAAATCATTAATTTTATAGGAACCATCATTATCTAAGTACAAGTGTAGTAAATACCAGTACAATAATAATAGATATAGCTACTTACAAAAGTTAAATAAACATACCCGAATAGTTTTCTGAAAGAGAAAGGTTCTATGTATTTTCTTTGTGTATACTTTTATATTCTTTTTGGTATTGATATGGTTTATTCTCGTACTTGTAGGTACCACAAAATTATTATTTTGTCGTGGGTTTATTATGTAACAAATGAACACCGCAATATCAAAAACAGAATTAGAAACCATTTATCCTTTCTTTTGGGAGTCAGTTATAAATGGATTAAACATTCATAATGTAGAAGTCCTTTGTCATGATTAGTTCTTGACTATGTATACACTAACAGCAGTGAAGGTGGTAAATCGTAATAAATAAACGAACAAAATGGAAACCTTATATCACATGTCCTTTACAATATCACCAGAAGAATGATTGTATAGATATTAATTTACCTAAGTCACTTGAATTCTTTGGTATCTAATTTTAATAATATATAATGGATAGCGTAACCACTGTTTTGTTAATAATTACATGTTCATGAATATGCAAAAAATATTTTATAAAAAGCAACAAATGTTATTGTATAAAGAGTTACTTCAACTATCGATTATATTCAACCCTTCCGTAACTATTAAAGAACAAAACTTTGATGCTTTAAGTTCTTTCCGACACCTATTTTAATGGTTTAATATGAATATGCAAAAATAACAATTAGGGTAATCAATATCCATCGCCCCAATATATTGGCATTGATCTCAAATAAGAGCCGAATCATCCTGCAATCATTATAGTAACAAAACCATTTTTTCTCCGTTTGACGAAGTAACTATCTAAGGGTATTGCCATTATAGGGTTGGATTCTATGCACCTGGTATAACGGTGACAAATACGGTCTGGGAACACTTAAATGCATTCTAAAAATCGCAAACTCAAATGCCGGTAGGTACTAAACGCTACATTTATATAAACCTATTTGGATTCATTTCAAAGAAACAATAAGGTCAATCCACGAGACTGTTCGTTTTTCAAATTTTGAATAATAACTAAGAATAAAATAATATCTCGCTCCTATGTCGTATGGGTGACATTTTACTTTGCGACTGATCTAAATCCTTTTTATACAATATCACACTTTGTCGTCTACTCGAATTTATATTAACTGTGACGAGAAATATCTTAAAGTGAGGTTTAATATTACACTGTATAAATTAGTACAAAATCAGCCGTCAACGCAATACCAACGCCGACGAATTCATTATAAAAAAAATTGCGATTTAAATATCGATATAATTTATTATTACAATTGTTATTATAGGTAGGTATTATATTGTACTAGGTTTTAAATAAATCTATCAGTTACGTATCAAAAACGGATTTATTTGTAAATATCAAAAAATTACATGCACTTCAAGCATAAATGCATAAGTATTTTTTACAATAATACTTTTTCATACTTCTCATACAGACCATCAAGTTATCAACATTTATTCAATTGCGTAGACATCAGGCCATTATTAAGAATCTATACATAGTTTTTAATTTATTTGCTTTAGATAATGTAACTTAGTAAATATAGTAAAAAGTAAATATTACTATTGGAAAAAAATAACATTGTGACAAGCTGCCAGTGTGTACCACTACCTAAATGTAACACTGTTATTTTTTTAATGAACATACAAATATTATATTACATTACAGTTACATTATAGTAAAAATACATGATATGAAGCAAAACATTTGAAATAGCAACTTATTAAAATAAAATATTGTCCAGTTTTACTTGACAATTATTTATAATTTTGAGATCCAATCTTGCAACGCCTTGATGTCTGCGGGCGCATCATCGTCGCCAGTATTAGCTGAACATTCAGAAACATCCACGCGGCAACCAAGGTGAGAGAATTCAAAATCCTTTCCCAATTTGCCGAGATATGTTGATTTGTTTGACTGAGATGGATCAACTGATTGCAGCTGACTGGACTTCGTAACTCGCACCAGGTTGCTAAGATACAAAACAACTCAATTATGATGACAATATAGAAAGTCAGGTAAGGTAGTTACAGGCAAATTACAGTATATGAGACATGACTTCTTAATTCTCTGGACTAGCCACACATGAGAGGTTCCCCATTTGTAAAATGATGTTTATGTATACAGGCGCCAGTTACTGCTTACTATAAGGTTGGCCATCAGCTTGCATAGCATTCCAGATATACATAAAAGACTAAAAAAATCCAATGAGTTGTGGTGGATGTTGGCTACTATTAAAAGATGTGCTTTTAGGTAGTACAATATATGCATAACCTGTCAAATACCATTAATCAAGTATTTATGTAATAACAAGTCCATAAAAAATATTCTTTTTCAATTTGAAAATTAATGTAGTCAGTGTATGTCTTGTTTCCTATGGCATTCATATGGTAATGTAATGTAAGCAAACAAATTTAAATTTGTGATTTCTGGAGTTTATAATAGTTTAAGATGTAAACATACATAATATACTCACATTTCTTTTTCAAGCAGACTCTTAATGACTTGACTTCCTTTGGCCAAAGGTTGATCTTGTTTATTGCACAAAATCAAAATTGATGGGGTGTTACTTTGGATTACAGAATCTGATAGAATGGTGTATAGATACCTGTAAATTAAATAAGTGAATTTTATTAAAATTGTAACATTTGTTTGTAGTGATTAGATACTGTATGTAAGAAATAACTAATATTATTCTTAAGTAGGCTGAAATAATAAACAAAGTTATGACTATTTTAAATTTTTAACATAGTATTCTTTTATCTTATTTTTTAACTAAAGAATGCAACTTTTGTGACTTTGTGTGTGTGTGTATGTTGAGAGCAATATTAAAAAAATTTAAAAAATCTCTATTGAAAAGTTTATAAGTCATTCCACCCAATTATAGTACCTTACCAAATAATTTGGAAACAATTCTGATCAAGAAATATAAGTTAGGCACTACTAAAATTAAACAATCAGTATGTACAGAGAAAAAACTTTCCTGAGTAAGGGATATGATGTCTTACATCTCTTATAATGTGCTTAGGAAAAGAAGCATATATTCAGAACACTTACTCAGCAACATCCCTTATTTCCTTCTGTATTGTAACAGAATCTATAACATAAACAATAGCTTTGGCACTATTCTTGTATTGATCAAAAAATTTATTACGTAATCTTTCTTGACCAGGCAAGTCTACAATCCGAAGAGAATTCTGTAAAAAAATTAACAATTTGTGAAAACATAGTTACAGGTTTAATATTCTAGATTGCTTGCTTGTAATAAGACCACATTAAATTGTCAATACAATTTGTCGAATAGTTAGTATAATAAAGAGTTTATAACTAAAATAATAATATAAACTAAAAGTAAGAACCCATATTAAAATTATAATTGTCAAAATATTCACTGTTTGTCTGTTAGTTTTATGACTAAATGATACAAGGGATCTTAATGAAATTTTACATGACAATAGATTGTACCATGAGGACAGACATAAGCTATCTTTTAGTTTAGTTTTGTCACATCACTATTGCTCCATTTCATAACCAAGAAAATTATAAATCAATCGGAAGCAACACTTACATTAGAAGTTATGTACTCTTCAACATTTTCCTTCATTGAGGTGAATGTTTGCCTGAACTGTGAATATGCCAACCTTACATATAGCAAAGTTTTACCAGAATCGGAAAGGCCAGTCAAGAGCACAGATCGCCGCAAATGACGTCTACGTGAGAAACACCACCAGAAAACTGAAAAGTATTAAATAATAATTATAACTAAATCAGTACTTACATTCAATAATAAATTGACGATATGTGACCAAATTAAATGTTTACTTTTAGAATTGCATTTAGCAACAATTTAGATATCTAGTATATCAAATAGATAGCGTGTACATATGCTAATACAATGGAAAACTTACTTAGAGTAAAAACAAGAACAATTAAGCTAAGTAAGGTTATGTATCGAGGGTCGTTCAACATCGGCTCTGTTTGAATCTTTTCTTTAATGACCTCTGATTCCATTTTAAAAAGTAATTTAAATTTGAATTATAAAATACGTAGAAATACTGGACTGTAGCTGAATATTTTGAGTTTATGTATATCTCAATTCTCAAAAAATACCAATGTCCATATGTTAACAAGTTTTGTCATTTTGTCAAGTTCGACTTTGATTGCTTTACTGATATTGATTGATGTCAGTAGCTATGTCGGTACATAACGTTTACATTACCATGCATAAAAAATATACTGTAAAAATAATTTGATAGAACCGCAGCAGTATGATGTAAATATGTTAGATGACAGTTAATATTATACTTTAAAGTATATTGAATTAAATAGTTTTGTATAATGTAGCTGGACAAATATTTCGTTTGCATTGTGTTTATGAATACTACTGCATTAAGTACCAATCCAATACATAAAACTAATGTCAATTTTCGAATATTGATTAAAAATACAATAGATCATTGTCATTTTTTCTATATCATTAAGAACTCTCTAATTCAAAATGAAACAAATACATTTTTCGTTCTTAGCAAATATTATCCTTTGATTTGACATTAGACTTCTTCTTCTTTTCTTCTATGGCAATAAACAGTAGACTTCCATCCGTAAGTCATTTATGTCAGTCGTTGCTGTCATCCATCAGATGTTCGTTTCAGCTCAGGATTTCAATTTTGTTTATCAATATATAAGAAAACATTTTTAACATATAATATAAACATTAAACGAAACAAGCAGCCTTAATAATCTCTGTTCAGATATGTCTTTTCGTTTTAATTTTTCTTGTAATAATGATGACAAATCCGACCACGACAATAATTCAAGTAACCTGGCATTATTTTATAAACTATTATTACAATGTTCTTTACATATATTTTATGTTATGTACATATTATATACTTTATTTCAGTTAGCAAAGTTGCCGAAGAAATTGAATGGCTAGAAAGTGAAGAGGTTATCTTAAGCGACCAGATTGAAGAAATTGACAACATGGTGAAACGAGCAAAAATCTTTATATGTGGCGATATTGAAATTGGTCATGTTTTGGCTAATGAAGCTATGGTCAATATCATGACTGAAGATGGTGATCAAAATGCTACAGAACTAGCAGAAAATAATCATAGTGACTTAATTAGTGGTAAATATGAAGGTATGAGTTATATTGTATACATACAATAGTTTTCTCTATCTTTCATGCATAATTATGCTGAAACACAATTCTTCTAATTTATATAACATGTAGTATATTGACCAGAAATAAGTTGATATAGATGTGTTTCTTCACAATAACTAAAAATAATGTCCTTGTTTTTCTTTTTATTTATATAACCACCTGTGCTAAAGGTATATGTTGATGAGGCTTCAGTGGAGGATGATAAAATAGGTGCGTGGTCAGCTCCCATAATAGACAAGATCACAAGGAATTAATAATGTTACTAATCTCCATAACAAACAATCCCACACTCTTTTCCTACACAGAGGTAGTAAATATTGATATAAATTGACATTGATTTTAGGGGGTTTAAAAATTTGGGAATGCACAAATGATTTAATAGAATATCTAAGTGAAAACATAAATAAAAGTCTATGGAATGAAGCAAATGTATTGGATTTAGGTTGTGGTGCTGGTCTCTTGGGAATTTATGGATTTTTAAATGGTGCATATATTACATTTCAGGACTATGTAAGTACTTAAAAAACTTATTTAGATAGACAAAGATTACAAGCACCATCTAAGAAATCTATACTTTTAATTGCCTTCTGACTTGAATTGACTGCTGCCTTAAATTTCAGATTGTTATTATTTATGTATTTAGTAAAATTATTTATTCATATCCTATAAAAGTTTTCACTTATCTTCCAAAATTTAATTTTATCAAGCTCATTATAATGACAGATGTCATATAAAATATTCTTTGTTTTTACAGAATAGAGAAGTGTTAAAATATGTTACAATACCTAATGTGTTATTAAATATTGAAGAAGAAAAGAGAGAAGTTGATATCAGAAAATGCAAGTTTTATTGTGGAGATTGGGGATCATTTAATAAAAAACTTGGTAATTGTACATTATTTGACATAATTTTAACATCAGAAACTATTTATAATGAGGACAATTATGACAAACTAATTGAAATATTTTTACAAAAACTAAGTAAAAGTGGGTCGGTATATGTTGCGGCAAAAACATACTATTTTGGTGTGGGAGGTGGAACTAGAGGATTTGAGAAAAAAATTAAGAACTCTGGATTATTAAAATCTGAAGTCTGTTGGAAAAGTGCAGGAGGTATCCAAAGAGAAATACTAAAAATCACCCATAAATTATAACAATAAACCTTTATTACTTACATAATATTATTATTACATGGAAGACTTGATTTCATGGATATAACTTAATTATGGTGACAATCTCTCGTAAACCCAACCATCCTCTCCTTCATGTAAGAGTTTCCCATCTGGTACCTCTCCTTCTTTCAATTTCCTAAATTTAATCCTATCATGCAGTCGATCTCGTTGACCTTGCCAAAATTCTATGGCACGAGGTCTAATTATGTATCCACCCCTACAAAAATTACAAATAGGTTAATTAAATAAATGCATAATAATTGATAATTGAACTCATTGATACATATCACTATTATTAATTCATTGTTTTACAAGGATTGAAAATAACTTGTCATTGATATAGTTCAAGGTATTGCAAATAACTAAAAATCTTAATATTGTTAACCAGTACATACACATACTACACTGGGTTCTGTACCATAATAATTACAATTTTTATCCCATGACTTATTTGTTATCATAAAAATGATTATTTATTGGAATATTAACTATTCTTATTATCTTTATTTGAAAAATTAAAAATGAATAAGTCTGCTAATTATTGAAGAATTTTACCAAAATTCTGGTTTTGGAATCTCCTTCTCAGGAATCATATATTTAGCCTCTAATATTTTTTCCCGTTCACAAAGTACATCTCTGGATTCAATTGGAGTGCTCTGATAGCTAGCACAGGCTGCTATCTGACTGGGAACTGGACGTGAATGAAAATATGTTGTTGAATCCTCTTCAGACAGTCTTTCTACATGACCTTCAATTCTAATTGACCTATTCAGTACCTCCCAATAAAAAGTTGCTGCAACATTAGGGTTTTCTTGCTGAAAAATATATTTATAAATGAAATATATTTAATGATATAAAATAAAAATTTAAATATTCAAGTTTTATTAAATGTGAATATTACTAACCATTTCTTTTGCTTTCCTGCTACCATGGTTGGTGTAAAACTTATAGCCTTCTTTTCCATATCCTTTTAATAAAACAAACCTTGCTGAAGGAAAACCCTGTCTATTGATAATAAAATCTCATTAACTTTTCTACATGGAATACATCTATATTAACACTAGAATTATAAACAAACTGAGTACCTATACCATTAGGAAACATGTAGCTCTTATCTATATTACTTCAATTATGAGTTTATCTTAATGTTATCAGTCTGCAAAAGAGAATCCATACAAACAATGATGTAAGCTTGATATTTAAAGTGCCAAATAAAATTTGTGCTTCACTAAAATAGAAAACATATATTACAGAATGTAATAATAAAGTCCAGCATATATAATAAATATATACTTACTTTGAGACAGTAGCTAAACACATGGCATTTGGCTCTAAAATTTCTTTCCTTGAGCAAGCTTCATCAAACCATGCTTTAAACTGCCCGAACGGCTCTTTGGAAACCAAATGTTTCTCCAAAAATGTATTATCTTTATCCTTGTATTTGATTCTCATTCCTATAATATTTTAAATTATAATTATTTTATTAAGGTTTAAAATTATTATAAATACATTAAACAGGCCAATAATTACCTCCAATATCGATACTCATTTTTTTCCAATATAATTTTTCAAGTAAATAATAATTTGGTAATCGTTTAATCATATAGGCACAAAATGATGGTGATCTGTCGATTTCATTAATTAACTTCTTAGGTGACCTTAGTGAGTCGATAACTGGAGTTTACTAGAGTGAACAGTAGAAATGATCATTACTTTAGGACGATCTTATAGATAATTTCATTTCGTATAAATTAGAAATAAATTAAATGTACACAAGTTTTGTACAAATAATTGATGTTATTCGTTCTGTCAGTCTCTATTGTCAGTTTGTTGCACAAATAAGAATACTATTACATAGTTCAATCTCATAGTGATAACTTTCTCTTTGGAGTAGGCTACTTGGATCAATTAATATGATATTATTCCCTATTTGGTTATTAAATTAATAATAAATAAGGGCAATAAATATTATGGGTCCTGCCCTAGGGTAGTGGGTAAAATTTTGATGTCCGGAGACATTATATGATCTCTATCCGACAGTGTAGCTCTACCGCCTCCTCGCAGTTGATTCTCTGGAAACCATTGTGATGAATTCGTAGTAAATTTGCTAAGATGGGCTAAGTGTCCGACCTCATGATTATCGTATTATCCACCCATGGTGCCATACCAAAGTAAACTGCTGGAGCAGGCAGATACAGCATTACATTGTCATCGATTAAACATTAGTACAACAATCGTCCTTGATGGCAGTTGATTTTAAAAAATCAATGTGGTATTTTATTACTGGACATTAGTAGTAATAATATCTGAAAAAAAAAACAATAAAGGAGTTTCCTATAAATTTTAAAATTGCACATAAAAATATTTCGGACGAAAAGCCGTAAAATACGTATTTGGAAAATAAAATTTAGAAGTTTTGATATCATTGTACTGTCAGATTCAGTATAGAAATAACTTCAAAAATAAAAATGATGGATATTGATAATGCTTTAAGTGAAATTATGTCTAAGGTATCAATTAAATGTTTAGTTGGCAATATTTACTTATTTATATATTGATAAACTAAACGCAACACAGGCGTGAAAGAAGCCGTCGTGTTTGTCGCTCGTACTCGCTCGCTCGTGGATCCCATTCGTGAACTAAATTAACTGAATCGCGCATTTTTTTTAACTTTGTGATTGTACGCACGCGACAATTGAAGTTTATTAAAATATAATATCACTTTTTATAATATATTAAAATTAAAGGAGGTCATAATTAATCGATTTAACCCTCTAAAACAATGACAGACGTTGCGAAGAAGGTAATGAAATTAAATATTTTTACTTACAATGCTTTGTTTGCATGACTGTTCATGCCATGACATATTAACAGTGTGCGTTACTTCAGCTAATTTGTTGTATTTCTGTCTTTTATTTCAACTTCATTATCATATACTAAGGTGAAATTACTGCAAAATAATGTTTGTAAGTTCTGTTTTCATTATTTTATCAAACTATTCTATATTTCTATTTAAGTCAACATAACCTCTTCCTTATTGCGGCCATGAACTGTAATCGGTTTCTATAAACGCTTGTGAGTGTAAGTAGATAAGTTTTATAATAAATATCTGAACGATGCAGGTTCAAGAATATAAAGACTCCCTCAAGCAGAAGGCAGAGCATTTAATTATCAAAGGATTTCCAGAGAAAATAGTAAAGTTGAATGAGCTGTTAGAAACACCCAATTTCCAAAATCGGGATCTAGCTGATGTTCACCAGGTACACTATTTAATAAGATAAATGATGCACAACAATGTTTACTGCTATTACTTCAAAATAGATTTGACAATATTTAGTTGATTTTCAATCTTCCAATTTGGCCACATTGATTAATACTGAATACACTAAGACAAATTTTTGATAAAGTAATAAATGTTATGAATCATAGTTTTTTATATTCTGAGTTTGTGTTAGTATAAAGTAGAAAGGTAAAACAATAAATGTGTATGCTCTCGATATAAATACACATTGACATAAACACATCAGTTTAGATGAGAGTTTGAAATTATAGATGTATTACATCAATGTTTTGAGAAAAAAGTTGTCTTGTATATTTTATTTTATTTAGTAATGTAATGTATTATATATTATTATATGAATAAAATAACATGGTCTCATGCCATAATAGTCAGTGAACTATGTGCATAATGTCTATCAATTATTTATAGTCATTAGGGGGTTATAATATCATGAAATAATCACAACTACATTGATATACATTTTTGAAGCTAATGATAGCATTTTTTTTTTAAGGATTTAAACATTCCAGTACCACCTCCAGTAGCAGGTTTGAATGAGCCAAATGCTAAGCGTGCCCGTCTGGACTCTTCAGAGGTATCAAGCAATACTACAATAGAGGGCACAAAAGTGTATGCTTTACCAAATGGCACAGTTCCTTGTAATAAGCCTCTTAGTGACTTAATACATCTTGTTAAGCCACATATAAGGGAGCTAGTAGAGGACTCGAATTTGGTAAGTCTTTATAATAATATAACAATAATTAAACTAGTTAGTCAAATGAGGCCATGTTGCATTTTGATGGTGAATAAGGATAAATGATCATAGGATAATAAGTCAATTAATAGAATGACTCCTTGTTGATCTGCTGTTTTATTTCTAATCAAAGCTAACCGATCATTCCCAAATATAATATTTCCCAACTGTTATCTGTATCAAATAAGAAGAATGGGATGCTTCCAATTCTCTAAGGTCTCTATTCTGCAGGTTCAACCTTTTTATATTATATGGATTATTCCTCTTATATTCAATAACTTAAGTTAATTGTAAAATGAAAATATACTGCTCAAGTAAGTAAGTCAGTTTAACCTTGAATTGCCTAGAATATGGCCGGCTTATATATGCCCAATAGGGTTTCATTATAGATCTATTATATTTGTTGTCTACAACAATCTGCAGATTTGTCAGCTAACTCATTACTAAAAACATGTTGCATCACTTTGGGCAGGAAAGTAAATATGAAAATGTGGTTTCATGTTTAGGTACACAAATGTTTCAGTACTCTTATTTCATGAATTGTAATAGAGTTATATATATATATAAACTTAAACCTATGGTAAACTTATACCTATGGTATACAATATTATATTCAACAGATGAAAAAGATTATTTTTATTTATAAATAAATAAAACTATTGTGTATAATTAATAATATATTTCAATCACACAGACTTACAGAATATTTCACTAATTAAATACACTTATTTGTAGCTTAAAATGTGGATCTCATTTATGATCCCTAAAATTGAGGATGGTAATAATTTTGGAGTATCAATACAAGAAGACACACTAGCTGAGATCCAGTCTGTGGAGTCAGAAGCAGCTGCGTTTTTTGACCAAATTTCACGGTACTTCATCTCTAGGGCAAAGATAGTATCCAAAGTTGCTAAATATCCACACATTGATGATTATAGAAGAGCTGTCAGAGTAAGTATTTTTAGTATAACTTATAACTGTTATTAAAGCAATCAATTGATATTCTACCAATGCCCATATGTTACTATTATATTTACATACATGATACTTAGATAGCCCTTTGGGTATGTCTTGTAATTTTATTATAGTAAGATCCTAAACTGTACCATGTAGCAAGCAACTAAATAAATCATTCTTGTTAGGTGACTTGGTAGTTGTTGTATTTTTCATATGTTATGCTACTGTACTGTCAACTTTTAGTAGTGTAAAGATATGGGGTGGATTTGTATTCTTATTGTGACACCACAGGGTACTCAATTAAACTAATTAAGAAGCATTATTAGGGCAAATATTAGGTCCTAGATAGGGTTCATTTACATGTTTTTGTTGTTATTATGAAGTGCTTTTGATAAAATATGAATAGTATCAATGAAAGTTTATCTATGTTTAATATTAAATGCTATTCCAATATCATAAAGTTGAATTTCATTGTCATAAAGTATTATATTTTCTATGAACAGGAGTTGGATGAAAAAGAATATCTATCATTGTGGCTGGTGATGTGCGAGATTCGCAACCGCTACTGTTCCCTGCACGACATTGTTATTAAAAACTTAGAGAAGATCAAGAAACCACGCTCATCTAATGCAGAGTCTTTATACTAGAGTGACCTCAATCTCATTTAGTATCTTTAGTCACATGCAATTATAAGAATAATTCACTGTGAATGTAAGGGTAATTAATACTTTCTCCATCTCATTTTTTATTCACTAGTAATACCCACCTGTAAATATTCCTCGTAATCCCGTGCAGACTGGCCACAGGATCTTTACATTTTTGTATGTTAAATAATTTGACTATAATGTTTTCTTAAATATTTATTTGTACCATTATCCTATATGTGACATATTCAATAAATAATATCATTACTATTTATCAAATTGACAAATAGCTATATGAAAAAAGATTTCATGTTAGTTATATATTATTATCTGTGTATCTTTAAACCTATTTTTAATGAGAGATTTAGCCCGTTTTTTAAATATGCTGGACAATATACATAGACATATATCTTAGGAGCATAAATTATTGAAGTTTCGTAAAATCTAAGCATAGAAGTAAATAATTTATTTAAGAAGTGTTCTTGTTCGAACTAAGTATTAATTTCACACTAAAATTTTAAGTCTAATTTATATTTTGTTTTGGAAGCATCCATATGGAAAATATGCATGAATTTAAAAATTTTTCATGCTTTAATGAGAATATTGCATACAAGAGCACTTTCTAAGTGATTAAAATATTGAACACTATTTCATTTTGAAAATTTACATGTATAAGTGTCACAAGGAAAATGTGAATCCTCTTACAAGTTGTTATTATTTTCTATGTTGGCCAAAGTACTGCTTTCATTGTAGTAGTATTTATTATTATTCATTGTGATTGTTAAATCCATTTATTTATCTAAGCGTTAATTTTACGGCCTACCATTTCATACCATATCAGTTCATGTAGTATATAGTAATTTGCGCAGTGTGCATATAGTTAATTGAATATTCTACTAATTTAATTTTCTGGTGAGTAAAAAATAGATGTTCAGTCATATTGTGGTCTCGTAGCAAGCAGAGAGTAACAATGTATTGTAACATGAGACTGAGTGTTAGATTTTTTTTATTTCATCCTTTTTCCATTATAATTAACTAGGTAAGCATTATATTTTTTTGGATTATGCGGTATCGATAGTGGACTTGCTATGAAACTGCAGTATGTAACGTCACTATCCCAACACTGAGGTTCGGAAAGTACTTGTATTTAGATTGTAATTAAGTGCAAAAATATATTATTGGCGTAATTGTAACAATAATTTCAATATGTGCCCCGAACGAATTAAATGAAAGTGAAATCTAATCTATTATTTAGAAAATTTTAGTTAGGAAGTGCCTATATAGATTCGTATCTACAATTTCCAACTACATTTAAAAGTGATAATGTTTGGCTGTTAGTCAATGTTTAATTAAATATGTACCCAATGTCAATGAAAGTTAAAATACATTTTTATGAATGTGTACGGATTGTTTTAATTATTACTTTCACATTCATTTTTATTGGTTAAATAACTAATTTTATTATTATTTTTAATTTCTATGACTATCTATCGATTTAAAAATCATCTCATGTTTAAAAATCACTACAACGTTTGTGGTGCATTATGAGATTATTTCTAAAGTACATTTTTTATAACATGTTTTCATTATATAAAATTTGCCCCGTATTTTGAAGTTAATAATTTCAGATTAACATTATATAATGACATTATTTGAAGTTAATCTGAAATGATTTCGGATTTATAAAATAAATATACAGTTAGGCATTGCTCGTAGTTACGTGACCTAGAAAAATATTGCATTGCTAAAATTTACATTATGTTATTTAGAGCATAACATTACATTTTTAAAATTATGTAAATTTTAGAATGTCAGGGTAATCAAATCGCATTAATACCATTCTTGTTCTACAACACTTCAAAATAAATGTGTTGAATGGTTGCTTGATAAAGCAATGATAGATACCTACATTCATTAAACAAAGTAAAGCCTTTTGTAAAAGAGACAAAATTTACTTTTCCGACTTTAATATAGAGGACTTTGAACTGATGGACTTATAATAAAAATTTATGTATATAAAATACTAATAGATAATAAGAAAAAATAAAATTGTAATAAAGGAAATGAATGTACAGTTTGCAAATTTAATTATTTAAATCGGTTCAGAATTGTCTAAATTATGCCACATTTGTTATGCTCATACAGATGCTACGCTTATCTAATAGAATTTTGAATATTGCTGAAGGCGGTTGAAAAAAGGTGGTATATTAAAAAAATATAACAACTGGCCGGTTCTCAATTTAACAATGGCGTTTAATTCAAATTTCTTAAAATATTTTGACATTACATTCTTTACATTACGGATTACAAAAAATCACTTATTTTTACATTATTTAATATTAACTTTATTCAAGAATTTTTGTCCACACATGTTTGAGACGGTGGTATAATGGCGACCGACATAGATAAAGGTGATTTCGGTGACTGCACTAATAACAGGCCGCTGATTAATATGAAAATTAAAAATTGTAACCATTTATTCGACGGCTCTGGAGAGAATATACAATACCACAGTGATTCTGAGTCATCGGGGTCGAGAAAGAGTAAAACACGTTACATAAATCCGGCAATATGTATCGAGACGGTCGAAGCGTCGCATTCTGTCACCTCTCTTCAAACTGATTCGTCGTTTGTCGACGATGTTACGCCCCATCCGCATAGTACGTATCGCAGTAATTCCACTCCGTTCCTTAGTAGTCGCAAATCGAGTGATTCTTCAGGTAGTATACAGAGAAAGTCTTGTCGGTTAATGAGAAATGAGAATTATCAGGATGAGGACGACGACGGGGATATAACACCTAGGAACGATCGTACCTACCGTGAAGAAGGTGCCGATACTTTTAGGTTATCAGTATCTTCCATATCGACCACCACTACAGCTAAGGAAGAGCGGGAACGACATGAGAAAAAGAAACAAGAGGCCTTTCAGCAATGGTTAGCACGGAAGGAACAAGAGGTAATTAGTTTTGATTGTGTGCATGTATCCGTAGAGTTATGCGTAACCACGAATCCTGTTTTGTAACTTTTCCTGCTTTATCTCGCCTTTCAACCGAAACACATCTTAAAAAGTAAGCTACTTGACGGCTGTAATAGGTAAAAGAAGGATACCTTTCTTTTACCTATTTCAGCCGCCAAGTAGCGTGATTTTATTTAGCATCAGGCTAAGTTAAAATTGGAAAAAGTGAAGCGTCGAGTTGTACCGGTCATCACACCGGAGCAGCGTGAAGAGTCATTCCGTCGTTGGTTGGAGCGGAAGAGGAAACAGTCTGAACACCAGCGAGCCGAGGAGATCATACAGCAGTACAAAGACAATGAGCGTGTTGAACAGGAACGCAACAAGCGCGAGAGGGACAAGTACGAGAAACTCAATGAATGGATTCGAAAAAAGGAAGAAGAAATCAAAGGTGTGTAAAATTGAAAACTATATTGCCAGGAAATTTATTATTATTTTCAAAATTTTAATCCTTGTTATATAAACTTGAATATTATCTGAACGAGTACTGGTCTGTACCTGAAAATATTAAAAAAAATAAAAATACAGTCCATTTGCAGCTTTCATTGACTTACCGACTGACTTCACATGCCTTATAACTTTTTTGTTTCTAACCGATTGCAGCATAATTAACAAACAGCTTACCACAACATATGATTGAAAACCACGCCCACAGCTGTTAAGCGTTTCTGCAATCCAATAATAGTTTTTCATATGTCTCAGGTTTATTATGTAGACAGATAGACATATATTAATGGTTTATATTAACGATACAATAGCAATATAAAGTCTGTTTATTATTATTTAAAAGTAGACACTTTTTATTTCTAATATATTTTTATTTATCACTGCATAGGTTGACTTGTTTTGAACGACTACTTAACTAGATAGTTAACTGAGCTTTCACAGCAAAATCCAAGTCACGGAACAGAAACTTAAAATATACTTAAGTATTTTTTATTTTATTACATATTAATTTACTAAAAAACTGATATTCACATGTGTATCTGCGGTGAACAAATAAGTAACTTCTATATTTTTTAAATTCTTGCAGCAATGAAAACCCGAGAAGAACGTCGGGCAGCCCGCGCTGCTATAGAAGCTGAACGGCGTCGCGCGAATGGTGACCGTGCATACCGAGACTGGCTAAGAACCAGCAAAAACAAACCTCTTCCTGTACCACTCAACCAGGGCGAATTGAGTGAGTAATCTTTCATCTATCTCTGATGAAATAATCCTAAATCTTTTTTTTTTTTGTATGCTGACGGCCCATGGGATGGAAATTGTACATAACCATCTCAAGCACCAACATCACTATTCTACTTTTTTTACACCCATAATGCTCGCACCGTGGCGGACTTTGTCCGCAATTAGCCCAAACCAGTTCGGAACAAATAATCAACAAAATTTTCAGGTTAACAAAATTTATCAAGACTAACGATTGTGGTATTAACACAGCAATCGACATAATATATTACTTTTTTACTGATACTTATTCTTTATGAATGACACTCAAAATAGTAAATACCAAAAATTAAATAAATATTAATATAAATAAAAAAATAATAATTAGTTTGAAACGTGTCGGAAATATTTGGTGATCATTTAAGATGGGGAAATGTAACGCGTGATCATGACAACAGGAAGCGGAAGGTTAGGATTGAGCAGATAGATATGTGATAGTCCGTATTTACCCCACGTCCGTAATTCCCCCATCCTCCCCTAGATACATACATATATTCGATTCATAATCGCTTCGAGGAGATACCATACATTTAATAGTAATTGACTTTTAATGGCTTGATTTGTATCACCCATATATGGTTTACTTTTAATGTTCGGTAATATTTGTGTGTTCCAAACAGTAATTTGACATCAATTCAATTTTATTGCGATCCAATATGATAAAAAAGTTTGCCTGCTGAATTGTGGAAATTTCATGATTTTCTTATGCCTGTAATGTTTATATACTATACTGTGTGCGCTGTAGCTGATGCGGCTGACAGTTAGTAATTTTACATTTAACAATTGCTGTATTTAAGTTAAAGCAGTTATTAATGATTTAATATATTACGAATGTGGTACAGCTCAAAGACTAAGTCATAATTTGTAAATCGTGGTAACTTTGAGTAAAACGAAATTTAAATAAAACTGTCGGCCACACCCTGCTACAGCGCACATGGTATAATTATGTATCTAACATATTGTAAAAAAAATATTTTCGATACTATTGGGGCAAACAAACAAGTCCGGGAAAAATTAATCGAAAGTAGATCTATTAGCATGCATATTATATAGATAGATAGATCTCTGTGCTTAGAGATATACCTACCTACATAATAAAGGAATATAAGTAGTTGTAATTAATAAATATTACCTTTAGTGTATGGTGGTATTTCCTTTACATTACACATGTAATCACGCATTGATTATTGAGTGGCGTGACTTTTTAGAAGTACATAGTACTTCTAAAAAGTCAAGTTTAATAAAATATTCAACGGGTTTTGTAACTTATACGTAGTGTAAAAAATATCGGTCGATTTTTGTGGCAGGTATGCGAGGTTCTGTATCACAAATGTACATAAACCCAGTTCCTTGGCAGTCTTCTACGTGACAACGAGGATATACGATGAGCAACAGCAGCACCTACTTACCTATATGTTAATCGTTTTGCAATTTTATACGACTACATCAAAATCTAGCTTTCTGTGTTGTGTATTAATGGCTATTTAGTAATTGTGTATTTTAGATTAAATTTTGAATTTTTAGATTAACATTTTCTTATGGTTATGTTATTATGTTATTTATTTTCATCATGTTTACTATTTTCAGTGCAATGTTGCTTTAATTATAATGTAGTTTCTTTATTAATAAAACTATTTTGGAATAGACTTCGAAAAATTTAATTTCTAATATAATATTTTTTAAAGATCTTATCTAATAGGGTCCCGTCAAGTACAAATTACATGTAATATCATAGAAAAAGGACGATCACTACTCGATATTATTCGGCACACGACTAATAATTTGGTTCAACATTAATTTCTAATAAAAATATTGCCATTTGCTATATAGTGCAATACAAGAAGCGCCTATGACACAAATTCTGTCTCTTGCATTTCCAAACAATCTTATACAGCTGTAGGTACATTCTTTGTCATGATCACAACGTTATTCTTCACTAGTTTCTTATGTTTCTTTCAGTTTCAGTACACTTCTTCCTCTTCCTTTAGCCGCAGTATGTCCGACTTATTCATGAAGTAGTAGGAGGGTTGTCGACCCTTTAGGTCTTTGAGAACTCGTTTCGCGCCAGCTCTGATTAGTACCCTACTTAGGGATTCTATTTTCTCCACTCCCATTGCGTAGTGTAGTGGAGTGCGCTCCAACTGTCAAAAATATACGTATTAGGTACAGCATAGTTAATGCATATTTATTAACTTTAATTCCAAAGACTGGGTAAGATCTGGAGAGATTTAATTTATTAGGGTCGTGGTGAACGCTAAAATTCACTCGGATAGATCTCTTAAATTTTAATTAGTTATAAATTTAATGATATTAACAAATTATATATCTAAACTAGCTGACCCAGCGAACTCCGTTCCGTCTCCGATTTAAATAATAATTGATTTAATGGTACACCTACCAAATATTTATTTCAGCATAGATGAGAATTAGGTAGGTACACTAGGTACTGATCGCGAAAATGAATAAGTATTAGAGTTTCTTACATTGTCACCAATCCGTAGTAACTCTGAGTGGTTTTGTGCTAAATATGCAACGACTTCTTCATGTTGAGCCAACACAGCTATGTGGAGAGCGGTTCGGCCGAATGAGTTCTGCGCGCGAGCTAGAGTTCGCCCGCCCTCTGCCGATAATGCTTCTTCGACCGCTGACAACTCTCCACGTCGCACGGCCCCGTGGAGGGATTCTCGAGACTCCTGCAATATAAGTATATTGCATTTATACAAAGTTATAATATCGCATATCTTTATAAATTGTCATTTCATGTACTAGTATATAGTATATAACCTTTGGGATTTATAATATTAGTATGGATTCGTGGCAAAGGATTCAGATATTCTTTGCCACGAATGCAAAAACGAGAATTTTTTAATTATCTGTATTACTGAAGAAATTAATCACCTCGAATGTAGGTATGGACTCGAGCAGACTACCCATCTCGCTGTCCCCGCGCTGCGCAATTACATCAGTTATATTCACACCGTCTTCGTCCACAACGTCCAGGATGTGATCGTAACCTTCCAACAATAGTTCCATTATCTTCTCCTTATTCCCTGAAATAATTATTATTATGGATTCAATCAATATTGAATGGTCGTTATGGTTTTAGTATGTATTATTATGTTTTCTGTGGTTTTAGACTCGATATTCTAAATCTAATTATTATATAGGTACTTGATATGTATTATTTTTTGTATGACAATGCGATGTTCGCGGGTCTTCTCCCACGATGCAAACATTTGTTATCATAAGCAAAAATAAAATGTATTTACGTATTTCTATCACTAGTATTTATATAAGTTGTTTAGTATCCATTACACAAGCTATGCTTACTTGGGACTGGATGGCGCTGTGTGATTTGTCTAGGGTTATTATTATATATTATTGTAAAAATATAAATAATGAAACAGTCGTATCACAGTTTTCGTGTAATATGTGTAGATTATTAGAATATTTCAAATTTAATAATTAAGATATAACTTCAAATTATTATAAAGTATATCACAAGGGTAGATGATAAAACAAATTTATATTAACAAAACAATGAATAGTAATTTGGCGTTTTACCTCTCGCAGCTAAATGTAACACCCATCTGTCTATTTCTCCGGTGTTCTCCAGCACGTTGGCTTGTATAGAAACGTCGCGGGCGGTTCTGTATAGTTCATCTCTGTACCCTAGACTTATGTCGGACTCTTGAAGCAATTGGAATAGAGCGTTACGTGTGTGGGTGCGAGCCGCTGCGAAATGTAGCATTGACTGTCCATGCTCATCCTGGAGTAAATTATAATATATGTTCACGACTAGTATCCCGTAAAAGAGGTATTCAGTTATATTGTCATTTGTAAACATCGTGGCGAATGGCACTTGATATGCACATTTTGCTGGTCATTTCTGATTACAACGTAGCAGGGATAAGCCACTGCTGCCTGTTTGATTAATTTGGTTATCGCTATTAGCATCACCAAAGAGTCGGTTGGAAATATAAATTACCTCCTACTTTTCCTCTCTATGTAAATTTATACTCTCTATCAATACCAGGTTGTATATAAGAGATTGCTTATAGCAATAAGCCCGGTTTTACACTTTTTTAATGCACTTATATTATTCTTTTGTTATCTGGGCGCAATAAAGTTTAAGTTTATTATTATAATAATTAAGTTATTGGTGACAGCCGGATACAAACTTACGATATATAAGTCAGGATCAGGTTAAGTAGGGTCATTAGGTAACTTAGGTTGTCTATAAGTCAAGGTAGGAAACATCCTAAGTGTTTCGTCACGATATTTTCTATTTTCATATTTAGGTATATTATTACCCGTGTTGCGCTACTGAATGCTGCTTCTGGACCATCTGGACTACTTTCGGCTTGAGGGTCGACAGTGACGACATCGATCGGTCGGTGAGTCTTCGTGGCAGTTCGCGACCCACTCCTGGCTCCCTTTAAAGGCTGCACCGGCGGTGGTGGTTGGTCATTTTCCACCTCAGCCGCCTGTCGTGTCACTATCACATTTGTTTCCTGTTTAAAAATGTTAATATGAACTATGAATATTTTAAAATCACATAGATCTACCTTCATGCAAAAGCCTTTATAGTGTCGGCATGAATATTAATTATCATAAGTCGTCTCATGCAAATAACTTGCGTCTAAGCATTAATTTATTAGGTGAACATATCTAATGTCGACAGTAATTTAAGTATCTAAAATTAATAAGCAACATTAATGTCATCTGACACAGATGTTAAAGTATTAAGTATTTGTTAAAATGCGAAGACTATCTCACCTGCGTACCTAATTGAGGCTTTTCTTTATCTGGAAAATTTTGTAGGAAACTAGCGAGGAATGCAACCGGATCCTTAGGTTTCACGTTTGCCACTTCGGTCAGACCTTTAATTAAAGGATCGCCGAGAGCTGCAAAAACGTCGTCCAATTGAGAATCTGTGTCACTTATATTTTTGTTCATTTTTCATTCAAAGTTTGATAATAAGTAATAAAAACAGGCTTACAACTAGCAAGATATCTGCCTTCTTCCGTTCGAAAGATGGGAATGTCCATGTGTCCATTAGCCGCTTGATACGTGCCTGAAACCGATCAATTATTCACATTACGGACGGCCTTCGCTTTACTTGTGTGGGTGTAAAACATGTGTTTGTACATGAAGGTTTACACCTGCTGGGGCAGTGGGTGGCAAAAGGGGATCAATTTGTGATGGTGGCGACGGTAAAAGTATGTCCGCTCTAATAGAAGAGGGTGGTCATAATTGATGTATCCTATATTTAAAGTTACCTATGTGCATATCGATCCATAATGTTAACAATAGAATAGTTTAGGGTAATGATATTTGTTATTATAAGCTAATTGTAAGTTTGTTACTTGTGTTCTTTAAGCGATATTTAAATATTCTGAAATTATTTTACAAATAGATATGATTAGCCTATTAAAGAATATAATGTATATCCTATATTAAGTTGGTATTTAAGTTTTTAGCCGAATATATTTTATCGAAAGACTGTTTCTTTATCTAGTAAAACTACGAGCGGCTACATTTTGAGATCCACTCGAAATAATTATAAATGGTGTTGATGTGTTTGATAACATTTCTCTTTTTTGTTTTGTCTCTTTCAGTTTTAAATGTTTTTCAGAAAATTTGGAGAATATTAAAAAAATTGTGTAAGTGTTCGGTATTTAGTTACCATAATAGTTTAAAACTGCGTAAAGAGATGATTTCTAATAATACCACTTTAAGAAGTTCTGTGATTTAATACATGAGCTTCGTTTATTGCTATCTTAGACTGGAATGAGATAGCTCTATGTATTATTATATTCTAGGGCATTAGGTATCCTGTTAATAGCAATGAATCTGAACAATTTTCACTAGAGTATAATTGAAATACGGTAACATATTTTATCCTTCTCACTACATAGTACATATCACGTAATTGTGCTATTATTCTTTGTAGTGGAGGCACTGAAAATAAGTACTAAAGATTTAACTACGACCGTCGTGGATTGAGCAAATATTTAATGTTGGAAAGACGGATAGCTGGTGCTGAGCGTGCAATAAAATGGTCAAGCGAAATTTTTATTTGTTAGTGTAAAAGCATGTTGCAATCACATCACTCTAATTAATTTGTAACTCACACGGACACGCGAACTCACATTTTGCACGAAAACTTTTAATTAGTTATTCCATACTAACCTAAAAGTGATACAGTAGATCTCAAAAGAAACCTAGTCGACGCTCATCCTCCGCCATAAGTAATTAATGTGTTCAGCACCTATACATCTTTCCAACATTTGATAAAACTACAAAAATAAAGAAGTGTAGATATAAAGGTGATTATTAACAGTTATATTATTTCTTTATTGTTTTGTTTGTTTCTCCGGGCTATCCAATTCCCCTAAACTGCTTCGCTTTTTTCTAAAAATATTTGTTAGCATTGTTGCTATGTGTGCAGAATTTTGCATCGATAAATCTTTTTCTAATTGCAATAAATTTGAAGACGCAGTAGCAAAATCATTAAAACAATTTATCTCTGTTATGCCTAAGCATTGATAATTACTAATTCGGGCTATATCAGCACTTAATGTCTCTCGATATTGCAATCCTCTCATAGCACAAAGATGCTTCATATTATCCGAATCTTTTGAAAGGCCAGGAAAATTTACTATAAGACTGAAACGTAGTCCAGCTCCTAAAAAGGTAGGTCTACTGCTCAAATGGCCTAGCTTTTGGTTCCAAACAAAATCAAGGCGTTCATGAAGATATGACATTATAGAACCTAATTTGCTGAATGGTAGACCAATTTCGCCTGGAGAGTCTGTAGCTGTCGAAACAAGAACTCTTAGATGATCATGTATATTGATCCATATAGCCACTGTTTTATCTTCGCTAACGAATACACCACGACCATATGGCCAATGCTTACCATGCAACCGAGTGCAGTCATCAATCTCATCTCTGTCACATAAAGCTATTAATAAACCACTAGAAGCCAGTGTCGCACATATCTCAGATGGTTTTTCTAGAACTTCATTTAAAGTGTAATATGTACCACCTTTTTGATCGGACTCAGGATTTGAAACTTCACTATATTTAGCAAAATCTTGTTGCATCAGTATAGTTGTTAAGATTCTTTCTATAGTTTCTAGTTTTCCAACTTTTAAATTTAATGGTAGTTCAAAACCTTCCAAATTTCTTGAACATTCAATTGTGCCCGAGAGCACAAGTTCGTCATTTGGATCAACGTTTAATTCTACAAATGGCTCTGATGATATTGAAGAAAACTTTAAATTAGTCTTTACAAAATCAGAGACTGGATGTATTGATAAATCAGTATGTACATTAATATTGTGTAAGTCCTTTATAAGAGGTGTAAGAAATTCATGAAAAAGCTGATAAACGTAGTAGTCCGGAGCAGTTATTCCACCTGGAAAATCTTCTTCAACTGTTTGTATAATATTGCGATTATCTGGCAGTTTTTTAACGGCTGGCCATATCACATCAAACAGGTCATGATCAAGTTTAGTAACTCTATATTTTATAATATCAAATATTGGCCGTTTCAAAAATCTACCCAATACAATAGGCGGCGATGCCCTGTTCGAAGATGCCGACAGCGGTGTCCTTACTGGTCTAGCAGATGATAAGAGACGGTAGCAGCGTTCAAGAGTATCCAGTGCTTCGGGTACATCCAAATCGCGTCGCGATGATACATGATCCTCTGGTACTGTATACACTCAAATTAGTTTGCAATCAAAAATAAACTTACTTATCATCTAAATACATTTCTATATGTACATTACCTAATCCCTGGGTAGTATTAGGTAATTACTTATTATGTCTTTGTTTATTATCTTTTAAATTAGCACTTTTACGTACCTTTGTCGGATAACATATCTTGCGCTGCCTCTTCACTTATTCCATAGTCGGAGAGTAATTGACTAAAAGGAAGTAAACTTTGGTTTTTTAAATAATCTTCGGTTGATTGTCCATTCTGTAATAGTAAAAATAGATTGAAATATGGATTTTTGTCTACTTTACATAATAAAAATAATACGTGAAATAAATTATCTCACATCATCTAAATCTTTTGAGTTAGCTCCAAGTTGCTGCAGTAAGTTATAGTAATGACCATTATCAGGTAAAACAGCTGCATAATGTAATGCGGTTCGGCCTTCAAAATCTACTGCAGATAATGTTTCTGGAAATCTGTAAATATATATTATTGCTTAATTTATTGTATTTTTTTTAATCGAAGTGCCAATTAGAATCATAATATTAACACAGATTTTTTGCATTACATACGTATTATTTTCATACTTTTATATACTTAGAAGAAAATATTACTCACCTTCCTCCTAGATATTTCATTATATTTGTTTTTCCAAATACGGTTGCTACGTGCAAAGGAGTAGCACCATTAGGTGATATAGGATCTCTTGCTATTGCAAATTTTCTCCTATCTAATGCTGCTTGAAGATCTCTTATATTACCTTCTCTAGCGGCTGAGTGTACTTTGTTAATTTTTTGCTAGAGAAATAAAAAAATAAGTTGAATATTTTATGAGATATGATGATGGTATGAAATCATGAGAAGAATGAATACTTAAGAATTATTATTTTCTTACTACCTTACCATGTAAATCGGTACATTATCCAGAAATGCCTGAAGTTCTGAATTTCCAGATCTTCGGCCTATTAGTCTTGACCCTTCACCGTTTAAAACTAGAGTAGCTAGCATTTCCATGTTCGCATTATTAATGAGTTCTGTTACTTCAGGGTCTATTTCATTATCCTGTTAAATTTAAACATGTAATATAAGAGAGTTGCAATAAATACAATAAAAGTAAAGGTTTTTGTAACAGGCTTTCGCGTACTAAGTTGCTGCTATGTCGACATATAACTAAGAAGCTAGCAAATCAATTCATGACAGTGGTGTTAGGTGTCCGTGACAAGAACAGAGTGCTACAATGATGCCTCTATACTAAAAACACCACAATCAACTAATTAATTTACATATTACCTTCATTAGTCGGTCGTATTTTCATGCTTGGTGGAAGATTTATGAATCATACTTACAACAACTAGTACTTCTCCATGTACTGATCCATCTCTTTGGGCGATACTGGCATCTTCCGAGTCCTGTTCGGCTTCACCACTAACAATGCCTGCTATAAGACTTTCCTGTGTATTTCGGCCGTTGGTCAGGTTTCCTTAATTAGCAAAATAATCAAAAATATTGAACTTGTCAGGGACCCTCATTAAATTTGATTAGATAGATGAGGATTATATTTTGATTGTTTCGTGAATAGTACCAGAAGAGATGTCAGTATTACTTCTCTTGGTACTTTCTATAATAGCCGTTTCTATAGTATTTTTAAGATGAATGTCACTATACTCTGTATGTGTGTCTCCTTGCACTTGTACATCGTCATCATCTTCATTGGGATCATCACTGAAATTACCTTCATTTGCTGTATCACCAGGCTCTTCATGTTCTTTTTCATTTATCAAATCGTCATTATGAATTTCATCATCTTTAGAATCATCGTCAATATTGTGCTTAGTTTCAATATGTTCATTACTATTTTCATCTTCTTTAGTTTCATCATCAGTTGTATGTAACAATTCTTCTTTGTTATTAACAATTTCAGATTCATTATTCAGATCATTATCGCCATTTTCTTTATCTAATTCTGTGTTTTCTTCAGGTTTGTCAGGAGTATCAGTAGAAATATCTTCAGTATTTTCAGGTTTTTCTTCTGTTTCATCATTATCAATTTTAATATTATCATTATGTTCAATACTGTCTTCTGATTTATTTTCCTCAGCGATATCATTATCTTTATCAACATTAGAATTTTGGTCATGTTCTTCATGGATATTGTCTTTGTCTTCCTCTTCAGGGTTGTCATTTTTTGTATCTTCATCTTTAGTATCATCTTTTGGAACTTCTTCCTCTGTATTTTTTTCAGACTCATGTTGATCTTCAATATCTACTAGGTTATTTTGTTTATCATTATTCTGAAATTCGCTTTCATTTTCTTCAGCTACATCTGAGTCCTAAAATGAATAAAATAAATTTTCATGCAAATGTTTACCAAAAAGCAAAGCAAATCAATAAATAATACCATTCCGTGATAATGATTTATGCAAACTCACCTGTTTTATATTTTTACTTCCATTAAATGTATTACTGTCATCTAAATCTGGTAAATCTTTTATAAATTCTCGAGTACTACTCATTTTCATAGCATTTGGTATATTTTCTGTACTTTCTGATACAGTATTTGTATTATGTTTAGATGATATATTTTCGTTTGATGCTTTTAAATTCTTCCTTCTTGATTTTTTATTTAATTCGGCTATAACCTCTGTGTCTAAAAGTTTCCAGTCCCATGAGGACGGGTATGCACTAGATGCAGTTCTAGGTGCTTCAGGTACAGTTCGAAGTATATTTTTGTCTATATCTTGTGGTCTGTTATTATAGTAAACTGGTGTTTTATTTTTCTAAAAAAGTAATTTTTATTTTTTTTTGTACAGTAGATATAGAATATTCATATTAATATATTATTTTTACTTTATTGGATTATAAAATAGAGCGATAATGCCACACTAACATAACAATTAAACCAACGAATGAAATTTGTATATTAGAAAATAGTGACTTTGTAGACAAATATGTATTTTATGCAGTATACTGTGTGATGTTTAAAATTATGACACTTACGTTATCAACAGCGCTCTCATCTGCCCCGAGACTAACCAGCGTATTATATGTGTGTTTTTCATCCCTTACTGTAGCAGCATAATGAAGAGGGGTACGTCCGTCATTGTCGACGTCATTTATACCTTGTGGGTATCGATCAGCGATGTACTTGAGTATTCCACCGTGGCCAAGTCCAGCAGCCTGGAAGTAAGAATATGCAGCTGATATTATTACATAAAAATAAATATACAGTAGGGTACTACATCGGTTCTACATATAATTAATTGTTATAACATAGTAAAAAATATATCAAGATAGAAATTAATATATTTGAATAACTAACTATTTAGATCTTTGAGAAAATTAAATTAATGGTTATGTACCATTATGTTAATCACCACCATGATTACATAATAATAACGTGGGCCAATAGTCCTAAGCTATATACATATATATATATATAGTAACCATGGTAGATTTATTGCACGAGAAATCTAATCCGCGAACATCATAATTAAGGCAGTGTGTTTAACCGCTACGTCGTGACCACCGTCAATGCTGCATGAAATTTATCTTGAAGTACATGTATATCTAAAATATGACGAGTCATTCCCCAAATTAAACGGCCTAAATTATTTAGAAATACTACTTTTGTACTGTATTAGAAATTGGGTCACGGATTTCTATTAAGGTAAAGGTTCTTTTCAATTCATGTCAATCTGATAGACGACAGTTATACGCGTAGATGTGTGTGCATAGTCCATTTTTTAGGACGCTGTAAGTATAGATTCTGTAAATGCATTTATAGTATATTCAAATGTTCATAAATGCAGAAGAAATATAGTTTACTTACATAGGTATACTCCTATAAAAAGTGTTTGTAGATACAGACTAAAAATAACTAAGAAAATAATTGTGTAATAAATAATAAACATATATTGTACACATGTATTGCAATAATTATATGTTCAACATTTTTATGTTTGGTGTGTTTACAAATTTATAGTAGATAAATTACCCTTTTGTCTAATTAAGTCGCGGGTAAAGAATCGTCAACAAATTCATACGTGAGACATTTTATATATGCTAGTATTTAATTATAATACCTACCTATATATAATAATGAATGATGTGTGTTTTTCAATGTACCTAGGCTCGGCCACTGCTACATTAATATCTAATATTCTCACCGCAGTTGGCAGTTAACGATATTATTAACTAATATTTACAGTAATTAATATTGTTAATGTTTAGACAGTAACAATCTTTATAAAATATATCAACTCTACTAACCTTATGTAAAACAGTCATATTGTTGCTGTCTCTACAAGATAATGCTTGCGGTGGTACTGGATCACCGGCATGCTTCATCAAACCTTCAAGATCGTTCTCAATTACAGAGGTGTGGATGTCGCGTATTGTATTCTGAAAGTATCCAAACAAAGACTTCAGAGGTTGTAAATCTCTCGATGTAGATTCATTGAAAATTTCTCCATTCTACAATGTGGATTATAATTGTATTTTTAGTTAAATATATTAGGCATAGCAGTTGCTCTGTAGCTCACCACAATTACAATGGCAGGGCCAAAGAAAAAAATGTAGTTTCTGAAAGGGCTATGTTTTTTTTTATGTGATTGAAATGGATACCATGCACTTCCATACTAATAATATTCTAAATGAAAAAGTGTTTGTTTGTTACCTTATCACTACTAAAGATAGATTGTATTATAAGGGCGGTCATAGGCTATCTTCTATTTCAAATTGCCGTGGAGGAGGAGTTAGTATATTTATGTATAACATCACGAACATAGCATCATCATTTAACGTCCAACTCAGCAGTTACCGTTTCTGAAGATTAAAGTATCATGCTTCCGTATCTCACAAATTTAAAAACAACTTACAAATCAAGTTGCTTTTTAGGCGAACTGAGGCTGACTCACATGAATCCTTTATGACATACTAGTATATGAAACCTTTATAGTATCAATGGGTCAACACCAAAAATAATTTACTTACTAAATAGACAATTATAATACAAAGTAATGTCCTTTGATTTTAGTGATCCCAATTTAATATTAGACAGTTACCATTATGTAAGGGACGGCTTCGAGAAAACGCTTCACAATTGGTTGATTGGAGACTTCGCTGAGAAGCCTGGTGCCGTGCCCTTCCCACACGACGCGCTGCAGGCGCGCCATGTCGCAGTCGTGGCACCATATTCGGATGTTGTGCCGCTTTATCACCAACCCTTCAACATTAATTGATCATCCATATCAGTATCATCATCACTACTGCACTCAACTGCTGAACTTAGGTCTTTCCCAATGCTGCTGCAACATACTGCAAGAGAATGCTCTTCATCTAATCGTTATAAATTGATTAATGCTATGAATGACATATAATAGGATTTGATTAGGATTATTAGTAATGGAAATTTGCTTGAAATTCTTGGCGGTGTTTAATGAATTCATCTTTTCCATTCAATTTTCCACAAGTGGCACATTCCATATTCATGTATCTGATATATGTTTATAAAATGACAAGTACTCTTTTCATGGGCGGATCCTAATGTAATATTTCTGAACGTTTATGTGTATGTCTAAGCTTACAAATATAATTACATTCATGTGAAAAATCCCATTGTTTTTTATTTTATTATTTGATTAAGAAATATTCCAGAAACTCGAAGTGTCACAATTGTATGTTACAGGCGAGAAATATAATTAATTGATATATCGCACTTTAAAAGTCGTATATTTGTATTGTTCACACGTTTAGAAAAGTTTTGTAAATTGTTTTTGTTTTACTATGGAGGGGAGTGTTGTAGTGCCATTTAATATGTTAGATTTATACGAGTATCTGGAAATTGTAAAAGTTTCAAGTCGTTACGTAAACGAGGTGGGGGTAACTTTTGAGACTATATACGCAAAATAAAGATATTTGAACTAGTTCAATTAATATTGATATTAGTTTATATATTGTTTATTTATTAAAATTACTAATGAATCAGCAGATGTACAATATGTAGAGTCTACATTAATAGTAGGTATATGCATACTATTGAAACGATCGAATATGTATCGATTTTCGACATCAAAGAAATAATTTGACTTTGACATGTCATTGAATGTCAAATGACCTCATTTCTAGATTGATTAATATAATTATTCTTTGTATTCTGTTGAATATATCGTCAAAAGTTTAGTACTGGTAATTTATTATACAACTAAATAACAAATTAATAACAAATAAACGTGTGGTTAGATTTTAAATGATTTGCAATTCAGTAATAAATAGGTATTACAGAGTAGTAATCGTGAACAAAAATATAGTGTTTAACGATAAATCTATAAAGAAAATAGCTGAAGCACTATGTTCAGTTATGAATAGACACGAATGTCTAAGGAATTACAAGGTCATATTGGTTATTATATACATATATATACTCTTTAGTGCACTTATAACTTAAAATAGTACATGAAAATTAAAAATAATGTAAAGAAGGGTAAATTGTGTAATTCTCTTATATAAAATTCTCATGTCGCGTTGTTTTTTATTAAACTCCTCCGAAACGACTAGCGACTTTTATTTAATTTTGTGTGCATATTGGGGAGGTCTGGGAATCAACCTGGTTTGAGAATTGACCAACATCTATTTTTAATACCCCTAAATGATAAGGGTGACCCACCCCTAAATATTGTTTATTTTTTTGATGAAAATTTGGTTAGTTTATTATGACTTAGCATTGCAAGGACCTACAACTTAAAATTTTCAGCCTTCTACCATCAACCCCTATTTTTAATTGAAAACAACGATATTTATTTATATATATTTAGTTACTTATTTATATTTATATTATTGAAAACAACGTTTGCCGTAATAGCTAATAAAGGGTATAAATATTACTCTCCTGCAATTGGATATTTCATTAAGTGACTAATAAAGCATTCAGACAGTTATACATAACGTTCGATAAATTAGGTTTCCAGCCAGCCTATCGGCGTTTGACAGGTCGCCCACTCTTCCAGCAAGTGTCAAGGCCGTTCGTACATTATTCAGGTTCTAGCTTAGACAGACACGTTTTAATATTTAATGACTTAGCGATCGATCGATAGCACACACCTGGCTACATGTCTTTATGTAGCACAACAATTAGGAACGTGTCGTTACAATTCATGTGTCTAATTGAACAGGCCTACCTAGAAATTTAATACTTATGTAGGTATGTCTACACATATGTAAAATAAATATGTTACATACTATTATTTTAACAGATACCTGTATGAGGACAATAAGGTCCCTATTTATTTAGCACTTTTTACATTATTCTTTTTATCTTGTTATAATTAATAGAACAAAAAGAATACTATAAAAAACATTCATTTGCTCAATAGAGTTAATATCATTATTAATTTGACCAGAGGGGGGCTTTGTAAAGTCGTCTATATCATTGCTCCAGATACTACATTTAACAACGTAGCGTTGCAAAGTTTTTCTGAATGAAGAGTGTTGAAAATATTAAAATATTACATATATGAGATCTTTTTATTTTCTATTTCATATATTTTAAATAGAAAATTGGGTATGTTACCAAGTATTTTTTGTTATTATTTCTGTGTTACGTTGCAACACTAATTAAAATTCTTATAAAAATATCACATATTGTGTTGCTGTCGTACTGGCCCCATACTTTTACAGTTCGTATTATATTTTTTACTATTAAGAATATTAAAATATTTTCTCCATTTCACATAAAAATATGTAGAAACCTTTCGTGTTCCATATAAGGTGCAAGTAGGTACACTCTATACGTAAAAGCATTGTATATGCGCAGAAAACATTAGAAATCTGATATATATGTTTATTGACTATTGTCTTATACGATATTTAAAAGTCTGGAAAATATGGTGTCTCTCTGTTTTAAAAGGGTGTTAGCGAGGCCGACTTTTTTTTATTGATTCCCGATTCCATTCAATTTGTTGCGTGTTAAAACCACTCAATTCTAATGATATAGAGTGTTACAGTGTTGGTTAGAAAAGTTTTAAGGTACAGTATAACAATAACATGAAATATATATTAAAACATGCATGGTGGGTAAGTAGGCCCAAACTTAAATTTTAGGGCTTGTTTGGCCCTCAAAAGATTTATGAATGTATTCAGGTATTTCTAGTCAGGTAATACAACAATAAAACGAAAATTTAGAGCGAAAAGGAAGGTTTTTGTGCATGTTTAGGTGTAATAAATAATACATGTGTGTATATATTCTAATATATGTAAATAAAATGTAGTGTTAATATAATTAATTACTAGTAACCCTGAATGGCCTGGAGTTTTATGATAATACACTGCTTCATTTATTTCATCCCAGATATAATCAATTGTATTCGACAGTATAATTATTTGTATTGATCTGGGTGTTTTCTATATATTTCAATAGAAAATGTTTTAGAATTTTATTACTTATGTATAAATGGCACTGTTTGATCCACAGTTATTTTTATTTTTAGATAATTGTATTTCTTCAAGTAAATGATTCGACTAAAATCATTTGATTAATGTCCATCATAAATGTATATAATCAATATTGATTTGTTTAATGGAATATGTATAAATTGAAAGGGTGTAATTGATTAAAATATGTCATTATGTGTTTACTTTAATATCATAATATTGTTTAAAGATATTACTAGAAGATAGATAGTTTCGTGTTTTGTATTAATTTTAAAAAGTTATGTAACTAGAGTGGCTTAGAACAAATATTTAAATTGAACAATATATATATATATATTTAACTTTATTGTTTATTTTAACATAAAATATAATAAATATCGTTTTCCATAAGAACAATTTACATATTTTTATGCATATGTTTTAAACTGTACAGATCGCTATACTATATTTAATAAATGACATGATAAAAAAGAAGAACATCCTTGTGATATTGGTTTGGTAATGGGTTCAGATATTTTTATGTTACGCATATTTGTTTTACTCATTTCTCTCTACTGCCAAGTGAAATATTTATATTAAATGCACCACTGACTTGATACAATAATAATGACATGTATTATACCCATAATAATAATATATAACCCTAGAAGAGCATTTGATTATACTTACAACGAGATCTCAGCCCTGGCTTAAGAAATTATATAAAATAAGAATATAATAACCTTGTTCATATGTCATACTAAGTGAAACATCTTGGTTAATGAAATAAAATTTATTATTATTATTATCATTATTACCTTCAATTTCTTTATTTAGATATCAATAATAGATTCCGACTTATAGTGAGAAATAATGATTATTATCATTATTACCTTCAATTTCTTTATTTAGATATCAATAATAGATTCCGACTTATAGTGAGAAATAATAGATACATTTTCCTGGCTCTTTGGTTACGTCACGTAATTCATTTATGGATCTATTTGTAGCTAAGACAGAAAAGGAATAACTTTAGTGAAGCAACAAGTTAGCGTGTAAGGAATTTCGAAACGCTACCGATATTAACATAATCGCAACTTTTACAAATACTCGGACAACTGAACTCAGGGATGTACACGAGGTACAGGATATTATACGTACGTGAATTTTGGTTTTGGGTTTGAGGACAATTTTATCGTAGGAAAACTTTGGAAGACGTATTCGCCTACTGAAATTTGAATATTTTTTTTCACGGCAGCCAAACTTGGTTTTGTTTTTATACTTCTATAAAAAAACTCCATAAAATGTTGTCTGCGTGTGTACCTCAGTTTCATTTATTTCAGTTGGCAAGCAGTTTCCTTTACAAGCTGTGTTTAAGATGAAGATTGAGATAAGGCTGTTCACAATTGAAGGAATGACATCTTGCTCTTTCGGAATGGGTGTCCCGTAGCGCTGTTCATATGTTATATAGAGTATGGTTAACTTTTGCCATCAGGTGGACTGTCAGATTGTTTGCCATTTCAACTACATAAATCAATATTGTTGTTCTTTTTATTAATATTTGGTTTTGGTGCTCCATTATTTTTTTTTCAGTGTGGCTATGTTCGTAGAGTAAGTTAAGTTTAGAGGTTCAAATTAATCCAATCCTCGCGATTCTTTAATTGTTCATGCAAAGAAAAAAATTAAAGCTGGCAACCCTGTCTGAATTATAACTTCGATAAACATCTGAGTATTTCGAATTCTAGCGCCGGTGGAGCATTGTTTTGATTTTATCGATATTATGTTACTACTTATTCATAAAACCGGCCCACAAATAGAACTAGATTTACGATTATGAACAATTAGATAACGTATGAATAATAACTGGATCCGGGTTTAGTCTAAATGTAAGTTCCTAATATGGAGGTGCGCCGTCAACGACGCTTCAAAATAGAAACGCTTTTTAAATAAATATTCATGACCACGCAACATTCTAACCCCACCTTAGGAAGCCAAGCCTTTTTATTAACACGCTAATGAAATTAGTGTGCTATAAAATAATAGGTACCGAGATAGGTAGATGGACGTACTCTATTTAACGGATCAAATTTTTCTGAAGTGGATTTTGCACTAAGTCTGCCTGCGTATTTCTATCTCAACTATTTCAGCCGTCAAACTGCGTGTTATATAAGTTAGGTTTCGGTTAGAGGGTGAGATGTGGTTCACTACCATCATCATCATCTTCTTCTTTAACCCATACCATACTATAATGTATAAAAAAACCCTTTATCTACTCAATTGTTTGAAATGTAAACTACTTTTGAGTACGAAAACTATTGTTAGTATTGGGCACTAGCAGTATACCTCAATCAGGTCGACTTTGACACGGTACATCCTACAAAACCATCTGGAGTAATTCCTAACGTATTCACCACAATGGGCTAACTGTTCTGACTACATATTAATTCGTCATCTTCCACTGGCTGACCACTAGCGTGTACCGTTAGCGCAAGTAGATGTGCCATTCTATATTTAACAATTAAAAAATATATCTACGTGTACTAGTAGCAGTTTAAAACTACATGAATTGTAGTATAATAATATATGTGGTTACCACATGTTCCTAGTGGTGGGTATATCACGAATGACGACATTCAGTAGGCACCTATCGTATTATAAATTGCGGTACATTTGCATAGATATACTACCGGACGTCCGCTTTGAACCCCGCCCCGTGTAAAGTCAATGTGAAAACCAGATTCTACACGACTTATGTATATCTAATATATATTATATATATTCAAGATAGTGATAGTATGTAGCATTTTATGAATAGTATAGTATTTTATTATTTTTAATACATATTTTCAATTATAAAACTGTTTCTATTATTCTTCGGAGAGTAAATACAAAACATAATAAGAAATTCCGAAAACGTATGGAATAATTGTACGTACATGAACGTTGAATTCCAGCTATTTGTGATATGTAAGTTACAAAATTTTTATTAGACTTTATATAACATTAGTCTTAAGATAATAGTACAATACAATATGTTTTACATGCAATATCGTTAGCTATTTTGATGACCTAATTTGTGAGGTATAAATAAACCTAAATTAATTTATCAAGCGGAATAGTGACATATTCCTTGTCTTATTTATATAGTGTGATCAGGTCTTGTTATTTTATTTCGAACACGATAAGATAGGTTACGCAGACGTATTAAATTTAAAAAAAAAATTGTGAACTTAAAATCTTATTAAGTATTCGTTCAAGGCAGATTATATTAAAATAAATGTAATTTAATTTGTGTTAATGGATGTTTTATTGGAATTAATATATAAAACGATTTCCAGCTGTGAAAGTAAAATATCATACACCTAATACAATGCAATTCATTTACAATGTGTCTATGACTAATATGATCAGCCTGATCAAGCGTAATAACAATTTTGATAAATTGTCATTATTTATTTTAATAGTATTCTACTTTACGTATTAAAAATTTGTGTATAAAATTAAAGAGTATTGTAATAACAATATTGATATATTAAAAGTTTCAAAAAATTTTTTTAATATGTGTTTTAATAACAAGTAAATTCAATTTACGTATTAAATTAAAGATTTTTAATATAGTATGTTTAAGTATACAACTAATAATCAACAAGTAGAATAGTATTATTAGAAACATTCCTTATATCTATGTAGTGGTTTAAAAACATTTACAAGTTTTTAAAATTTTGTCTGTAATTTGTATCTTTAAGTTTATTATAATTATCATAAATTTTTAATGATTGACTCTTATTAATTTATTTAAATAATCATGATTTCTAGACTTAATATAAAAAAATATATATATTAAGGAACTTACCAGGAGGATTCTTGGTCTCGCGTGCCATGTCGGTGGCGGTGGGCAGCGCGAGTGAAGTGCGAGCTGGGCCCCTGTAGTGGGCGGGCGTGCGACCAGCGGCGTCCCTCGCTCCCCTCGACGCGCCCGCGCCTTCCAGCAACGCTGCTGCCGACGCTTCGTCACGACAAACAGCCGCATAGTGCAACGGTGTTCGACCTTCCTAATGTTTCACCATATTACAATGATAATAATAATAATAACTCTTAATTTCGCACACATATAACAGAGAACAAGAATTACAGTACATTAAAAATGTTTTGCAAATTAGTATTTGCACTCTAATCGATTTAAATTGAGAGAGACGTTTAGAAATCAAATGGTGGGTTAAGATAGTAGTTAATACTTAAATATTTGTATACTTCATATAATATTATAAGGGTCATCTTGCCCATAATATCTTGTAGTGTAGTGTACCCCAAACTCGATCATAAATAAATAAATTATTATGTTACTAGATGACACGTCTGTATGATACATATTTGACCATTTTACATAATATCTTTTAAAATCATAGCCTATGTGTTGTTCTGATGTATGAGCTTATATAACTGTAATATTATATCGAATTCCGTTCAGTAGCTTTTGCATAAATAAAAGAGTAACAAATAATCTTCCATCCATACATCCACAATCACAAACTTTTTCGTTTATAATATTAGTAAGAATATTATTACAAAAAAATATCCGACAGAATTTTATGCCCGCTCTCTATCTATATTCTAAACGAATATACATAGCATAATGTAGGCGTTACATGTATTGCGTTCATTACGACGTAGTCAATTATAAATGCCATTAATAATCGTAATCTTAAAAATTTTATAAGAACTTTACTAAAGACTGAAAATTCATATAAAATAATAATTGCTTACCGAGTCCTTCTGATGTACAAGCAAAGGGTACTGCTTTACTAGCCAACTGGCTATGTCCATAAAGTCGTAGTATATCGCTTTATGCAACAACCCAACTCCAGCTTCATCTCGGCAGGTTATGTATTTTCGGCGATTATAATCCGAATCCAGTAGCTCCTAAGATAGATTTTAGAATATTGTTATGTCATGTTATTATTTTAATGAAGCTATATGACAAAATATAGATACAAGACGCTTTTTTATTATCATATGTACCACTGTACAAAAAATATTAGGCATTCTAATGATTTATTTCTTGTATATGCTTATAATTCGAATGACCATGAACATTTTTGTTCAATATTAGCGATATCAGCACAAAATTTTCACAGATGTCAGAATCTACCGCAAGCGTAATAGTATGGCGCGGACGCTACATGATTGCTACTGTAGCAGCTAAAATGCGTAAGCGCTACGCGCCTGCTACGCTGATTGCTACGGAGTACCTACGCCAACTTTTATTAATGTAATATCTTTTTTTATATCTCAGGATAAGTCAAGGAAATATTTCTAAGATGCTATGGTATTTAAGTTAGTTTAAAGAAAGTCTGTAATTAATTTACATTTCTCATAATTAAAGTAAATATCATAAAAGGTACGTTTTATAGGCAGATAAATAATTAAAAATATTAAAATTAAAGTAAAGCATAGGTTTCATTTTTTTAATTATAGGTTTCATTATTAGAAGCTAGGATTCATTATTTTAATTACAGGGTCTATAATATTGATGTTGTTCAAAAGTACAAAAACCTGCAATTAGTACTTTACCAGCAATACCTGAAGCTCTAGCAGCGACCCTCTTTCAACGGCTGCGTGTAGGGCATCACATTTAGCTACCAGGGTCGGAAGGTGATGTGCCAGGGGTAGAGCCTCCGCTTCGGCCAGTAGCCGCCGCCCCTGACCGGCAAGCACTGCTTTCTCCAGTCTGCCTTCTGCACCTCCACGGGCCCACTGGCGAAGTTGAGCTGGTGATACACCACCTAATACTGTAACAAAATTTAAATATTAGAAATAATAATAGTAAATAGATATAAAATAATAAGAATATAAATAAATACATTTAATTTCAAAGCTACATAATATTAGGTTATTAAAAATTATTAAGAATAATTACTTCAATAAAACATACCTAATTGGTGTAAATATTTTGGTCCGTATGAAAGTGTTACCAAAAGCAGTATTTGGCAGTATTACCTGGTTGAATAGTTAAACAAATCATAATAAAAAAATTATCTTTAAGAATTTATTACAAAACTAAAATTTTATTTTTTATAAATTAGATAAATACGTAATAATTAAATTACTATTGTGTAAAATATTCTAAAAATTAAAGACGAAATACGAATGACATAGTTACCTTGTAAGTAGGTATATATCTTATTTATATGTCTTTAATTAATTTTAATGCGAGCAACAGTCGTGTTCACTAGCAAGCTTGAAGAAAGTATACCGTACAACTTGATCCAAAGCCGACACTAAAATTATCACGATATCGTCTTCTCCGATCATACTACCGACGATTCGCAGATTATTTACAGAGTGTTCTTTATTTTCATTTATTTTGTATGTTAAGTTTAAAAATATATTACAACAGACTAGAGATAATCTTTTTAAATAAACTTATGTAGGTACATCTTTTGAATATTCTTTTTTTAGATTTCAACCCATCCTTTCATATGCAAATTTAACAAAGAAGCACAAACAAGAAATTTAGTAAATTGATTCAAACAAAGGAATGTATAATCGCACATACATAAATATAATGTATCAATAAAGTATTACTTGCAAAGTTAATTTACAACATAAAATAAACTAAGCCATAGTTCATGCAGTACAGTATGTATCGATAGTGTGTACACCTACACACTATACATAGAGACAGAAATTTGTCCTAGTATGCACTGAAACCTATCTCTGTAATCTAGTTTTCATCTAGACTGTGACATCAATATAAAATCTCATCAGATTACGATTATCATTCTCAGATTAAAACTTATCGCATGAATTAGGTATAAATAGTAACTAATTCGTGCCTGTTATGTACTTAAATCTATAAAGATTTAATGGACACTTTTAGTACTCTCTATTAGATCTTTGATTTAAACATATATTTCAAAAGTACTGGAAAGACAAAATCTATATATATAAAAATGAATTGCTGTTCGTTAGTCTCGCTAAAACTCGAGAACGGCTGAACCTAGTATAGCTAAATTTAGTATTGAAATATTCGTGGAAGTCCAGGGAAGGTTTAAACGGTAAAACATGAAGAAATTGCATGTAAAATAGTAAAAACAACAATTTATTTTCCCATACAAACGGCTGATACCTGTCAACCAGGGTGCGTTCAGAAATTTATTGCATAGAAACTTCAAGAAACATATTATCATCATCATCATCATCAGCCCACTGCAGTCCACTGCTGGACATATTATAAAAGATACAAAATATCCTAGCTGTACCCGCGACTTCGTCCGCGTTAATAATTAAAAAATATTTAACTCAATTAACACAATATAATTAATAATTTTAATCATAATATACAAAAACTAAAATATGTTTCTAAATTAAACATCACCCTAAAATAAGTTCATCGCGTTGTATGACCTAATAAACAATGTTATTGCTTTATTATTCCGTATCGTAAACGTCCAACATCCTGTTTTAGAGAATTGCACATGGCTAGTCATTTGGTTAGGCAAGATTGTTGGGTTTATAAGCTCACAATAGTCGAGTTATCGTTACATCTTTTGACCTTACATTTAATATGAAATTGCAGTGGCTATTACTGACTGCTTAACTATTGTTATTTATTTTACGTGATTAATACGATTGTGGCTTGTAACTATATATAATGTTACTTTGTACTATTCTACTTACAATTTATTTCTAAGTGGTAATTATGGATACAATTGAAATGTTAACTTATTTTTAACTTCAAGACGTGGTTATTAACAAATTACGTAACAAATGTAGAGTTAAAAGCCTAAACCAATGATTAATTATTATTTCTACTTGTATCTATATATATGCATAATTAGAGCGTATATTCTTACTTCATATATATATTTTGTTAGATCGTATTTAAAATATGACACATGGAATAGATATGAGAGAACAAACAAAAAGAAATTAAAATCATTATCACACCTATATTAATTAACGGGGACTATATTACTTAATGGGAAATTAAACTTTACGAATAAGATTTCAAAGTCAATATTCTATTTTTTTGTTAATTTATTATTAAGCGTCTTGTATGTAGTTTTTTAAAAATACAATTCAATTGAGATCATTCTTCTTTTTTAATTGATATAAAGTAAAGTTGTAAATGATTTTTATATGTAGGAGACTAGAATAAATCGTTTTATTTCCAGTAATAGATATTTGATATTGTCAAAGGGTTAACAGCCTTCTGGTCATCGAACCGACATCAATATTAACGAATGCTGTGCACACGACATGACAAATATAGTTGTCACGAGGTCTACATTACTTTGTTAGCCTAATGGCATAGAGTTAGGTTTATGGTTGAATTAAAACAATTATAAGCAATTTGTAGCATCAACGTCAATATTTTACTTTATTACATTACATCTAGAATTTCGAATAAATTAGATATGAAATGGTCTATCAATGATTGAGTATTTAATATAGATACTAAAATAACAAATATATTTCACAATTAAATTTCATACTTTCGTATGAGCTGACTTATAGCAGAAAATAAGTACGCTAAAGTAATAAGAAAGACAACATCTCAGTATACACATACACTGAGATCAACTATCTCAGTATATGTATCATATACTGAGATGTTTTCTTTCTTATGATGCAAATAATGAATTGATGAAATGCCCATGAGTAAACGTATTTAATCATCATCACCTCAACCAGCGTCTATCTTCGCATTCTGAGGCTATCTAAGATTTGTTCTATCTTTTATTACAGCGCATATATAGAGTATATGTGTAATTATTCTAAAACAAATTATGATATCCATATTAACACTGTATCTATTATTCTACAAATACTATAATCTGCCTCCATTTTCTTTCAAACAGCGTGTTACCCCTTCTAATCTTTTTTATTTAGGTACCTATAGAAGAAATAGTGGTTGACTTATATAGAATTTAACTCCCAACTAATACATATTTTTAACTTAGTAATAATTTAGGTAGTATAGCTACGGTTTAAACCTTTAATTATCTGTAAATAGCTGTATTATGTGGAAAAATTGTAAATATTTCTGAACTTGAGGATTAGCTGTAGCGATACATACGCTCTAGGTACCTAATACTATTTATGGCGAGATAAAATCAAACGTGCAAAGTGCAAATTCTATTAGTCATAGCTAGCGCCATTTATGCAAAAATGTTCCACGTATCACGGCATCACGCTAAGGTCGCGTCCACTCTTGTCATAAACAACCCCCTTCCCCCTTTTTAGAATTCCGCATTTCATATTAGCTATTTAAAATGGCATATTGAACAGATTTTTAATTTATATTTGAAAATCGCTAAGGAATTTTTCTATAATACAGATAGACATACGGACTTTATTGAAAAATAGCTGTTGGGCATTGCATTCTCTCGTAGCGGAAGCTTCAAGTTTCGATTTGGCTATAGTAGTAGGTCAGAATTGAATGGCCTCTAATGAATGACTAAGTATAAAAGCCATACATGTATATACTTATTAAAAGTTTCACTTATCTATGTAAAATTTCTATCTGTTTAAAAAATCGGAGTTTTCAGTAGTGTGCCTGACATTGAAGGCCTCGGTGGTCTTGCGGTTTTGCTTCTGATGGTCGCCAATTCGAGTCCTCGCACGCTACAAACATTGTATTCATGAGTATGATTGTTTGTATCGGTGGTTACAAATAAAATTTCTAAGTATTTACACTATCTAGTATCCATAACACAAGCTATTATTAACTTAGGACTAGTTGGCGGTGTGTGAATAGTCGACGGATATTATTATTATTGAACCACATTGTAACGTAATTATCAATTCTTTGTAAAGAATACCACCAAACTGTGATATCTAGTAGAGCTTCCTGAACAAAAAGTGGTGTTCTACATAAGTGTAGAACATCACTTTTTGTTAAGTTTAAGTTTCATTGTAATAATAAATCAGTTAAGTCAACTTCAATATTAACTTAGATAGCTATATCTTCTTATACCTCTTAATTATAGAACCCATTGAACTACTCGTGTCTAATGAATAATTTATTTTTTTCAGCTTGTTATAACTATTTTTCGCCTGCCTCTATATTGTCACGAGAAACATATTATTTTTACCGCATAACATATTATTGCGCAAGGTTATTTCATATTAAGTACCTATAACTTTTTTTCAGCACTAGTCAAGAATTCCCATTTAAATCAAAAACCGATACAGGATACTTAGGCAAGATAGAGCTCTAAAAGATGATTTGTTTCCTGTATTGTGTACTTTATAATCTAAGTAATATATACATATCTACTGCAGCACTTTATCTTTGTCGAAAAGTGATAAGTGCTGCTTAATCTTGTCATTTTAGTGATGAAATTAATTAAATCAAAATACTGTCAAGTGTATCATGTATGTGATATGCAATGCAATATAGTAGGCGTAGGAAGTAATAACAGAGTTTAATATGGTTGTAATCATTCTTAATTTCCATCGTAGGCAATTGACCAAGTACTTAAGACTTTTTGTTTAAACATAGTCTACTATTAGGTAAATCTCGTTGTTTTAGGTAGTGTAAATTAATTAATGTTATAATAAATAGCTTAAATAATCATGACAGAAAAGTATTGAGCGCGAGAGTTGCGAAAGTCATGCAATAACTGAAGAATTGTTTAAGTAGTAAGTTTAAGATTGTTACGTGAATGTGTCGCTGCATGCATTAGCTCCACCCTCGGGTGCTACTAAAAATCAGCATTAGTTGAGTTGAGTTCAGTTCGTTGAGTAAATTATTCACTGAGTTGCTCAACCCTTCATATCTCTGTGGTACCTAATATTTTTTGTTAGTTTTATGTTTTAAGTTTACGTGTATAAGTTAAAGTGTATTGTGTTTTTTAAGTATAATATTATTACAGGTGCATTTGTTTGTAGCGTTAATGTTATTTGTAATATTTTTCATATGAATAAAGATTTTATTTATCTGTCTAATTATTTACATTGAATCCTGAGCACCAAATCTATAACTAACAGATATAGAAATGTAATGTCGACTGTAGTGACTTCTTGTAATTATGTCTCGTATTCAAACCAAAATGTGCCTATTAAGGTTACTATAGTATATTATATAATAATTTGCATTATTTGAAAAGAATCAATATATGTAATTCAAATTGCTCTTATTGTTTAGTAAACCAAAATTTTCCAGGCGATTTCCAGAAAATATGCCGACAAGCACGCGATTTGCAAGCGGCATCGCCTGTAATGGTGTTTGTCAAACATTTTGTTCTAGACATAGCACAATGTTATTTTTTTAGAAACTTTCCTGTCTAGTTTGTTGATTTTGTACAAATGTAAAATAGGCCTTACGAAATGTAAAAAATATGCATACAATGTACTTGATATCTGTGCATTTTTGTGATTTGTCGTTTCTACTTCTTGTTTTTATTAATGTAATAATAACAACACAGCACTACTGGCTTAGAGACTGCAAAGAACATCAATCATTCAAAACTAGCCCCGATACAAATATTTGTATGAGAAATTAAGTTTTTAATTATTTCGTCCTTGATAGAATTCACAATAAATTCAATTAAGCTAGAAAATCCGAAATGGAAATGTTACCGATTTTACCTAGATTTACTAGAACATGTCCGAATACATGAACTAAATACGACATACAGGAAATACGAATAATACAATAATAAATAAATAAATATTTTAATTTTCTTATTTAGAATTGTAGTTGAGAGTTTAGATATATATTTATTCCCATTAGATTTACTAATGTAAGAATTGATAGCTTCGGTGGACCTTAGTGGTGCAGTGTGCATCTAGCATACCGCCTTACTTTCGTTGGTCGCAGGCTCGATTTCTCGCATTATACAAACATTTCTATTCTTGAGTGTGACTGTTGGGTGTTTTCTATGTATGTATTATTATTATTAAGTATGTATTTACAAAAAAAGATTTAAGTAACAATTATTACCTTGGGATTAGATGCTAATGTCCAGGGTCGTTAGTTAGTTAGTAGTTACTATTATTATTATAAAAATGTCAGAACTTACATTTAGGAGGGCTATAGTGCACGTAGAATCCGTTCTTCTTATTTGTTCTCTCAGTAAGCCACTTCTTCACGCTCTCCATAACAAATAGATCATATCAAGACTGTATTACAACGGTATCTTCATACTCATTGCCATTTTATAAATTTCACTTTGTAGGCTAGGTAGATATTGTTTTTATTTATTAATAATGATAAATTAGTTTATTGTGTAGTTTATTTTATTGACACAAAAATTTTAGATACTTAGGTACACAAGTTATTTAAATAATCCTTTGATATACTACCTGTACCTAAATAGAAATTATTTTTCAATAAACAAAGTATTACTAATCGGTACTTCTGTATCATCTTGTTCGCCAAGCACCTATAGATATGTAAAATATGGGCATACACATATATACATGTACGTTTACAGTGATGAATCTATAATCACTTTTTAATTTTGTGGATTTACATTTTTTTTTCTACTTTATATCATATAAAATTTATATTTTCACATTATAAATCAATTCTCTATTTAAAAGTTGTGAACTGGGAACTTACTATTATAGAAATTCATTTGACTTTTATAATGAGAGTGTTAATAGGTAAGATATGAATAATTTTTAACGTCAGAAATAAACTTCAAAGAATAAACAATAGACTGCTATTCTAAATAAACAATAAAGATAAATTGGGACATAATACATTGTAATGACAAGTATTGAGCTGTACAAAGTCGTATAGAAATAAATATAAATCGATTCGCTGCTTACGTAGTACGAAGCGATCGAAATTGTTTCTTATAAAATATTTACAGACGTCCGACTAACACTGTTCACCTTATTGGCCTAGAATACAAAATAGACCTGATATCCACAGCACGGCACTGATGACAAAACAGTATGTTATTTGTGTATTTTATATATCAACTTTCAATATTAATTTCCGTTAAAAAACTGTCAAACGTTTAATGTATACACTTATGTTACAAGAATCAGCTTTAGAAGAGCTATGGAAGTTTTGTCAATGGTTTGATCAGGATTTACTCCTAGCTACTACAGGATGGAAATAGTATTTAGCAAACAAAATTTCAGTAAGAATACTGCGACTTCCTGAAGAGTTATTGAAGAAATTAAACGCGTGTAAAACGCCTGTGTAAGAGAACAGGTGTGTTGCATATACTGACACGTGGTGCGATTAGCTTGCCATCCTCGACGTACCTGTATTGGCAACAATAGGTACACCTTCAACATAATGTTGTTACGATATGTTTAAAATATTTAATATGTAATAAATGTGTTCCTATTATTTGTTTACAGGAAATACTTAATACGGCTGAGTACGCTAAATGTTTATTACTTATATTTCTTATTAATTACATTAATAAGGATTATCCCCATAAATAGCAAAGATGAATTATTCATATTTCGCTTGTCCAAAAGATGAGAATAAAAAGTTTCCTTTTTTGGAAACCAACACACAAAGTAGATATATACAAATTTGTATGTTGAAATAGAGTCGACTTTAAGCTTGATATAATAAGAGGATTGATTACTGATACTATTACTGTTGGCAGTTTAGTGTTAAAGGAATTTTACATTTTTGCCACAAGTTTGTTTAAATCAAAGTTATAGTATATATAAAATTAAAGCCACATTTGTGGTACCAATACTTTTATCTTACAGAAAATACAATCTTAGACCACACTTCCATACATACAAGGTATAAAAATAATATGAATTGTACAATGATCCTTAGAGAGGGAGACGAGAATTAATATTACTATTGTACATTAATTTAACAGAAAATGTTAAACCACTATTCTCATATTACTAGTTTTTAATGTAAATTTATTCTAAGACTAAACTTTGTAGTAGGATTGTCCATGATTCAGCAATATTTTAAACTAGAAAATGTAATGATACAAAGAAGTTCCGACACTGTTATTAATGATCAAACGATGCGGCACCAGAAACCAAACTCGTGTAAAAGGCGTTCCAATTTGCCAATTAAACTGAGTTAACAACAAGTATAACGAAAAATAGATGTTGTTTATATCTATTTATTAATTATCAAAAACAACATATTTTTTGGTTTTTGGTACTTCAGATACTAAAAAATAAATAGTGATATCAACGTAAAAAGTCCACTTTTTATTTTGAATAGTGTACTCGTATATCGAGCGCTTCATATTTTACAGAGTCGTCAATGTCGTATTATGCTCTGTCAATTTTTAACTGTATCTCATTATCAAAGACACGGATGTCCTTGTCTAAATACACATAATGAAGGGAAATAGATATATCAGTAAAATAACTGGGTAGTAATCTGAAGTATTTACGCACTACACAATAGTGCGTAAATACCAAATCTTGTTCATATTATATTATATATGCAAAAGTTTGTATGTATGGATACTTAGTTTGGATGTTTGTTAGTCGTTCACGCAATACTTAATATAGTTTTTAATGAAACTCTACAGTAATATAGCTTATACTTCAGAATAACTCGTATACTATTCTCATTAAGTTAATTATGTTAATATTTCTGTGAAATAAAGTTATTTAATTACCTTCTACTACTTATACATATACCTAATAAAATTATATCAGGCCAATGTCTGTAAATCATAGATAAAAAAAAACCTTTATTAGGTATCTGTATGTGCATCACGCAAAAATTACTGTATTCAATTGAGTGCATTTTACACGGAAATATTACTGGAGGCTTAATTTAAAATATAGGCTACATTTTATAGTCGGAAAATATATTATTGAGTGCAAAACGAGAGCGGGTCGCTAGTTCTTAATGCTATACCTAGATAGTACTTATTGATTTAATTTTTATAATTTCGTAGTCAACCAAGGATGTATCATATTGTTGTTTTTCTTTCATTGTTGACGTGGCGAGTATGAAGTAGCAGCACGTGTTATCGCTCTATTGCTTCGCATTCAAGTCCTTGTAACACTTACTTAAAGTAATGATACATGATTGTGTGACACACCTGTGTGTTTACACACGTGATTTTCAGTTCCGCTTTCTCATAAATCGAACTTTCAATTGGGCCAATTTTCATTATTGTATATGTATGATGATACATATATAAAAATTGCAAAAAAAAATAGTATTTCTACCTTAAATATTTTCATAGTTTTAAAAAGAGTAGAATTTTTCTCAGTTTGGCTGTTTGTTTGCTAACGTAAACTAAAAGAATTTAATACCCGGACACCATAAAAGAGAAAAAAGCGGCTAAACTCATTTAATTCCGTTTTTTATTTAGTGTTTATTTCATTCCGATCGGTTCATGAACAATAAAATTAATGTACGACTATGATGTCAACCGAGTCGTGAACACAACAAGTATGAAAATATGTATAGAATTAAGAGATATCAAATATTATATATAGATATTGTTATAATTAAATTTGTTTATTACGTACAATAAGGCGCAATAAGAAAAGGAAATGGTAACTATATAAAAATTATTGAGGCGATTGATATACTCTGATTACTAATAATTATTTAGTATTAAACTGCTCCGAACTACGTGATAAAGTAATATTAATGTTAAAACCAATATCTTTCATGTTATGGTTTTCGTTTGTCGTTTGTTCAGAAATTTCATCTTCCAGAGTGCTATTTTCAGCTGAAAAAAAAAAGCAAGTTAAACCGATGATGACACACATCTAGATTTTAAACCGTGTTAATGTGACGCGTGTAAGCCCATGAACATGGAAACTCTATAATAATTTTGTGAATGATTGAAAATACATTAGAAGATATTTAATAGTTTTACCAACGTTAGAAAAAATAAATATATTATACATCAGACTAGTACCTATTATGTTTTCTAAACTTCGAATTATATAGTATGAAGGGCAATACTAACCTTTATTTAGATGTACATTTAGTATTCGGTGATAAAGTTCGTTAAACTTTTTTTGCCGCTTTACATTCGACGGTGTTCGGACTACTAATGTGGGCAAGAGTATGTAATGCTCAAGGTCTGGTTCTTCTTTAGACTGATATTTACGTCTCGAAGCATCTTTCTTTACCACAAGGCGAGGAGTTTTATGATACGGCTTGTAAGTGGAACTACTTCCACTGGTTAACTCCTGTGTCCTGTTATAAATATTACTATTTGTCTTCTCTGATGAAACTGTATTTTGCTCTAACTTGATAGGACTTGAAGTATGATAGCAACACGTAGCTTCTCTGTTAGTACGTTGTCGGGAAAATGCGTGACTGGGACCAGGAATACAATCTTCTAATCTTGACGCATTCTTTCGACGAAAGTCAGGCAAAATTAAGCGATCATGACTTTTGTGACCATTTCGTAAATTTTGTTCTTCCCGTCGCCTGTCCGTCATTACTGCACTAGTGGTATGTACATCGTTGAGAAGGATTCTTCTATCATCATTCGGCTGTTTGTTTTTATGGCTTGCTACAATTATATCTCCGGTTTTTCCTACAGGTCTGCAGCTCTCATGACGATGATTTAGTTTGACTATTCTGTAATGACGGCGTCTTCTGCGTTCGACATGTGCAACTCTTTCTCTTAGCAAACTGTCAATTAAACGTTGCAATTCACATCTAGTACTGCATCTTTCAGGATGTGCTATTCGACGACCTAAGCGAGTATTTGGCCAATGTGTACGACACACATCTTCCCATATAATGTCACTGAGTACTGCCTCTCGAGATGGTGTTAATTTTATACCATCATCACGGGGAGCGAATTCGCCCTGCGCTAAATAATGAACTGTATCCATCAGCCGATAATCACGAACCGGATTAAGTTTGTGGCGTATTTTATGTACTCTCTCAGCAGCCATTTTAGGGACGTCATCACGTTTACAAGGTACTGAAGCACATTGTCTTCTACCTCGTGCTGTTATGCCATCGTAAGTAGTAAAATCACGACCATATTGTAAATCACGGCCATATTGTTCTGAATTATGTTCTTTTTCTAGAGTAGCAGCTTTACTTGGAGACAATGGTGCCGTTTGATGAGCATATCGTTGGAAAGCTGATGTTTCTGGAATATGGCTATATTGTTCTATATAACTACAACAAGGGCGCCCTATACCAGATGCAGTTCTTATTACGTTATTTTTGGATTCATCTTCAGATGAAGATATGGGCACATTAGGATCAATTGCCCGAAACATTATTTCTTGCTTCATAATTTTGCGTTCTAAACAATCGATTCTTCTGTTTATTTTCTGCAAAGTACTAGTAGAAGGCAATGCTGAATCTTCAGAAGAAGTATTTGTGACAATAAGTGTAGCAATATCTACTTTATGTGAGCTTCCTTTTGACTTATCGTTTTTCGCATTAACTTTCGGAAGGTTCATAATTAATTTTGGTTGTGTATATATGTAACATTTTTCGATTGATCGTTGTGGCGTATTAGGCACTTGAGTTTTAAACTGGAAACATTTAGAAACTACTGTAGAAGTGTCTAAATGTTCATTAATAGACGAATATTGTTCCAATTTACTGTTGGATGTTTCGGTTCCTTGTTCCGTTTTACACTCACTAGACTTTTGGCTGTTAGAGTTATATTCAGAAACATCTAAAAATATAAAATATTTTAAGCATAATAAATAAAAAATATTACATAATAGCTGCAGAAACAAAGCATCTTACTAGTCGTGAACGAAGAATGGTCTCCTATAGCTAGTCGTGAACCAGATTTTTCTGAATTCTGTGAATCAAAACATATTTTTTTTTACAATATCAAATCACCAATATTAGTAAAATTTATATCTTATGCACCTTTTTAGCATTGAATCTGCTCTTCTCAGCAATATACAGCGTTCTAATCGTGGGCATTCGCGGCTTTATGGATACTAGTACTTTTTGCGATGCCTCTCGTTTGGTCGGTTTCTTTTGAAATATCTCGAAATCTATATCACAATATGAATAATATTTTTATTAATCATTTATTATTATTAAAATAGTAGATAGTTGTATGTAAATTATTTATAATACCTAGAATTAGTTGTTTGTTAGATAAGTGAGGTTCTCCTACAAGAGAGTCAACTTCACGTATTAATTTTTCTTCTTTGATGGATAATAATTTCTTGGATGGCAATTGTTTATTTTCCATCACATTTTATTTTCGTCTTCCTCGGCATAATTACAATGTAATTTTTAATCTACTGACGTACAAAATAAAAAGGTTAACGTAACAATAATTTAGAGGAATGATAAAATTTTACACCATTTTGGCAGTTTAGAATTTGGCATTCGATTTCAAAGAAAGTTTTCTTCTTCAAATATACAAAAATCTATGGTTATCAATGTCGAAAAGTTTATGTTATTAACATAAACTTTTAAGTAGTTTTAACTAATACAGTTTCAGAGAGTTCAATAGGCGACCATTTATAAATTACTAATAACTTCCAGTAGTATACAACAAAAGATAATTTACTAGGTATCGTAGATAAATAATGTCAATCAGTATTGATCAGGGATTTGATAAAGTTAATATTGTAAATCGATATTATCATAATAGCAATACATTACATCCACTGAAATATGATATTTTATAGTTGTAACATTTCGTTGGTACTTATAAATTAGTCGGTTAGTATATCGATTTTTTTATTCAGTCCTAAGAGGTACCTCTGTATTTGCTTACTACAATTATTTAACTATTTCGTAACATATTTTGAAAATGGAATATAATAAAAACAAGAAAATTAAATGTCAAAATTAACAAAGAGTGACGTTTTATACAATTGTAATTTCTAAAAAATTGTTGTCGATATTTGGGTGACAAATTGGTGAGGTTTTAGCATAAATAATACGTATGGATGCTTGAGTAGCAAAATATGTCAGAACAAGAGAAGGAAAGTGGGGTGGCTGCGACGGGGTCCATTGTATCGTTCGAACAGACAGCTGGTAGTCGGCACAAGCAACCTTACCGTCCTACTGAGCTGCAAGAGGAACCAACTACTGATCTTCACCATAAACGTTCTAGAGTGCCGGCTGCACCTAGTATGATTTTTTTATTATCCAATGGAATTAAATACGAAATTTCTATTACAAATGCAATTTTGCCATTTAATATCAACGAGCATTAATTGCAAGATTTCAGATATTAATATTAAATTTAAGAACTCTGAACAATCTCTTTAATAGTAAAAATTTAACGATTCTTACAGTCAACGTCTACTTCCGAACTTGTATACTGTATCATAGCTATGATATACGTAACGTCATCTGGATATTAGTTATTTTAAAAGTGTGTTAAAAATTGTTTTTAAAATAATATTAACAAATTAAGTATTTCACTTGAATATATATCATTATCATTGGAAATAAAATTATCCTTGTGACATGTAAGATTAAACCTACTATTACATACTGTAGACCTATGGTCCTAGCTAGTTTTTTACACGTATATGAGTTTCCAAATATAAATTTATTTCGTAATAGAAAATATATTAAAAATAATCTAACCCTAAATATTTCATCCCTTAATCTATTTATTATTGGTCTCTCTGGGTCTCTGTAATTACGAATACCCATTTATATAATGTTAGTATTCTAGATGGTTAATTAAATTGAGTTATATTATTTACAGTCTTAGCCGAAGAGCTGAAAGTGTCTACAATACATCAAGATCTTGAAGAACAGAGGGAATGTGACCGTGGTATGTTCCAATTATTTAGTTTATACTAAAATTATAAATAGGAAAGGTGTAATTTTTTATTAATTTGTAATGAGTAAACTAAAACATACTTGACTAATTTGAAAAATACTTCACTTATAGAAAGCTTCGTAATCAGTGTGTACCGTATTGCCAGATACAACTGGGTTATATAAATAAATAATAGAGTAATACACAATTTCCACAGCGCCATCTAGTGCCACGGGAAGCAGAGCTTGTGTAATGGATACTAGACAATATAAATACGATTTTTTTTATTATTCTGTAAATACATACATAATATACATAGAAAACACCCAAAATATAAACGATCACACTCATTAATACAAATGTTTGCACAGTGCGAGGAATCGAACCCATGACCATCGATAGTAAAGCAGTGTGCTTAACCGCTAGACCACCGAAGCATATAATTTATTGCTGGATATTAATAAATCAAATTATTGATTGCATTTATGATGGCAATGTATTTTTGTTTCAGCAATGTCTTCAGAGAAACACAAGCAGAGTGAAACTGAAATAAGATTAAGTAACACAAAAAGGCGAGAGTCGTCGCCTGAAACAATGGCTTTGACAACTTTGGAAGTTGAAACTAAGGTACGGTTATTCAGTTACCACGTACACTTTCTTATTATATATTTTTTCCATATATCTTGAGATCTGTCTCTAATAATTATACAATGATTACACTGCTAACTCTGAAGATTATCTTGATCCCTTACTATGTAATATTATGTTATCTGTGCTTAATATAAGGTACGAGTATTAAGCACAGATTACATAATCTACATAAGATCAGTCATGTATACTCATTTGAGAAACAACAACTTTAGTATGTATTGTACTAAAAGTTGTTCTTCTATAAACGCGTCCATGAGGTTTGATCGCGTAATAGACTATTACGCGATCAAACCTCATGGATTATGTTATGATTATTATGATATCCTAGGAATAAAACTTTAGAATTTTTAGTTGTATCTTAGTACACACATATATGTTTAATTACAAATAGTATACAACCTACTTAAATTACAGAACAAAAAACTTCTTTGTTCTGTGTTTCAAAGATTGAAATACAATATAATACAGGTTTACCTGTATGTATCTGCCATAGCAATACAAAATGCCTCATAGCTCAGTGGCGAATCACTCAAGGAACAAAACACTGATTTTCAGAGTAGGTGGTGGCAAGTGTGATTGTACTAATTAAAAAGTAGTCTGCAACAGTATTTCTTAGCACCCGTTTGATGACGACAACCTATTAATACCCACTACGAGCGTTCCATAATACCATGATGTTTACGAAGTTCTTTATGTATATATCCGTGGGCAGTCAGCTTCATTTAGTTATAAAAATGCAATAAATTATTACAGTCAAACCCTATACATAAAGTAGATGTTCACAAAATGAAACGATAGCACGCCATGTCGCGTAACGATTAGTACTTAGTGAGAATTGCGTGAGACCAAACTAGATATAGGCACTACATGCCGCTGTAAAATAGAACAACATAACATGTCATATGAAACAAATTACTTCTTATTCATTCTGTAGCTTCTCTTTATTTTTCTTTTAATAACACTTAACTGTTATGTATATATTACCTATTGTTCTTTTGTTTTTTCCTGTCTTTCTAACACGTTCTTTCGCACACTTTAACTATTTACTTATAATTCTATTCGATCTCACATATGTAGGAACTAAGTATGAGCTACATTATATCAGTTTAAAAGTAATAAATATAATAGTGTAGTATTTTTTGTTACAGAAAAGAACTCTCACAGTCCCACCACAGCCAATTCCAGTAGAGACAGTAATATCAACCATTAAAAACCTTGTTGATGAAAAAAATCGAGGAACGGATTTAGTTACGAAATCTGATGATGATAGCCTAACAGAAGATGTAGCAGAGTTACGAATAACCGATTCAATTGGAAAACGTGCGGAATGGGTATTGTATGATTTATTAATTAAGTTATGGAATTTAAGATCATGTTTATTATTTTTTAAAACTGATTATATACTCGTATATCTCTATGAATGTATATACTAAAATAAATATTAATTATATAAGTTTATAACTATCTACACTATACACACTATAAAAACAAAGTCCTCTACCGTAACCGTACCGTTCTAAAGTAACTAAACGAGATATCAACAGAGTAGTTCCTGATAAAGGTGTACGTATAATATATTTTTATACTACCCGTGCGAAACTGATGCATATCACTATTTGTTTATTAATATTCTCAATTACTTAACTTTTTGGAATAATTCACCGATAAATCAAGCGCGGCAGCCTGCCACGAAAATAATATATTAATATGTATACAGTAATATTACCGTCGTATAAAATTTAATTACCCAACATTACTTAAGTGTAATTACTGTTGTAGTCTGATGACGAAGAAGCTGGTGGGCTGCCCCGCAGTGACTCGCGCTCCTTCCGCGTCTCACGCGCTATGCGCCAGCTGTTCTGCTGTGGAATGCTGTACGAGGCACCCTCTGAGGACAATGTCTCCTCGGCACAAGATTACGCTACTGGAATTTAAACTAGCTTCTCTAACTCTGTTCTTCTGTCCAAAGTATCCCTACATGTCGCAATAGCTGGCTATTTCCAACAGCCACGTTAGTATCTAAGAACTACGTACACACTTAAAAATTAAGCTTTAAATGAAAAAAAAACGTTCGCTAATTCGAAAAAGGGCCGGTTCTAAATGTATTGTTTTGTACTAATAAGATATTTGTTGGGATTTGGAAATGGCCAGCTAAATAAATTGAGACGTACTTATATAAATTATTTCATAATAGTGTATATAAAATGACTAATTACTTGTTTTATTTTTTATTATAGTATCTTAATTATTATAGTAAATAATTGATGTGAAATGTGAAGTGTTGTGTATTATTTACTAGAAATAAAAAAAGGTTTGTTAAATATTAGTTAATCTCATAAGATTTCCTCACATCAACTAATTACTTTCCGTAAATATTAATTTATCGCCTATTTATTTACCGAATTTATAAGGCATCCCTTTATTCACACACACACAGACATATGTGTTCTCAGCCTACAAGACGGTTTCAACACTAATAAGTATAAAGTATAAAATCAGTGGTTCATATCATTTATGTGACTATTATACTACAAATCCCATGAGTCCAGTCTCCCTAAAATTACGATATGCAATATTAAAATTGATTTAGCGGTGAGCACCGTAATTTATGCTGATTGTCGGCGAATTTAAATCTATGCTATCATAATAATACGAGAAAATATGCAAGTCAAGGTCTTCAAGTGTGAAGCAAAGTTCATAAAACAAGATCAATTTACAGATAGATAAGAAAAGCGGTCCAGACAATAATGACGGACTACTGGATAATCCTAAACATCGACATCAGGACAAAATGACAAAAGAATATTTAGCGACCGAGTGTGCTAAACTAGTAAGTTTTTGTAAACCATTAGCACAGGCGGCTGCACCATTCCACAATCATCCATAAAAAAAAAAACTGAGACTGTTAGTCTATATGTTGCACTAACAGTAGGACTTATGTACAGTATAATCAACATAATAAAATATATAAATAATTGCAGAATATCTGGTCAGGTAAAAGTCAATATTGGCGCCAAAAGTCAGTACTGGTTATTAGAAGGCAAAGCCTCTATTGGACCTTGTTTTCATCCCGGGTTGCCAAGAGAAGACCGTTCTGGAATTATGATATGCGTTCCAAAGGTATTTTCATAATTTATCTAAATTATTAATATCATTCAGCACGTATGTTATTTGCTTCTGGTTATATCTTCTTGATTAATACTTCCCACTATGTGCGACCGCGACTACTGAGGGACACATACTTTTTGTTGTTGGGAACTTTCTGCCTGTCAATAAACAAAATAGAATATTAAAATATTTTCTGCTACCAGAATAATTTACAGTAAAATATTCATAGTAAATGCAGACTTTTACGTAATGCTATACATAATGTACATATATAACCTAGTAAGGAGTAATACTGCTACTGCACTGATTTTCCTATACCTGTTAGAATATGTTAGTCTTTAGAGTTTCACTTGTAAGAACTGTAGGTGAAGTGAAGTTTATTATTCTAACTATTTTTGATACTTTAGAATAATAAACCAAATATTTCTCACGTTTAAAGTTATACCATATACAAGTTGAAAATATTAATTTCCATTTACAATTTAATATTTTCAGAAATCAATGAGAAAAGTCAAAGAAGATTTTAACGTGATACCATCAGTTATTAATATTTCAGTTTCAAAGGTCCGTATATTTTCAGAAATCGAATATTTTCTGACTATATCCTAGATTACTTACCTACACAAAGACAAAATATAAGCCTGCTTCAATAGGCGTGTTTAAAACATATGTACGTATAATGTTTCATATTGCAGAAATGTATAGCCGCTAAATCGAAGTCGCAAATTAAATAAATAATGAAGAAAGTAAAAATAGAAATTTTCTACAGATGCATAGTTACTTTAGATTTAAAAGTATTATTAAATATTGGTAGCAAGTTTACCTTCAAATTCCAAAAAACTTCGTTTCAAAAATTTCTTATTTAGATTCCTTATTTTTAATATTACCTATTTTGTATTTATATTATGTTATCTGTAATATAACCTACTAACATACTCATATAAAACAAATAAATACATTTAATATTATGCAGATTCATCGCTTTTCGTTTAAAAGTACCTGAATGCAAAGTTATATATTAAATAGACTTTTTACTACCAAATATTTATTTCATAAATATGTAAAAAAATATAATAAATAATTTAAAAAATAACAATCACTTTTTTCCTTTTGGCACAAGGTTCAAATAATATCTACCAACATTTTTGTATTCCAAATTAATAAGGTCTTTATTTATATAGTTTTTTGGTATATTTTTAATTACCCGCTACAGGGGTTCATTGCCTTTTCTCGTATTTCTTGTTCTATTCGTACACTCCTAGGTACCCGGCATTCGGAGCAAGCTGCGTTTTTCAAAGGCATTTGATGCGTGAGGTTAGCAGCCCTCGCCGCATCATAGTCAACCCATCGAGGTCGCCAGCACAGTTCTGTGCTACCCCACCGGCAGGTCATATCACGGCATATCTAAACAAGTACAATGAAATAAAAATATATAAACAACCAACAAGAAAGATTTGTCTTTAGGAGCCATACAGCCTCACAGCACATTTATGAAAATATTATGTATACAAGGAAAAAGATAGTTTCAAGAAACTTAAAAACTTACAAGCTAGTTTCAATAAAAATAAGAAATTTTAAAATGACTGTACAAAAGTTAGTAATTCATTCTATGGTAACTTACGCAAATAAAAATCTGACAGAGAATTCAAATTTTATATTAAACAAATGTTATGTAAAAATGCCTTTTAAAGGATAGATGAATTTATGGATCATAGCAATATCTAGCTAGAATATGTTTATTTGAAGACAACGTTAATTTCTTTTTCATACTGCTTTCTTGATATATGATAGCATAGCGGCTTTTGTATTAATTGCCGCATGCATCCTCATGTAAAGTGCGAATACCGTAACTACCATATATTAATTTTAAGTAGCTGTGACGTGGTCGAGTGGAATGAGTAGTCATGCTCACTAAAATGTCCAGACATGTGGCGGCGTGGTGGGCCGGGTCATTGGGCTCCTTAAAATATGGTCGAGCGCAGTGATGCCTGGCTCATCCGTCATACACTCGTTCACTAGAGTGATGCTTGTAGGGACTGGTCTGCTCTTATCACTACGACTGATTTAATCTTATTGTATATTTATATTTGACCCAAATAAATTAGTGCTGGTTGGTAGTTTGTATTCACAAGTTTCGACTTGTAAATGTAAACTTACAAGGATTATTTAAGATAGGACAGCTTTCCGAACGAGCGGTAGATAAAAAATATTGTTATGACTATTCAATAGTGCTTAAATTAAGTTTATTTGAATAAATGATTTTCTATTCTATTCTATTCCATAGTACAAAGTCTAGTTTATTTCGTGACTAAATGATGTGTAAATTGTTCTGGGTTAATTCATATTAATGAATATGTGAAATAAAAAATTTCTACCCCTTTTTACTAAAATTATAACAACAATAAAATATGAAATTGTTTCTTTAACAGCATACCCAAAGGAGTACTTAGAGCTAATATTGTAATACTTTATAATAATGATTAAAAATGTGTACAATTAATAATAAAATTAAAAACATACGAAAATGCGTTTGACACACTTCGACCAAGTCAAGATATCAAAAAGCTTTCGAAAAAAAATTTGATGGCTTCCAATTGTCAATATATATAATATATGTCGCATCAGGACATAAATCTTTGACATCAAAACCTCTATCTTTGACATCAAACATCTCACGTAATGTAAAATCTCGACCACCATTAGTTATTATTAAAATACATACATAAAGTTGTAATGAGGCAATATTACATACACTAGAGGTAGACCTATTTCAGCCGCCAAGCAGCTTTGTACGGTGTCTTCCGAACGTAAGGTGCAGATTAGGCAGTGAAATTACAGGATACGAGGCATGAGTGGTCACATGATAACGTCATGCCCGTAGTGCTGTTAATGCACTTGGGCGACCGTTATCACCTTTAAGTGGGCCATCAGCTTGTTTGCGTTAAAAATTGTAATTACATTAAAAAAATACAAACCGAAGCTAGGTATTCATCGCGGCAGGTGTCAGGGCAGTCGCAGGTCCAGTTGACAGGCGGTACACACGGCACTATGGGCGGCGTGTAACACGTGCACGGATGCGCGTAGCAGTTTGCACAACAACACTGTTGACACATCGAGTACACCTGGAATTATGTGAATTACTTACATACAAATACGTTAAATTGCTGATGTTAAAAAATACCAAAGAGCGTTGCATGCAGCGGGCAACGGTGATCAGGCTATAACACGTTTACCGTTCGCCTGCTCCAGTACTACTGCGGACACCGAGACGACCAACAAGAATGTGCCACTTCCGTACAATAGGTATTTGGAGTCTCACTAATATATATAATAATTATTACTATAATAAATTTAATTTTAAGTTCTATATTAGTTTTTTTACTCCTCCGGCACCGGCCTATGTATTTTGTGTAATCTGTAGAATATGCTCTGACTATCTGCGTGGTGTGTTAAATGTGAAGTACTTAATAATATAATAGAAATTTTAATTATAAACCGTAACGTAACGGCACAACTAAGGAATGCATTTATCAGTAATATTCATCTATTTTTTATTGTTTTCTAATACTTATTAAGATGCATGCAACATTTCCGAAAATATTACAAGTAGTAGTTGTAACTTCGCCCATTTGAATGCCGTGATGTTAATATATTTTAATGTTATGTACTCGTGTATACCTACGAGTAAAATATCTTTTAGCAAAGAAAATATTGTATTATTATTTAACCACCTTTTGCGGCTAATGGTGTACAGTAATTTTATTTTTTTCAGTCAAAGTAGGTCTATATCATATAAATGACATTCTACATGACAAGTGACTCTGACTTATATATGTATATTATTTTGTATATAAACATGCATAATACATATTAAAAAAATTACCAGCCATATTGCTCGAGCGACCTCATTCCTTACATATGGCAGACAGTTGCACAGTAAACAATTCTCAAATTTCGACAACTCTGGAATACCTAAGTGTTTTTCTATTCCCGAAGGTCCCAGTACGACCTGGAAAAACAAATAGCAAAATGGGTATAAATTCGTCTTTTTATTTGTTCGGTTATTAAATTTTTGCGTGAAAACGCCTGGAGGAATTTTAACAGACTGTATTGTTATCTGTTTTTAAATATAGAATAATGAAGTGTTGAAACTAGAAAATTATGCTACAAAGGAGTAATTCTTTTGTGTAATTTTAAGTACACTAGTGTACTATTGTTAATTTATTAATTCATAAAATAACAGATGAAGTTTTACAAATACTATATTTATTATAGTCGTTTGATTATTGTCAATATATGGCGTCAAATGTACACAAAGGTATGAAGGAGGATAATATAGTGAAAATATGTGTATAAAAGACAAGACCTAAATAGTTTTATGATCTTTAATAATCACATTGTAAACCTACATGATGAGTAGAGAAAATTGAAAAAAATGACATTCTATATTGTCTTACCTCGCTGGCAAAGAATTGACAATCGGGCGCGCACGTCCCTAAAGTATCGACGTATGCACATTGGATAACTTCCTTCGAACCTTGCAGGCCTTTCACCACGTTAATAGTGTTTCGAGCCACAGCATATGCGCCAGCAAGACACGCAGTCTCCGCACAGCACCCTTTTGCTGCGCAAACTGCTTCGTTTCCACTCATTATACACGATGTGACACATTCAATCTGTAAGTGGAGTTATAAAACAAATTAAATACACCTACCTCACTATTGTTCCTTGGTCAGAGTCATTGTCAGGTGTTAATATTGTGTTTGATATATTTAAAAATGAAATGGTAAGGGCAAGTCTACTGCTATCTCACAGGAATCAAAATCTCGTCTATTTTACTTCGTCCAATTTAATTAAAATAAACTGCTTTTTATTGGATACTTCCGAACGAATCAGTTTTTATCCATCCTAATGTTATAAATGAAAAAATTGTCTATTTGTTACCTTTTTATGGCTAAGTGACTTACCATCTTGTCATTCACTTGAACTAGTATGTATATATTATATATGATAGCGGTTATGAAAAACATGACTAATTTTCAACGTATAGTACTTCAGTACGTAGTACCTACCTAGGCACTATCGCAGAATTCGATAATCATCAGAATAAGTTATAGATAAGTACCTAATAAGCATATGATCTCACCTGTTCCTGAGTCATTATACATGGATGAACGGCAGCCGAAAGAACTGGTACCATGGTATTAGGGGTAGCACCACCAATAACAGGCACTCTCACCGACTCAGGTGGGGCTCTCAGAAAGTCAGCAAGGACTGTATTAGCACGCACGCAGTTAAGTTCTACACAGCCTAACAATTTACGAGGATTGTAAACACTTCGGAGCCTTTGTATTTCGCCTAGAAGGGGCACCATACTCTCCACCGGTTCTGTCGCAATTATTGTGAAAGCCTGATAGACAAATAGACATATTAATTAATGTACTGTTCTAAAATGTACCTTAAATAACTTAAAATATTTAATATAGTTATGTATTTTATACATTACGAGAATTTTATATATAAGATGTCGTATATATACAAATGATTACGAATCTTAATAAGAATGAGAACATAATGAATTCATTTCATTCCATTTAATCATTATTTATGGAAACTCAACAATAACTTGTTACAAATTCTTTAGCGTCATTTGTGTATGGTCAAATGAGATTAGGATATACATTAAATTATAACTTTATACTCACAGAAGGACAGGTATTACAAATCTGCAGCGCAATCTCTGTTATGATCGGCGCACTATATTCAAAAGTGTCGTAACAATTCCTCGCTACAATTACCACGACTTTAGCATCCTGGGGCGAAAAAGCAAAGGTAAATAGCTATAATTAAGATCTTCTAGAATATAAAATTAAAAAGATTGAAATTGTATAATAGAATTTAAATGACTTAAAGGCTTCTAATATTTACTGAAAAGTTTCAATAATAATTTTTATAAATATACACGCGAATAAAAATATAATAAGGTATCAAAGCATTATAAGAAATTTAGGTTTCATAAACTAATCGATTTAGTCTCTAAAATTACAACATGGATAATTTTTATTTAGGTAAGTTTATATACAAGTACCTACATTATGTACTTGTAGGAAGGTATTATTCAAAATAACTGTTAAATTTGTGATAATTAGGTTCCATATGACATCCATTTTGTAAATTTTACTGAACTGGTCGAAAAATTTTAGAAGTTGAAAAATTATCTATCGAATATAAGCGCTTTTAAAATATAGTATTTTTATAATCACCTTAAGAGCATCACAAAGCATGTGACGACCTGAGAAGGATGAGACTTTACACTTCGTATCTACATGGCTCAGTTCCATACCATAGCCACAAGTGGCGCATACATCATACAGTGCTATCTCGTCCAATAATGGACATTGTTTTAATAATAGAGCCAGTGGTTGGCCTGGAAACGAAATAATATTAATTTAAAAGATATTGTTAAACGTTGCTTAAATCGAATTTGCCATAAATTCCAGAGAGAAATTCTAAACCAATATACCTACTAGATTTGTATATGGTTGATATTATAAAAATAATTAAGAGAGAGATTGAGAAGAATTTGAGAGGCATAGGTCTGTATTTTTGTATTACAAAAAAGTCGTGTATTAGATAATTATTGGAAACAAAACTTCAAAAATTAATTTTATTCAACCTATTTAGTTCCATGCGATTTATGTCTCCTAAAAATAAATAAAATCTTTCGAGTGTTTGTACACCTGTGCATATGGTCAACAAAAGTTGACAGTTACTATTATTTTATAACTTGAAGTCCAAACTATAATTTGAGTACAAACTAAATATTTGAACTCATTAAAAACATGTAAGACGAGATAAAATACGTACCTGTTTTTCCCGCTGCCCCGCAGATAGTAACTTTCATGCCAGCTGGACATGTACTGTAATGTTTAACAGCACTTATCTCAGGGTAACTCTTGAATTTAGTACCCCATATTTGTAGTCCTCTTAATCGCCAAATTCCAGAAACAGCTCGAAATGTATGCATTTTTTTTTTATTTTTAATTCAAATAAAAATTTTCACATATTACTCATATTTTCATAATTTTAATTACTATTTATTGACATTTAATTTACTGTTAAACTTTTATAGTCAACCGCTTATTCTTTATAATTAAGAATAAGCGGTTAACGGCAAAAGAGGCCAAACTATAGTAATGAATAAGGTTGAACAAAGATGTATACTTTTTAAAAAGATATTAATGTTAGTATTTCAAAGTAATACTTTTTTATTTAAACATTGTTTAATAATTCATGAAAAGCACGCAAACAAGAGTAGTGTGACTAAAATTTATAATTGTCCGTATGGAAATATTGAACTTTTTTAATTAGGCATTTTAAAAAAAGAATAATTTAAACTACAAGTATGTTGTAAAAATATTTAGCCATGGTAAAATTGTTTCCTTAAAGTAAAATAACATACTAATAGATATTTGATTACAGTTTTGAAAGCACGAAACACACTGCCATAAGCTGTGAATGAATAAATAATGTTACTTTTATGATAGTATCAGTAAATGTAATCATTTGCATAATAATTGCACTGTTCCATATAGGCATTAAAAATATACTTAAATTCATCAGTTGAAAGTTATTCATACTACGAACAACAACCATGTTTTTCACTTCGAGCACTAATTTTCCATTTGTACGGCCAAAGAAAACAACTAGTTTTTATAGTGCTTTTAAGCCTATTTACTTTATGCTCTCTTTATTGGGACTATTTCCCTGTAGCATAAAATATAAATCGAAATGTTACAAAATTATATTTCGATCAATATATTTAAATTTACTGTATATTATATTTCTCATATCGCTTGTTTCTGCGTTTGTTGTCTTGCATATTCAATTTATTCTCTCCTATGCTGAATTCAGTCCCTTTACTAGCACTGATATGACGCACACAAATTATATCATAGAATTAATGTTATTGTTCTTTTCCTGGATTACAATATATGTGTATGTTTATAAAAACAGGTATAAATATGTAGATATTTTAAATAGATTGACCACTTTTTGGTATGAACTGCCAATCAATCGTCATTTTATTATGGAGCAACTGAATTGCCGCGTTTCTGTATGTCTAATAATGTTACTTATACTTACTGCGTCTTTATTCATTCTAAACTTTACACGAAGAGAAGGCTTATGGAAAAAAGTCCTAGTCATCTTTTCTTTCATTATACCACAAATTACACAATTTGTGCATATAACATTCTATTGCTTATTAATATTTATGATTGGAGCAATATTAAACAATATTGAAGAAAATTGTAAAAGCATTGCAAACGAGAAAAACTTCGATTCGTACGATGAGTTCTCGGTGAAAAATAAATCTCTAAGTTTAACTCTGAAGCATCTAGAAATAGTGTATGTCAAAGTGATTGAAGTTAAACGAAATGTAATGGAAGCATTTCAGGCTCCTATTCTATTGACAATGCTACAATGCTTTCACGCTATGGTTGGTCAATGGTACACTATGTACTATGGTATTATTTCTACTGGGCCACTTACGCTTCACGAAATGATCAATACTACATTTTGGATTATTTATCAACTAACGAAAATTATTGCATTTGCTTATTCAGGAAATATTCTGAAAGTGAAGGTTAGTAGTAGAGTTATAATTATATCATATTACTCGTACTAATGTTTTATAAAACTGTTTGCCCTTGTGGTAGTATAGAAACTCTTTATAATACTATGATTTGTTTTTTTATTGTCTTGTCATATTGTAACATTTCAACATGTATATCTTACTAGCATTTTAGTTGAATTAAACCAATATTTCCTTATGGTCTATATCGTTTTGTATCAGATGTTTTATAAAACTGTTTGCCCTTAAAGCATAATTTATAAAGATATAGATATTTACAAATTACAAAATTTAATAGTAGTTGATATTTTGTTTGGTAACTAATTGAGAGCATATAAAATAGTTGTACTTTCTACAATTAAAATAATGTTGTCTCTCTGACTTTCCAAGACAATGTGTTTTTTTCATCTCGACGCCTTATCATTTTTAAGGGTACCTGTTTGTCTTTTTATTCCATATGTTAAACTACTCTGTATATTTCAAGGTAATAAAAATAGGCCAAGCTCTTCATAAGATACCAGCTGTCAAAGAAGATATCAGGTTGAATATGGAGGTATGTACATATTGTAAACTAAAACAATATAATCCTTAATTGTAGGTCAATTTACAAAGAAAATGAGACATCATCCTTACAGTACTACTCCGATCTAGATAGTTAGAGCCACAGAACAACTTCTCTATATTGAGGTTGGAGCCATGCCATTGTAATAATTCAGAAGGCTACAATTTCTGAGATCGTTTAATCTAATGTGTACTCTAATGTGTCACACTACGGCTATCTCTCGGATTAATGTGTTTTGTTATCAGTGTTATTATTACCAGAGAGAGAAAAATAAATTGGCACATAAATTTATTAGTGTCGATTAAGATCAATGATGACCAATTGGGGTCTCTAAATTTAGATAATATCTAGTAGTCAAAGACAATGAAAAGACTGAAATAAATCATAATTAATTTGTTTACAGATACAACACTTTATATCACTGATATCCCATCAAGGACCAGAGTTGACGGTGTATGGATTTTTTTCACTCGATGCTACTCTTTTTTTTCATGTTAGTAATGAATATCTTCTAATTCGTATAAACAGTATTATATAGGTATAAATATTTCTAACTTTATTATCTACTCATTGGTTATCTATCAGTTACTGCAGGTAAATCTATTCTTTTAAAATAAACACTAAGTAAAAAATATATTTCACAGGCAATGGCATCTGGGACAATGTATCTAATAGTTTTAGTACAACTAGCGGGTGCAAGTACATAATCCAAGAAAGATCATCTCTAATATAAAATACGATGGACGAATGGGATTTCTTCACCATCCTTCATAAATCAAGAAAGAAAGCTTATTCCTTCCCAATAAACCTATAACTTACTTGCAATTTCCTTGGTGTTGCGGGTGCTCGTAGGTGATGGTAATCACTTACCATCAAGCGAGCCCCATGCTCATTTATTCATTATGCTATGAATGAACCTGCAACCATATGAAGTAAAGCGGTGTGCTGAACCACTAGACCTGACCTGGCCATCAGTATCGTATATAGTATATAGGTATATTATTTATACTTCGTACATATGTTGTAAAACTGTTTGCAAAGAAATTAATTTAATGTAGGTAGGTATTAATAGTATTATAATATATGATTCTTAATATTAAATTACTTCATTTATTCTGGATTTTTATTATTAATTGTGATTAGTCCTTACTTTCTCCATCCACCCAGTAAAAGTGTAAAAAAATACTTACGTTACTAGTAAGACCACTATTTGTGTCAGTAAATGTATATTTACTATTTTAATTATTTTCTGTATTTGGTGCAATAAAGAATATAGATAAAATAAATAAACTGTCAATTAGCGACAGTAGTGATAATATATGAAATAGGGACTAGTATGTTAACTCTAAATGTCTCTACGAATCATATTAGTTAGAGAAAAGACAAAATATTATATTATTATGATTATATATGTACTACCTACTCGCCTCGGCTTCGCACGGGTGTACATGAATTAGATATATACATATTTAACCTTCCTCTTGAATCAGTCTATCTATTAAGAAAAACCGCTTCAAAATCCGTTGCAGATTTAAAGATTTCAGCATACATAGGGACGGAGAGACAGCGACAGCGACTTTGTTTTATACTATGTAATAATGATATGTATACTTCCAACGAGTTTATACTCATTGCAATAGTAACAAAGAAATTACGAAGTCTAGTAATTTGGGTTTTTGCTGCCTAACCAATGGAATGAAAGTCGAATATTAAAGTACTTTCAGTGTCCGTGGTTTCACCCGCGTTATTGTCAATATAAAGTCTATGTGTTATTCTAATCCATAAGCTATATTACTGTAACGTTTCATCAAAATTCGTTCAGTAGTTTTGACAAACAACCACACTCACAAACTTTCGCGTTTATAATATTATCAAGAGTAAGATGATAAATTCACGACATATACGTAACATACCTATGTCTCGCGGATTACTTTGGCTTGTTATCGGTGTTTCCATCGTAAGAAATATAAATTCACGTACAAAGTTTACCTTTCGATTTACCGATCTAGGTTAGACATCTACAATGCCTATAAACTGTGTAATCTGTATATCTTTGCGAATCTCATGAAGAACCTGACGTTATACTATATAAATTTTTTTCATAAAAGTCTCAATTTCAAACAACAGAGTTGTAGATTCATATGTATAATACCTATATTCAGATAAAAATATTTGTAATATTTTCTACATGAATTATAAAAAAATACATGGCAACTGGTTAACCAAAAGCTATATCGAAGGTTAGTGGCATATGTACCTAATATTATCTTATCTGTGGTGACAGTGACACAATAATGTATGATACTAAACGTACACAAAAAAAATGAAATTCTTAAAATATTTTTTTAAATATTCATAAAGCCTTTCTTTCTCTTTGCCTGATCAATTAGTTACAAAGAATTGAAAATGTATTTATGTACATTTTGTTTAATTGTGAACGAGGTTTAGTTTCATAAGTTTTCTACCTGGCTCTTGTAATACCTACCTTTTACGATTAACCTTTTATATATATACATTTTTTTTTCTTTTATAATAGTATTGTGTATACACACAGCAACTTATGTTATGTATATTATTATGAAGACAAATATTTTCACCACCACAATATTTATAATATGTTGAAAATATAACTAAATGGCTTCTTATATATAATTACGTGAATATAAAATGGCAATTTGATGGCAGTTTAATGGTTGCATTTAAATAGAATACAAGAGTTAGGTATGGAACATTACTTGACGAACAATACTATGAATTAGTTACTGCTATGAAAAATTCTGTAATTGTCATTACCAACTGTAGTATTTATTTGTTGATACCTGATTTTGACCTCATTTCTTTCACTGTCTGTATCAAATATGGGTGTGCGACTAAAAAAAACCGCTCTTTTTGCATTCCAACAAAAAATTACTTTTCACGATATTTTCAAACCGATATATTACTTACTGTTCATATTTGGACTATTTCCTTGCTACATTAAATACAATAATAATAAAAATCAATACAAAATCAACCCAAAATTTCAACGCTTCAATTATATACTTCCTTTAATTTTTAATGTAATAATTATTACTTTTTCATACGTACATATTAAGTTCACTATTAGTTCCACTGAGAATAGTGTTTATACTGATTCATTAATAACAATAATTAATTATATTATAGAAATGGTTACAATTACATCGTCATGTGTTGTAAACTACATATATGCATATCTAAATAGATATAACTACATTGACATTTTAAATAAACTAGCAAATTGTTGGTCGGCTCTACCGAACAATTGTTCTACACGTATTCTTAGAAAATTATATTATCATCTTTCTATCTGTATAATACTGCTGTGCGTAACGGTACTAATATTTATATGTCTAGCCATTACAAGAAAAGGCAGTCCTTTGAAAATTATCTTAGTATTTTGCACCTTTAATCTCACACAAATAATTCAATTCATATTTGTATTATTTTATTATGGATTAATTCACATGACTGGAGTAATATTAATGAATATAAAAGAAAACTGCCTAACATTAACAAATGAAAATATGTATCAAAATAACTTTACTACGCCAGTGATGAGGCGGCCGCAGAGGAAATTCACAGTGCCCTTAAGGCAGTTGGAATCAATATACATAAAAACTATGGAAGTCAAATGCGAGATCAATAAAGCATTTCAAACACCTATTATATTTATTATGATGCAAATGTTCCATGCTTTGATAACCAATAGTCATATGACATACCACGGTACAATTTTTCGAGCAAAATATACAATTCATGAACTCTGCATTATTTCATTATGGACGATTATGCAATTAGTCAAAGTATATGCATTTGCTTCAAGTGGAGATTTATTAAAACTTGAGGTACGTATTTAATCATATAAGTTATAGATTAACTCAAATATGTGTTTAATTTGAATACTACCTTTCAATAGCTAGGTAGGTACCCTATGTAACGTAAATGATTAATACAGATTTAAGTATATTATATTAAGGTTTGTTGAGGATCAGGTCAGAATTTCTGTTCTATACTTACGGTAACATTTTATGTCCGTGATCCTGTTAATACAAATTTTATATTCAATTATGCAAAAAATAAACAAAACTATACAACCATTTTTTCTTCACTTCTTTCAAATTGCAATTCGAGGATATTTTAAAATATTTTTGTACAGAAAATATTTTTTAATAATTCCAGTGTTTACACTCGACAACAGAAAGAAAATGATAAAATATACTTCAATACTTTTTTAAGGTACCTATCTACAAATAATATATTTTTGTATGTTTCAGGTAAATAAAATTGTCCAACTTCTTCATAACATTCCAATCGATAGACATACTGTACGAGTAATGTCAGAGGTATTTTATAAGGATATGAAGATATTTTTGTTATTTTAAACTTAATGAAATAACTCTCAACTATATTTCCGTTTTTCAGGTGCAGCATTTTTCATCACTAATCTCGTATTATAATCCTGAAGTTTTAATCTATGGGTTTTTTTCACTCGATGCTACGTTATCATTTAACGTTAGTGCAAAGTTATTTGAAACTTTCTATGTATCTATTATTATAGTATTTATCACACATCTACCTACCCCATGTTTTACAATTAGCATTTAACAAAAATTTAAAAAAACGTAAATACGAATGAAATAGAAATGAATGTAATGTACTTAAAATGTATTGTCCGACATATATAAAAAAATACCTAAATATGAATTTACAGGTCAAGTGCCTATTAAAGTATAATAACATATACATTTATAACTTAAGATGTTCATGCATATGTAGGTATATGTAGGTATAGGTAGGAGACAGCATCATGACAGGTGGTACTTACATAATTTCTACCACATCTGCAAAACTCGTGGTCACGTGATTGTTTTTGTAAAAAAGTAGTTTTTACAGAGATAGTATTTATGATAATAGGCAGGAATTTGGAATAAATAACAAGTTTCTATTATAATCAATATGAAAATTTATTTTTCCAGGTAATAGCTTCTGTGACAACATATTTAATTATTTTAGTACAATTCGATAATAGTTGAAGTAACTCAATCACTCTATCATTGATGATCAACACAAATCCATGCATTTACACAATGATAATATGTTTAATAAAAAAATAAATCCAGATAAATAGTTTTATTGCACCTACCTGTACCTATAGGTACTTACTACTTACAGAGTGTCTACTATGAAATGACGAAATTTTATGTTCGAGCTATATGCACGAAACATATATGAAATTTTGATTTTGAATTTAAGAATGTCGACTATCATTCAGATCCGAATATTCGAATTAGTAAATTTTTTATGGCACCCACGGTTTTCAATAGAACTATGTAATACTAATTGACCCGTGCAACTTCGTCTGCATCACAATTATTTAATTTATATTTAGCCTATATATTAATCTGATGTATAAGCTACATACTGTAGTTTTATCAAAATGCCAAAGAAAGAATAACAAACATCTATCCATACTCACACACTTTTGCGTTTATAATATTATTAATATTATCGTACCAATCTGTGGTAGAACTCAGTAAATTTAACAAGGTTTTATATCGTATTGTAAGGATAAATGTACTTAGTAACTAAGTAGTATATAATCTATCTCTATCCTGGCAGGGTCGCCATATAAGGGTGGTGTTTATTAGGCAAATGATAGGTATGACATTTGAGTGCATACTGTTCGTTTATTATTATATAATATTATCAATCCTTGTATACCTACTACTTTCTAAGTACATTCATCCTTACAGTATTCCCGCCTGAGGTTCTATTTTTATTTTTGTAACTCAACTCTGCCAGCTTAACTACCTTACAAAGTACAATTCCACTGTCCTGTTTAAATTATCATCAGAGATTGGTAGGTCGCATTCTAAAAATAATAATAATTTATTTCCCTCTTGACTTATTGTAGTGTATGTATATCTACAATTGTGAGTAGCTATGACGTGGTCTGGTGTTTTGAGTAGTCATGCTCACTAAAATGTCCAGACTTGTGGCGGCGTGGTGGGCCGGGTCATTGGGCTCCCTAAAATATGGTCGATATGGCGCAGTGGTGGCTGGCTCATCCGTCATACTCGTGAACGTTTTTTTTTTTCTATTTTATTATTTCATTGAATTAGTGCTAATCGGTGGTTTGTATTGTCACACACTTAAACTTAAATTGTAAGTAAGAATAAATTATTTAAAAGAGCAACACACAAGTTTCTTGCTTGTTCTTCTTGTGATAAGACAGCATTCCGAATGAGCGGTAGATTAAAAAAAAAAAAAATGTTATGACTATTCAAAAGTGCTTCAATGTAAGTTTATTTGAATAAATGATTTTCTATTCTATTTTATTCTATTTGTCAGAATGTACAAATGCACGTGGACAGAATACAAATATTCAAGTTCAAATATTCTATTTTTTTTTATAACATTGCATCTATTACCTAACACCACAGATAAGGTAATATATAATATTACATAGTATTACTATGGAGTAATACTATGTAATATTATGTTGTCTGTGGTAATACCAACATACCCTATTTGCTAGTGTCTAAACTAAGCAATAAAAAAGTTCTAAAATTTTGAATATGATAGTTTTATAACTTTCAATGTACAGATAAAATTATAATCAATATTAACATGCCACAATAAGTTTATTATGCCATATGGCCTGAGAATAAGCAAAGAAATATTTTAAATTAAGTACTTATACTACGATTCATACAACAAAAGTATTATTTATTATACTTTATAGCATTGTTATATTTAATTCTATTCGTATATCTAATTAAGGAATTAGAATGATACCGTCTTTAAGTTATTTCTTTTCTAATTGTACAAAAATGATAAAATAAGTTGTAGCAGACGCCAATACCTGAAACAGAATTATTTATTATTATAGGTAGGTATTCAATATTTCTGTAACTTTCAAAGTTATTTAATTATCTGGGAATAGGAGGATTAGGTAGATATAAATGATATAAATAATAAATAGGTACTAACGTTGAATATCAAAGTGGCGTCGAGTGGGAAGAAGTCATACACTGTTACCACAGGACTGAAATAAGAAATCAGAGTAGAAAAACGCTGCACCTGTGAATCAAATAAATATTATCCTTTAATCAAGATATGTACCTATTTCATATATATGTAGGTATATAGAGCTGAGTTCTACGACATCAGCCGCATTATATTACAATTCTTTAAAATATTTGGTACATCTTTTTAGTTTCTATGTAGTCCTGAAAACAAAGTGATCTACTAAATGATTTTACAGTGGGATTCCATAAATCTAATCGTTAATATTTCTAAATATCGAGTAGAACATGGACATACTGGGCTGTGTCAAAGATTAATAGACCCTGGCGACACTGGGCTGTGTCAAAGATTACAGATCAGCTCAAAACTTCGTTACAATCCATGTAAATGTAAAGTACCGTTCCGTACTCTATATATATACAGCAATGAGTAACCAATTATTATGAGACTGGCGTACTCTTGAAAGTCGTGTTGTTGTTGTTTCAAAATATAAGTAGTAGCTATACAAAATGAATAACTTAATAAAATATATATATATTTATATATTTTAAATATATTTAGTAGTTAGAATACCTACCTTCATCATTATTCCAATGTTTTGTTTTATAGGAATGTTATGGAGAGCACGTGCTATTTCATTTACCTATAATGTGATATTTTTTCATTTAATACCTGTAGGTATATGTCAACTAATATAAATGACATTATTATAATGAAATACAAATACCTCAATTTTTAACATGTCACCTGAATCGGCTAATGCGTACAATTTCAATATTTGAAAACACAGATGTAATGCAGAGACGACAATGTTGTATGTTGAAATATTTATATGAAACATAATCTGATGGTATAAGGTGAGAGCAATTGTAACTATTGCATGAAATATTTGTATCAATATCAATATTATGGTCATTCTAAATGCTTTAATAATTTCGCATTTAACTTCAATAGTTTGGACATAAACTAATTCCAAGTATTTTGTAGACACAGTAGATTTTTTAGTCTCCAAATTTATATAGTATTGTGGTGTATTCTTTACTTTCATTAAGTTTAGACAGTTTTCTTTTATGTTACTTAATACTGCCCTTATAGTGAGCATTAGCATGTAATAAAATGTTATTACTACATATAGAATAAATTGGGGTAAATCAAAGGAGAAAGTCATCAATAAGCTTTCCCAAATAAGTCCTTCCCGTGTGCAGACTACAATTATTAGACTCAAAACAATCATGATCAGTATTGTTATACATATTAAGGTATGATTGTACAATCGTCTCAGTATATAACAGTTGGTGTTTGGGAGCGAGAACCAAGAACATGCTAGTTTATTTAAAATATTTGCATAATTAAACCTCTTGTGGTATGAACAAATATATGTAACAATACAAGACATCATCAAAGTTATCAGTTGAACACTATAATTTATTGTTGTCATTACTGTAAGCCCAATGGACCTACTTTCATTAGTTAAAACCCGCACATGTACAATGACAAGAGAAATAATTATTAAATTATAAAATACTGCGCATATTGCGTTAAATATTACGGATTTATGCAAAATTTTATACTTTTTAGTACTATTGCTAAATTTTATGTTACAAGGAAATAGGCCAAACCAACATAGCAACAGATATATGGGACAGAAAATATCTTGAAATTTTATATTTCTTTTATAGAATGGAATTCGAAAATTTATAACACGAAAACAAAACATGTTCACTGCTGCCGAAATTACCGAGTGAATGATTTAACAGTAATTATTATATGTAGGGTGTAATTAAAACCACGTAACAATACATCCAGATAAAATCTAAATATTATTCTAAATATACGTATTAAAATCTTTACATTGAATGTTTTTCAATGATTTGGACAAATATAGAAGATCGTCCTTTATCTTGGGCATAGCTAGAATAAATTTCCTTACTTCCACAATAAGAATAAACAGTCTAATATATTCGCTCACTTACAAAAATTTTTTTTCAAATGTAATATGATCAGATAGCTGCAAAACGGAATGTAGAAATAATTGTTGATAGATAAACTAAACTTACAATGGAAATTTGGCCTTTTTCTCCAATAACTAATATGAATGTATTTGGAATACAAATATTAATAAATATTACCAATATTTACTGTCCTTACTTTTACAAAAACATTTAAAATATCCACTTTTCCGTTTCCCTTTCCCGCTAAAAAAGTAACCAATAACTGTAGTAGTCTAAAGTCATCCAAGTGTATGTCATCAAAGATTGTCATGTCAAATTAAACTTCTATCAATGTCAAGTCACCGGATCGAATGTTGACAAAATTGTTCTTTCATTCAAATCATTATTTTCACTAACCTTTCTTTTCTCAAATCATTCACTCATTACATTCATTCTTTTCCCGGCCGGCGAATTCTTTTTAATCGTATAGGTACTGTTTTTCTTGGCAAATTATTTTGTGTTGTTTATGTATTTCAATGGTTTGAATATAGTTTAATAATATATTGTGCTATAATTACAGTTCTGTTGCCAAGTTTACGGCTCAATTACATTTTATTAAAATGGTAAGTTTACACGATACACAATTTTGTCATGTTTATTTGTATTTAAAATAAATAAATCTAATTCTATTATCTGTATCATATCTTATACGAGTTTATCTAATAAAATTATAAGTCTAAATAAATATCTATACAAAACCGGCGTTTGGCATGCGGTGCAGCCATCTTGAGGTTTTGTAATGGCCGGCGGACGGCCGCCATGTTATAAAATCACATGTCTAATGTTTAATCCTCTGTTCTTTGATTTAATTTAAATAATTCAGTTTAATCATTTTTTAAATATATTGCGTGCCTTCAGTAACAGTTAATAGCGTACATCGATATGTATGTAAGTACTCCCTAGAAATTATATATTAGATAATTGGCCTGTTAATGGCAATTAAATTGTTCGTATCTCTTACAGCTTCATTTCATGTAAATGTGTTACATATGAGTTTACAATCACAAATGGTATTATAATAGGAACTTACAGCAAAAATACTAATTAGTTCCGCTACATTTGCTTATATTTCGTACTTTATGACTAGTATACTCTGTATACAAAACGTGTGTTTAGGTTTATATTATTGTATAATGCCTATTTACAATGAGGATAATCAATGTATGTCTTTAAAAATACGAATAAAAAGTGCTGACAATTTAATTGGAGTGGGTAGGTCAATAGTAACATGTTACAATCACGTAAATTGTTGCGACTTACCAACTGTAAATTGATTATTAAAACTAGACCAGTTAAAACTGAGGTAGGTACCTACGTACTTTATCTTTTAAATTATATGTGTCTATATGTAACTTAACATGTTAACTAATTTATTTATTCACTGTTTCCTAAAACTTATGAAGTCATAGAATAGATTGGTTATGTTATTTGTCTTATTTTAAATTGCATTTAACATACAGTTTTAAAAATAATGCTCTATATATAAGTAGCAAGACAATTTAATTAATGTTAGAATTATTAAATTTTCTTTATAATTGTTTAATTTATGTAGACCTTTTTTATACTATGATTGTGGCAAACAAGCATACAACCCATCTGATGGTAAATGGTTACAGTAGCCTAACAATGCCAGAGACTCCAGGGGCGTCATGTGTGCAATGCCCACCACTAAGAAACCTTATAATACCCTCCTATATCTGTTATCTATAGATAACTGACATATTTAATTGTTGTTTACAGATGGACAATAGTGTAGTGCATCCTCACCCTGGCCAGGTCCTGGGTGGAGTACCTGGAGTTGTTCATGGCATGTCGGTTCATGGTGGGGGGCCAGATGGAGAGCATCCACCACATGGTCCCCGTCGTCGTTACCAGAACAGACCAAAGCCATCAAACAACCTGGAGCGATTGCCTCTAGATGAAGCTGCTAAAAGGGTATGTACACTATGTGTACATGTGTTTAAATATTTTTATATTTATTAAATTTATATTATTTATATATTAATAACTATAAAATTACTCAGGAGATGTAATATTTATATTAAATATAAATAGAAAATTTGTCTTTCAATTTACATATATGAGGAATTTGTATACACTCTAGCATTAGTTGTTTTTCTGATATTACAGTAACATAAATTTTATGGAGCAGGTGATTGATTGCTTGTTCTCTTTATATTTGCTATAAAGTGAACATACTGAGAACTTCCTGAGAGGTTTCTGAGGGTTCTGTTATTTGGGATTTTACTTACATTATAAATAGCAATTTTATAATAATTTACAATAAAAATAATTATAAACCCAAGACAATTCACACAAAATAATCTAATCTAGTACAAGGAAAATTAGAATTTTGTATACTTAGACTTAGACTATTTTAGAATTATGAGTACTAGACAATTTATATAAATATTTACAGTTTTAAGTACCTACATAATATATATATATATATAGAAAACACCCAGACCAATACAAATAATAATAGTCAAGAATGTTTGCATCATGTGAGGAATCAAACCTGCGACCATAAACAGTGAAGCAGTATTATTAACTGTTAGACATCCAAGGCTGTTAAATATATTTACATAATAATATTTAGTGTCTATCAATAAACAATATGGTGACTTAATTCTGTTTTTTGTTTCTGGAATGGCAAAAAAGCTGACGGCCCAACTGACGGTAAGTGGTAACCGTCACTTTTTTTCATGTAATTGGAATGGTTAACAAGCTGACAGCACTACAGATATCATGTGATACAGTTATTATTAGTGATGTCCATGATACATGATACAACTCATTTGTTACCATTCTGGAGGACTAAGATGTCATGCCTCTTATTGTCTAATTTCACTGCTTTATCTCACACTTTGACTGATACACAGCATACAAAGCAAACTGTTTGATGGTTGGAATAGGTGAAAAAGAGGTACCATGCAAATTACCTTCTATGAAGTACAATGTATTTATATAAGCTCATTGTTATTCCCTGTACCATGTTTTGGAAATTTAATATGTAATGCTTATAGGGCTGAATTAGTTATTTACAAGACACAGGGCACTAATTAGTCTTTCATACAAAAATAAAATCATAGGATGACAATGTCTTAAAAATGTATTATTATTTTTGTTTAGGAAATGGAATCTCTTCCCTTAAAGACGCCAGTGTCGGTGTTACAAGAATTGTTGGCACGCCGTGGGACTGTACCTAAATATGAACTCGTACAGATTGAAGGCATGATCCACGAACCCACTTTCCGCTATCGTGTTACTGTAGCTGATTTAGTAGGTTAGTGTATAACTAAAATTATTTTTATCTTATATTATTTTTATTGCAGTAAGGAAAGTATTAAATTACAAAATCTAAAACTATCTAAGAATTACACTTATACATGTTTGTAGGAATATTATTTGATCGCTACATAAAAAAATAATGTAATGATTTTGTATACTGTCATTACTCAAAAGGGAATGTTTATGTATACAATTATCATAATGAGTATTTGCAATTGTCCTCAGCTATGGGTACTGGGCGCTCAAAGAAGGAGGCCAAACACTCAGCAGCCAAAGCCCTGTTAGATAAACTGACTGGTGCAACCCCAGCTGATCAATCCACCAATGGCAATGTTCCTGAAACGTTAGTATTGTAATCTATTAGCCCCTACTATTATAATAATATCCCATGACAATTCATACAGCAAATCTAGTTTCAAACTGAGCAGAGCTTGTGCTGTGGATGTGAAACCACTGATTGAATTAGGTACAAAACAATCAGACCAATACAAACACTATATTGTATGAGAATCTAAACTGACTATTGACAGTAAGGTGGAGTTCTACACCGGGCTTTATTACTTTTAATGGTGTACCTACAAAATATGCAATCTATGTATGGAAATTTGTACTGTGAAAAAATGTGAAAAATATTGCATATATACAGATGAAGTAACAGTTTCATTCCATAAATATTTACTACCATTTCAGTGTTTAGAACTCATGTACACTATTAACTATATTTATTTTTGTTTCAAGCATTGATATTGTATGCATCACCATACATAGCATTAAGTTATATTTATATTTGTTTTACCCCAATATAGAACTAATTATAATGTGTCTTTAATTTATTTCACTCTGTCCATATTACTCATTTTTATAAACTATTACAGTGGTGCAGTAGTCTCCTCTTTTGAAGATAAACTGATGGGTAACCCTGTTGGATGGTTACAAGAACTTTGCATGTCGCGCTTTTGGCCGCCACCGTCCTACCACGCGGAGAATGACGATAATGTCAACAGGCGTAAGTACACTATAAATTGTTTCATTTAATATGTATAAGTAAATATAAAGAGATCAATATGAGCCTGGCATTGTTGTAATAAATAGGAGATGGTCAATAAATGTAGCATAATATAACAAAAATTTAAGGGAATAGTATACTTTAATTGTGTAATCTAATTAGTTTACCTTCACACATAATATGTTAAATAGCTTCAATTACAATATTAATGTTCATGAACTTCTTATATACAGGATATTATGTAATATTTAGTTTTCATGGTAGTTGTTTAGTCACATAATCAGAGAGAACAGTCAGATTATTTATTCCCTAATACTAAAAATAATAATTTAGTGAGATAAGCCTTGATAATAAATAATTTGTGAAGTCATGTTTGAATATTTTTTATCTATTGAATATAATTAAATAGAAATTCCATAATGTTCCCAGCTAATGAAAAAAGATAGACTATATCTATATCGTAAACCTATTTTTTGTCCTAATCCACAACAGTAAATATGTATTTTAGCTACAATAAAAATAATATTTAATTTTCAGGTCTGCCTCATGAACGTCAGTTTACTATTGTATGCACGCTGCTGAAACGTCGTGAGGTTGGCACAGGCAAATCAAAAAAACTGGCTAAACGCCAAGCTGCATACAAGATGTGGCAAGCTCTTCAAGATAACCCACCAGAAGTGTTCCAGGCTGATGAAGAGGTATTATCTTTTTTTTATATACTCTTATTGATAGCAGCTTTAAAAAAAATAGTAAAACCAAAATCACTTCGTTTTTTAATAAATTGATAGCAGTTTGTTAAGTGGTCACAAGAAAGCAGTTAAATTTAAACTAAAATAGTTTAGTTAAATATTTTGTCACAACCTTTCCAGGATTATCAGATAAAATGTGTTTTTAGTTCTACAGGTCAAGTAGAAATAAACAGATATAAATTTTCTGTTTGTTATCCATTTCTAAGAATCCCATTGAATGAAGGTTACAATATTTTCTTTATATTTGTAAACAAGTTCAACTAACAACTGAATCAGTATAACGAATTGGCGAAAATTTATTGTCTGAACCACTGATATATTATCTCCGTATGAGGTGGTTCTAAGTTTTACTACTACAGTGGCAAATAAGCATAGCAAACAAGTGTAATCATTTTCATAAACTACATTAGGTTTTTCTTAACATTGTCGTTGTAATGTGTACTAATATCAATCTAACGGCAGTATTTCTAATGTTTATTATAATACAATGAATTCATAAAAAAATATTTCCAAACATATTTTTATTAAGTATATAGTGTTATATTATGTTATATAGTATTAGAAAGGAATAATTGAACAATTATTTAAAAAAGCAACACGCAAGTTTATTGCTCATTCTTCTTGTGATGAGACAGCTTTTGTATGAGCAATAGATCTAAAAAAATAATGACTATCCAAAAGTGCTTAAATTAAGTTTATTTAAAAAAAGAATTTTAGATCCTATTCTATTTCTCAATTAACACAATGTGATTGTTTTTGTCTAAAATAATTATTATTACAAATAAAATAGTTAGTCAAAATTATCTATACTCGTATAGTGTACTGCAATAATGAATATGTATCATCACTTCTATTGAGTTATTATATATTTTTTCCAGTATTTTTATTAACCACAATAAAATAATGCAATATTTTTTAATTAAGTTAAAATAAAACAAAACCATTTAAATACATGTCCTTATAATCTATCCACAGACATTTAAGTGTCATCATATATATGAGTATAGGAGGCATTTTATATCATTCCCTGAAAGGAATGCACTTGGCCAGGTGTTTTACTATCTTTCTGTCGGAAAGTTGAATGGACTGAAGCATCACTTGAAAATAGTGCTGTTTATTATAATTGGTGTTGTTTTCTAGGGCGGAGTCGCAGCCCGTTATGCCGACTTGAAAGATAGTAAAATCTCCACTCTGACTACCAGTCACAGCCACAAGGTCTCGCAGTTTCACAAACACCTCAAACAATCTGTCGGCCCCAACCTGGCCAAGTTGCAGGTACGGCATATTTCGTTTATTTCTGCATGAATGTTTGTAATATTTTCATGAATGCAAGACAAGTATTAAAATTTTATTATTAATGTTTCATTAATTATGCATGTGAATGTTTTTGTACCTATCATAAATTTTTGTAGTTAGTGGTCAATGTTTAATTAGAAATTAATTAAAAAAAATTCTCTGTTGTAGGTTACTCCATTGAACAACAAAGACTTCAACTTTGTTCAATTCTTGCAAGAGATAGCATCAGAGCAATCATTTGAAGTCACTTATGTAGACATTGAAGAGAAGTCAATGAGTGGCCGCAATCAATGCTTAGTACAGCTGTCGACGTTGCCGGTTGCTGTGTGCTATGGATCTGGTTTAACTAGCAAAGATGCTCAATCTTCAGCTGCTCAAAACGCCCTTGAGTATCTGAAAATAATGACCAAAAAGTGAATATATCATTACCTCGCGACATCAAAACGATACTTCTAGCGCTCACTATGCATCAGATATTAATGGAATATGGTAACAATTATCAATTTTAAATGAATTATATTTATAAAAATTAAATTCTAGATGCGCAAATAGCGTAGAACGACACTCGAGTGCTTGTATGGTTGATGTCGCTAGGTTTTGAGTATTAACTTATCTTTAAAAAACCACTTCCCATTTGAATATGGCATGTTGCCTGTGTGCCAGCAGCACTTCGGGCTATGCTTTATAACTGGCATATTTGCAGTATCTTACTTGTGATTTTTTTGTCACCCCCAAAATAAAATAAAAATACATTTTCAGTTCATTTACATTTTAATAAATATTTTTATAAGTAAGTGAATCTCAAGGGATTTGAAATGTAGAAATCTTAAATCCGACAGATAAAGTCGTTATGACAACTTTATGGTCTAAGTAAATAAGTTTAATCCCTATTTTTTAAAGTCTGTATAATCTCAAACATATGAAAATCTAGCAGAATATTTTAAGTTTACTTTCCGCATAAATGGTCTGGTCCAGTCACTGTTTCAATTATGAGGTCGTGTCAAGTAAAGTATGCATGAATGTAATAAATAATGCATAATTTAAATTATATATTATGGGACTGTTTTGTAATGTGCATAATATTAATAAACCTTTACAACTTTTATCCCAAATTGGAGAACGGGTATTGGCATCTCTAATGTAGAACATTATCAAAGTCAGGTATCGGGTGTTTTTTGGAGAAATTGAATTAATTAATTGGTTAATTGTTAAATGTAACAGTTAAAAAAATGTAAGAAATCGAAACAACCATATCAAGTTGCCAAAATTTTGCAATGACGTTTATACTTATAGACTATTTTTAAACTACCACCACGTAACGTAGTGGTTAACTATCTCGACTTGGACTGGATAAAGGCCATGAGTTTTGAACTGGCCAACAGTAAAAACTTATTGTGTCAATTAAAATTTCTTAGTCTCCTGTAATGGAAATAACAAAACAAATCAAATTAACACTCATTGCATACACATATACACAATATTGTATATTTAATTTGCCGATTCGAGGCATGTCAAATCGTGTAATTTCCACAACTTGCAAACATTTTTTTTATTACAAACCTTATCCTGATTATTACAAACAAATATTATAAAAAAAGAAGAATTCGTCAAATAGCAATTTCAAAGTTTTTACGCTTACATACATATAACAATTAATATTTATTTATATAGGTAGATAATTTTATACTAATGAGTGGGGTTTAGCAATTATTTTTCCTTATGTTTCTACTTTAATACAGTGAAAATTTGAAAACAACTGCAAACAAGTGATTACTCACTTGTACTATTACTGCCAATGTGCGAGGATAAATAGCATAGCCCGTAAATTTAAAGAAACAAAGTATGGAGTGGTCATATAACAAATACAAGCTATACTTTGCATAGAATTAGTGTAATTTTCCCAGCGTGGAAATTACTTAAAATATATAAAAAATAATAAAAAAAATATAAAAATATGAAAAAAATAATAAAAAAAAGTGTGGATTATATTTCCAGTTTAATATTCAGCATAATTTAGGCATATTTTGCAATTTGTATTAAATTAAATTATTATATACTTACCCAAAAATCGGTCTTAGCTTTTAATGTATAATGTAATCATGGCGTAGCCAATCATATTTTTTTCATTCAAATGGAATAGGCATCTTCTACTTATATAATTTAGTTAAGTATGGTGTGTTATGGACTTCTCTTAAATGCTGAGCATTAAACGGAAAAAAGTATTCTCAGCTAGTTTATTGTCTTGTTGACGAACTGTCCAACCTTTGCTTTGTAACAAGCTCCGAGAACGTGGTCAACTTACTTGAACTTGGAAATAACTTCTTACAAAATGCAAGGGTTGGTATCTGTGAATAGCATGTGTCACGATTGTGTGGAGAGGCAGGATGACGAGTTTTATTTTATTTTGATATTACCAGTAACTGTCTAGGTTTTCTTTTGTATACATGATGGAAAACTTTGCAGGGAAGCTGAGAACTATGTGTTAGAGTGAATATATCACTGGAATTAGTGGTTGCGGAGTTAGGATCCCTTGCCTGTGAAAATGGGCATTATTTTAATGCAAAGTATAGAGGTTGTAACAATTTCTACCAGTGCAGTGTCGTCGTCGCTGCTTATCAGTTGCCAGACACTGACGACGACTCTGCACGCACCAAGTTTCTTTTAAATTGAATGGTGTGAGTTAACCTGCCCTTGTAAAACATCGCACTGTTCAAGTTAGAAAAGACTAACTGGAGTAAAGGATTGGAGTTCTGTTCAACCAAGACCAACTAAATAAATTGTAATGCCCAGTCAACGGGCCATGAGTTCACATGTTATTTTATGTTTAGTGAGTCTTGGTTCTACTTGTTCTTGTGATTAATCTCAAGGATAATATAATAAATAATAATAATTGTAGACTATTGACACTATTATATACTCTTTCTATTTACGAGTACGATGTAATTGTGAAAATGTAATAGAATATTTTTTTTTTGCTATGCATTCTTTCTGCTCTAACTTGAATAAATATTTCGTGTTGCTTAGACAAATTTATTTTTATTCTGATATATATATATATATATATATATATATATTATTCCTGCTATCATAATCTTACTAATATCATAAACTCGAAAGTTGTGAGTATGGATGTATGTTTGTTACTCTTTCACGTAAAAACTACAGAACGGATTTTTATAAAACTACAGGAGTATTGTTTATACGTTCAGATAGGCTATAAATTTGAGGCGGTTGAAACTGCGAGCACAGTTAGTAAATTATAATTTAGATTTTGGTATAAAGAACGAAACGTGTTAGTGACTTGCCTATTGCCCTACATTTGTAACATTTTGGATGAGATGGATGGAGAATTATATTCCATCCAAAATAATAGTAGGAGATAGATCGTATCAAGACAGGTATAATTTATAAAAATGACTAGGTAAGCTGCACTACGTAATTGGCCATTGTTTGCATTGTATAAAAACAACATTTAATATTCCACATTTTTATTGAGGTATGGTATTTTTATCGTATAAAAAAGAGAAAACATTTACAACAAAACCTTTATATTTCTTCCACAAAGGGTACTGTGACAAGTACCAAACAAATCGGAATCCAACTAGGTATAATTATAAATTTAGAATAACTTTCCCTTAATACACGTTACAATAAAATAATTTTAGTATCTTGTATAGTTAGCACGGCAAACAAACTCGTAAGGCCCGATGGTGAGAACCAATGCCATTACATATATATTCGTACTGTTTTTGCTAATATCTGTTTATGACAGAGTATAACCGAAAAAATGCATTCAAAATACAAATAATTTTGAAACGTTTGGTTTAACGATAACGTTCGTGGTATTTCTCATGCATTTCTGAGGACATCCCTTCGTATGACTTGTATGAAATGTTTTCGAAATTATTTGTATTTTGAATGCATATTTTCGGTTATACCTACTCTGTCATAAACGCATATTAGCAAAAATAGTATGAATATTTATATTGAATTACAATCTCTTTCTATATATATCTTTACGCATAAATTTAAATCGATTCAGCTTAGAATGTTTTTCTACACCTTTGGCTCTATCTATATAGTTTCTGTGTATAGTCCAAGAATTTGGTCTTTGCTGCAATTCATTGCTATATATTGTTTCGTGTGTAATTGGCGATGTTTTAACTTCGTTAAGAGAAGTTGTGTCGTCGCTTAATATTGTATCCACTATACTTTCATAATGATTCTCTTCTAAAATGTTTATTTTATAATATTCTTTGTCACACTCTGTATAAGATTTATTAGGATGCATACGATAACTATCAACAAAAGTATCTTGGTCGTGACCTGGCGAATAAGTAGCATCACGAAATTCAATAGGTGGTGGTATAATTATATCGTCGTCCTCTTTTGTCAAGCATTGCAAAAGTGTTTTTGGATTAAACATTGACTCATCAATTTTAAAATCGTTTGAGGGTACAATAGTATCAAGTAAGATGGGATTGGGTATATCGGGCTCTGTGCTGTTAAGTACAATGTTAAAATCTATTTCGTTTTCTATGCGATCTATTGTATGATTAGAAATTTGTAATAAATGTTTGTCATCGTCAATAGCGTTCATTTTTTTATATCCCTCCGATTCGGTATCTTCAGTAACAATTTCAGATAATGAAATGTCCAATTTATTTAGATCGGCAATTTTGAAGGGTCGCTTTTCTTTTTTAATTTTTATTTCGTAAACTTTATTACTATTAGTATAATTGTTTGTTTCTTTGGTCTCTTTTACACCTTGAACGTAATTTTTTCTGAAATTTTTAAATAAAGTATAATTAATAATCTCCATAATTAGATAATTGCAGAGTTGAAATAATGTATTTATACAAAATACAAATGCTCACCTTAGAACTGTTTTATATTTCTGCAATATATTTTCCAGCTTTGCATCACATGTAGTATTGAGATTTAGAGAATTTTTTGTTTTAGAATTTAGTTTTTCGTCTTTTGCGAATGTAATTGCGATTTCAGATTCATGTGCTTTATTAATTACATCTCTACAGGGATTACCAGATACGCAGCATTGTATAAAACTTGGAAGTTCAGCATTTATACATTTCATTTTATTAACTTCATTAAAATTGATAATATTGCGGTCGCAGTGATTTCTATCTGTTACTATTGCCTTTATATCTAAATCTACTGTCAGGTGTTTTATAATACACACTTGACGATTAATTGTATTATTTGTTGAGACATTAATTTGATTAGACATGTATGGATATTTTCTCATACTTTCGATTTTAGAATTATGATTTTTCATTTGCACAGGAGAAATGTTGCATAATCCACTATTGAAAGAATCTAATTCTACGGGATTTTTTTGAAAATTATCATAGTGAATTATTTTCTCTAACTTTTGATCCAGTTTAATTTTAATAAGTTTATTATTAACCATACCTGGTGAAGTTCTGTAACTTATATTTCGTATCGAATTTGACATCAAATTTGATCGTTTCGTTTTTGTTTTGGATTTAGTATTTTCCATTGTCATGTTTTTAAATACCATCAAACATTTGCTTATTTCTGGGGTGCAATTATATTGATTTTCCTTTTTCTCCTCATTGTCTATTTTTTCTCTTTTAGCAAAATGAGATGCATTATCAATTTTCTGCAATTCGCACTTATTTTCTACTATGGAGACATTATTAACTTCTACCAAATGAACTGTATTGTCAAGGGTCATATAATTTTCTGGCGAAATCGTTTTCTCTGTCCATTTCTCAACATTCTCTGCATTATCTAGGCTGTTTTCATTTTTTATAATATTTTCTTGGTTAATTTCTTCTATCAACAACTCATCAATATTTATATTATTGTATTTAGGCTTATTTACGGATTCTCCTATTTGTTGTAAATAATTGTTTAATTGTAATTTTATTGTATCGATAAATTTAGTATCTGTTGAACGATGATCGTGTACTTCTTCACTACTTAGATTTAGTTGCCCATTTTCAATTTTGTTCATGTTAGAACAATTGAAATTGTTTTGATTTTTGTTAGAATTTATTGCGTTATATTTATGAATCTTTAGCCGACTGTTATTTTTTAAATCTCTTATATTATTTGACGCATGCATAAAACCAAATGTGTTATTATTCCTTAATGTGGATACCGTTTTAACTTCCGATATTTCATTTTCTATTTCGTTTAATATATTGTCAATTTCGTTATTATTCAATAACTCACTGTGGTTAATCTGCTGTTCATTTTCAGGAATAAGAATATTATTATCTTGCGATTCCATGTCCATATTTATTTCTGATATATTGTTTTTATACAATTTTGAAGATGTCTTAATTTCAAATTCAAATTCTTCTTTATTGGGATAAATTAATTCTTGTAGCATATTTTTAGATGTTTCTTCCGATTTACGGAAATTATCTTTAACTTCCTTTGCGGTTTTTTCAAAAGACTGTTTTAATATTTTCACCCTTTCTGCAATATCACATTCTCTTTTCTTTTTTTGTCGAGAAATTGTTATATCTGTATCATTATGCTTTCTTTTGCGTTGTTTAGACTCGTCTATTGTACGTGTATCTCTCCGCATAGTTTGGTCCGCGACCACATTTCCAGGTATCAGCATTGACACGTCTTGTCCCAAATTTTCTAAATCTTTAAACAAATATTCACATCCTGCATCAATACCAACTGCAAAAAGAGTAATTTATTTTATTTGATAGGTAGTACCGAATAAATTCTCACGTTTAAGTAGATACTAAAATAATTTGACTTAACTAAGTCCACTGGTACATGTGCATTTGTACATCGATTTTTATAATGCTTAAAAAAATTACTTTACTTCGTTTTAACGAATATTTTATACGAATCGATTATAGATGTTCGATAACATCTCCACTTATTAATAAGAGACTTTTTTGTTTACTTAGTGGTTCCCCGACCAAGCTGAACAACAGGGTAGTTATATTAGTAATTAAATAAAAAACATGATTCATGCGTAGTTGACCTTACCAAAGTTTGAGCTAATACAATTAACTATAATTTTATGCTCGTAATTGTGTTTCCTAGTAATATTATAAGTAATTCTTGCGTCATAAACACCAATTAAATCTTTATCTCTGAAAAAAAGACATATTTACATAAACATTTAAAAACAATTACTCACTTATAGTTTGTCAATTTCGTGCGGGGTAATATATATTATATTTAGGCAAATGTTACAATTATGAGTTTGTGCGTGTGGATTTTTCTCTTCCACGTTCTTGTTTAGGCTGATAACATACAGTTGTCAGATTGCCCGAATGCGACTAACGACTAACCGACTGTCTGTGACCAGCCTCAATCACATTATTGCTGATGTCATATCCAGTCACAAAATAAAGGAAACCGGGAACGAAGTTGGCACGAAGTTAGCTTTTCACCACTTACTTGAATGTCGCCAATAACAGTACGTGGTTATCAGAATCGCCTACGATGATGTAGCTTTTATGGGATTCTCCAGCCGTTAAATGTTCAATGTTCTCTAACAAATAACTTTTATTTAATAATTCCACTTGTATAGAGACCGTTTTATCATCGACAGGTGTAATTTTAATATCATATTTTGGTAATAAGCTTATCTGTTTCCGTAGAACATTGCCGGCAGGTGGTCCCTTGTTCATAATCTGGAATTAGACGCATATTTATTCCAGTAAATCACAATTACGAAACAAATGATAATGCTTTACAGATTTGAATGGTAGAATTTCTGAAACATAAATATAAGCATTACTAAAATTAATGTGGATTATTCTGGATAGAGTGATTATAATATTTTTTATAACATTATTTTAATAACCATAACAGATTGATTGACAACAGGAATTTATTTTTTGATGTAACATAACTAAATATAATTTAAAATATACAATAACTCCCGAATAAAAAAGAAATTGTTAAGAACCATCTTAATTACGTCAGCTTTCGAACAAAAATAATGCATAAAAATCGGTCCATATGCTTAGAAGTTAATGCCACAGACAAACACACACCTCTTCTTACATCGGGGGTTAAAAGTTACATAGTTAGATATTCATCTAACTTACGATATACTGAATAACGAATTCCTTTAAAAAAGCTTTATATAATAGTAATTAAATTTGACAATATTTTTTTGTGTGAATTAGACAATTCATATAACGTCATCTAGTCCCAAGGAAGGCAGAGCATGTGTTATGGGTGCTAGACAACTGAAATAAATACTTAGATTTTTTTTTTGTAAATACACACATAATATATATAGAAAACACCAACACCTATACAAACAATCATACAAATGTTTGTACCGTGCTGGGAATCGTACCCGCAAACATTGGAAGTAAAGAGGTGTGCTAAACTGTTAGACTACCGAGGCTGTCCATGAAAAATTCATACTATTGAGAATAAAGATAACAGTATAGATACTGACCCTTTCTAGATCCCTAGGGTGACTTTCTTCAAGCAGCATGAAGTTAGTTTTACCAGCCGTAGCGAGGAGAGTGCTAAATGTTGGGCCAATTCCCTTCATCTGTCTACTCACGTACGGCGAGTTCTCCCACAAATGAGCTGCTATACATTTCGCAAGCACTACAGAATTCACTACTGCCGCTAAGTATTTTGGTTTTTGGGATATTAGATCAGGGCGTGTTACATATGCGACTAAGCCTGTAAATCCCAATAGTTTATCTGATATAGTATTACTATGGTATTGGTACGGTATTAGTATACTATCATATTTCGTTTACTATACTCTTGCTATAATTCAATTAAAATTAAATAAAATCAAAATATCTTTATTAATGTAGGCCTGTTACAGACCTCTTACGATATGTCAAAATCTACAGACAGTTCAGAGTGCATTCGAGCTGAGAAGAATTGACAAGAAACTCAGCTCTTATTCTTTTCAAATGAGCTCTATCTGCTGTATGTACTTAGACTGTTTGCCTTTCCTATAAGGATAAATAAAACTAAAAAAATAAGGTCTAATCTTGCACCTAATAGAACGGTATATTATTTGCCCGTAAAGTACATAGATATGTAGATGGTATTTCATAAACTTACATTTGCATACTCTGTCAGCAATTCTCATAATTTTCATAGCCTCTTGATGTAGAGAAGGGTCTGGTATGGGGAGACAGCCAAGTATCGCTTGTATAATACTGTAAAATATGAGAAGGAGAGAAATTGTTAGTAATTGGAAATAATAACCCCATTACTAGCAATGTATCATGTCATGTATACTTCCACGCGTTTCCCACTGGAAACCATTGTGGTAAAAAGCCCTTTACCAACCTGACCTGGCTCATTTTATTATGTTACACTGGTGCCCCGCCAGCTTAACCCGTTAGGGCAGGGCGGGTTCACTATTCCAATTTCACCCATAGTATAAAAAAGTACTGTAAAATATTTCAAATAATATTAACAAGTGTATATTGATAGCGTAGATTAAGAGGAAAGAATTCACGTAACGTCTTAGTGAGTGGTAGGTTAATAAATGGAGTTATAGACAGTTATCATGCCCGCCGTTATAGTTTTAATGTAAGTGTAACCTTTCTTTTTAGGATATATGACAGAGATGGAGCTCTTTCCACGTGATAGAAGAATGACGACAAAAAGCAACAACTAGGCTTAGTTGGGACTAGAACCCCCTTACAATCCTTTTTTCACGTCCGGGTGTAAACTAACTGTTGTGTGATTTTATTTTACCCCCTTAAGGGTAATTTTTTTACAAACAATGAATGTCATATTTATTTATATTTAATCAACAGCCTTGACGATTTTACATAAAAACTTGCATCCCCTATTTTATTTTACCCCCTTAAGATTTGTTTTTACAAACAATGAATGTCATATATTTAATCAACAAAAAATAAGTTTCAAGCTTCTATTTGCATCCCCTATTTTATTTTACCCCTTAAGTAAATCAACAGTCTCAAAAATAAGATTCAAAAACGTGTTTACATAAAAACTTGCATCGCCTATTTTATTTTACCCCCTTAAGGGTATTTTTTTTACAAACAATGAATGTCAATGTATTTTTATTTAATCAACAGGCTCAACAATACGTTTCAAGCTTCTAGCTTCAAAAATGACGGGTTTAGATAAAAACTTGCATCGCCTATTTTATTTTACCCCCTTAAGTGTCATATGTATTTATATTTAATCAACAGTCTCAACAATAAGTTTAAGCTTCTAGCTTCAAAAATGACGAATTTACATAAAAACTTGCATCCCTTATTTTATTTTACCCCCTTAAGGGTAATTTTTTACAAACATTGAATGTCATTTTTATTTATATTTAATCAACAGTCTCAAAAATAAGTTTCAAGCTTCTAGCTTCAAAAATGACGATTCTTCCATACAATCTTTCATCCCCCCTTTTAACCCCTTACAACCCTTTTTTCGCATTAAAAAGTAGCCTATGTCCGTTCTCAGGGTCTGGACTATCTGTATACCAAATTTCATTCAAATCAAGAGTTACTTTCGCATTTCAACATTAGTAAGGATTTTTGTCGCAGCACAAAAATATACTTTTGTCTTTTCTGTACAAATAGTAATTTTACAGTATTAATCTACAAACCAACATTTTGTTTCTTACAATCAGCTAAATAATTTAAATAGTTCCATAATATATGGCACAATGAAAAGGTCATTTATTTTATAAAAAAGACAGTTAGTTTTTATTTTAGTGAAAAATAAGAAAATTCTATTTTGATACAACAACCATATATTTATTAATACCTATACTTTATTAATTTTGTGTTAATGCTTTTTAAATAAACACCCACACATTATTTCTGTATAACCTACAAAAATGGGTAAATATTTAATTTCGGATAGTGCCACACCACAACATTCTTTCAAAAATGTAAATAATAAAATTTGAAGAAATTGTGATTGTTATTAAGTTTTTTTTTTAAGTTGTTCAGAACAGGGAAACAACATTTGACATTTATTATTATTTAACATTGGATATTGACTTTAATTTTTGTAATTTATATTGTAAAACTTTAAGTTGGGCTAAACTGGGCTTGTATCCAGAGCCGTAAAACAAATTGATAAAAAAAATCGCCAAATTTGTCTCGCAATCGGCCAATTTCAGGTTTAAAGAAAAAACACATACACACGATATACGATTTTATCATAAAAAAGTGTCAAAAACAATATTTTCACTAAACGTCAACGTCATGTTCCGGCAAGATCTTTCGTTTTACATTATGTTATCTGTGGTTTTGTTCTTTGTGACCTAATTGCGCAAACGCACGCGATGTGTTGATTGGTTGTTAGATAGTGAAATGAAAAGATGACGAATAAGGATTCAACCGCATAAAGATAACCTTGTTTTCCATTTTGAACCCCTTACAACCCTTTTTACATTAAAAAGTATATGTCATCTAGACTATCTGCGTACTAAATTTCATTTAAATCGGTTCAGTAGTTTTGGCGTGATATATATAATATTATAAGGATTAAAAGTATTGTAAAGTTATTCATGGCTTGTATGTTCGGGATAATCTCAAACGCTATTGAACGGATTTTCAGGCAATCAGCATGAAAAGATAACATCTATGAAGAGAGTAATTCTTGACGAAGGTTTAGTATAATATAGTTTAATGTAGTATAGTAAAGTTCTACGTTCACGTCGCTAATTGTGTTATAATAACTAGGAATCTAAATGTTATTTATTCGCATAACATATATGTAAATATAATATATTTGCATCTAGGTACTCCTGATTAATTCTAATAAACATTCGCAAATGGCAGCAATTTAGTAAATTAATATCGTACATAGTCGTAATTGTTAAGCATAAACAAATTATAATACATAAAAATTATATACAGACAAGGAAAGTATATACCTTCATTATATGCTTCATAGTTTCCAGATCTAAATAGAATACTGACATCAGACGACCAGCCTCGGTAGACTCTATACAACTGGCTTCGTCCATTGTAATGAGCCCCGCACTCGCTAGTCCATTCATAGCTCTAACGCACAATTCTAAAAGAAGAATATTTTATTTATCTGAAAACTATATTGAAAATAAATCACATAGTAACAAAATAAATTCGCTTTTCGTTTTAATTAAAACTTATATTATAGGCATAATAGACAAATGATACAAATACAATTTTTTTTATATACCTATGCACTAAGTTATAGGTTCAGTTACATGTATCGTCCTCGCTATTTGATACGGATGACGAGAAAATTGTTAATGTTGTCACTTTAATATTAATGTATGGGAAGAACAACAGAAGTAGAAGTTGAAGGCGCGGCCGGAAACTGCACCGGTGCCGCGGTGTGGTAAAAAATTGGTCATACGCCGAATTCTCCTCCCGGCTTCACATTCGATGTGTAATATACAAGTATGTACCTAATACCTACAAAATTTAAACACTTTTGCGAAAATTAAGCTCGCAAACATGGAAAGGAAGGGTGTGTTGTCCATTGGAGTAACGTGTTTCTCAAGAGCTATTGAATCCCTAGCAAAATCAACATACTGTTACGATTGTTATCCCAGATAGGGCAGTAGAGGTATTGTCAACTGTCCACGTTGTGGCCAACGCAGGTAGCCTTTACACATAACATTTACACATGGTTTGCATTGGTTGGAATATTCTGTATTTAAATATATATTTGTAATAATAATAATTAATTAAAATTTGAAATTTTAGCCACCGATAGCTTGCTTTGCATGTTTGTCGGCAGAAGGGTATATCTCTTCCTTCTACAAATTAAGTTACTGAGTGCAGAGGGAAAATATTTTTGTATTCCGGAAGGACAACGCAATGATCCAAAGAAATATGGACATGATGAAAATGAACCAGCTTGATGTTTAATTTGACGATCTGTCTATCCCATCTAGGATAAAAGTCTTGAAGGTATGTTATTTATTTATGAATTACGAATACTCTATAATATATAGAGTATTATAGTAGTAGTTTTAAATTTAACGCGGTAATTATTTACACGTATAATTATTAAAAATCACGCAGATCTTACCACGTTTTATATTTATTTGCTAATAATATCGGGAACTCAGCAAATAAATATAAAACGTGGTAAGATTCCGTGATTTTTACTAATTATACGTACGAATACTCTAGTTGATATATCATCTAAGCATGATGAAAAACAGGTGATAAGTAGACGATAAACAATTATAACCACAATAAATAGGTACTTACAACACTATAAAAGACACACAGAAGATGAGTAATATCATTATAACATTCCTAGCGATATTTACAAGCGTTTATTACAGTTTAACACAAATACAAACTCATTAAATGCTTCGACTGCATCAGAAATACCTTTATGTAAAGGGCAGTCGGCTAATGCTTCAAAATAATAAGCGCAGCGGTTTGTGTGTATTTTTTTTAATAATTTGAAATCTACGTTCATTTATTATTGGTAAAAAAACGTGTAACAATGTAGACGGTTAAATATGGAATTGAAAGGATAAAATCCTTTCACTTTTTGGGTTGTTGTAAAATAAAGTAGTTTGTTAGAAAACCAGTAAAGGTAATTATTTGGATTGTACTTCAATAAGATATATACATTACGATAATTATGAAATTTCGTGTCCCTGAAGTCATTAATTTTTCCATACAACTTTTTTCTAAATTAATGCAAATATAGCGTTTTGTGTATTGTTTGTTGTATGACCTTTAGAAATAGATGCTGGTGCTTGGGTCACAAACAAAAGCACAATTTAAGATGACATACAGTCAAGTAACTTTGCACAGAAATGTATATTTTTAATTAGACGACCTCGGTGGTCTAGCGATCTAGCACACCGCTTTACGTCCGATGGTTGCGGTTCGATTCCTCGCACGGCACAAATATTTGTATTCATGAGTATGATGGTTTGTATCGGTCTGGGTATTTTCTATGTATAATATGTATGTATTTACAAATAAAAATATCTATGTACTTGTATCAGTTATCTAGTACCCGTAACACATGCTTTAGCTAGCTTAACTTGGGTATATATGGCGCTGTGTGAATTGAACTGAGATTATTATTATTATTATTAATAAAGAGTATATGTTACTATTCCATTATTAAAAACATAAATTTTGTATCCTTTATTATAGTAATATAACTAACACTGCCCTACAACAGCGAATGAAGATTGTTTGTTAGTACCATTATTTTACATATATATGATTATGAATCATATTTAAAAAAAAAATGAATTAGGATCATAACTTTTATTTATTTTTATTGAATTCCCGACATTGGAGCAACGGCCCTTCCAAATGAAGGGCCGTTGAAACACGGCAGAAATATCGGGAACTCAATAAAAATTAATAAAACGTGGTAGAATAAATATTGACCCCGTCAATTAACAGCACGTTTACTGTAGAAGTATATTTTGAATTATGTATATTATGAGGAGATTGCGCTTGAATCGCGTCATATGTCAAGTATCGCGTGCAGGTAAGATTAAATCTAAATAATAATACAATGCTCATCATCTCATCAATTACGATCAGGAACAAGCGAGGTCGTGCGAGGACATAGAGATGATAACTAATCTATATTCTATTGAGCGGGACAAGTCCTTAAGATAACCATGTATGTACATACATTGATATCAGAACCATTTCGAACATAGTTGTTACCATATTCTATCATTATTATATTAATAGATACGTGAAGAAAAACGTTGTACTTTTTTTATACGAAAATTTGCGCGGATTGAGAATTATGAAACTTCGCACGCTTACAGTTTATATAGAGCAGAACGTTAATATCTTTTTTTTAATTATTCAAAAAATTATATAAAATCAATAAAAAAACATTACACATAGGTACTACCATTTCATTTGACAGACATGTGTGCATATGTCTTCAATAATAAAACCTTAAAAGTGTTCAAACTTATTATTTAACATACATATCAATTGTCAAGTATCCATTACACAAGCTCTGTTTAGCTTGGGACTACGTGGCGCTTTGTGAATTGTCCTGAGATATTATTATTATTTCATTTACTGGTTTCCTTGTCACATGGTATATGTTGGTAAATAAAAGAGTACAATATTATAATGATACATAATATTAATATAATAGGATATTGAGATGCGAGTTGACTAATGCGATAATTGTTTTCTACTGCTATTATGTATCATCAGTGATGATAGAAAAAATGTTTTAATGGAATTTACCTTTAACATGTCGTCATAACATTAATTAGACGTAACTAAATATCTTTACACCTGTTATAATGTAATTGATGGTGATTTGTTATGGAAAAACAGTCATAAAACATTTATGAGTTCGATAATATATACACAATATTAATTAATACTGGTCGATACAGATATTCATAATCTAATATTACGTTCATACAACTCATTACGTTCTTTATATCTTCCAAACGGGAAAAGAAAGATAATAATACCCCTGGACAATTCACATTACGCCATCTATGGCAAGAGCTTGTTTTATGGGCACCTACCAGACAACAGATATAAATCTATATATAATTATCTATATTATCATTCATTCACTTATTTATTAGTTTGTGTGGAACAAGTCTAATATGACATTAATAAATTACAACAATTGTTACCTTCAATTTTCTTTGAAATCATATGGCCCGGAGCGTTAATAGGTAACCCGAGGTACCTTCTGGGGTCACGTGCAGCTCTAACGTATAGGAACGTAGAACGTAGCCACTGCACGCATTGTGCGACGTCATTTACGGTGCCTAGCGCGGTCTCACTGTTCAAATTTTCGGCCAGTCGTTTATGAAGGTAACTTTGTAGCGGCTCACTGCCTCCTACTAGGGCTTGGTATCGAGACTGTAGACAGATAAAAATTATTCACATAATCTATGTGTATGTGTGGCTAATGTTGTTTTGAATTTCTATAAGCCTTAAAAAATATTTCAATGTGAGAGCACTTTGAAATATTTTTTAACTCAAATTATAACATCATATTTATAAAGTCTTTAGTAATAATTAGACTATATTTTTAATAACATAGAGCTTAATGTACTCGTATTTTATTTTTATTTATTTCAGGAAGATTACCTAACTGTTTAATTTTAAATGTTATTGAATATATTGAATGGTCCTGTCAATTTATTATCTTCACCAATAGCATTATTTTTGTATGCTTTTAGTATTATACTATTATAACACCTATGTGTTATCAATTCATTTTATTTTTTTCTAGATGTGTTTTTTGGCCTTTTTCGGCCTATACAATTTTATCAACATATTTGAAAAATATTAATGACAGATTAATCATTGTATATAAAGTCAGTACATTAACAAAATCAACTTCTGACACTCTATTTATTACTGACATATTATTATCTGATTTTGTACTAAACGTGTTTATTATTTTAATATATTTATAATGGCATTAACTAAAGAAGAGAAAAGGGCAAAAAAGGAAGCAAAAAGATTGGAAAAATTAAAAGCAGAAGAGGAACTACGGAAAAAACTAAAACGCGATGAACTCCAACGTGAAATGGCTGCTCAAGCATTAAAGAGAGACGAATTGGATAGAACCTGGCGTGAACTAATGCTGAAGATCAAAGAACCCGTTTTTAGACAGGATATTGAAGTTATGTGGCATACGTTTGAAAGAGTATATGATAAGAAAGATTATTTAATTAATCATACAATGAAATTAATGGATGTTGCTGATGATCAATTCCAACGAACTGTAGCGAGTTTTTGTGACACCATTGACACAATGATCAATAAATTCTTGTGTGATTTAGAAGACATGTCTAAAGAAAATGAACGTAGAACTTCTGGGTTGTTGAAACGGGGCGAAGACGATACGATACAGATTATGACAGATCATAATACGGCAGAAACACATTTACAATTATTATTATACCACGGACGAAATACGGCTGACACTTTGGCGTGGACAACACGTGGTGAGAATCTTGTTAAAGAGGACGAGGAACGCGTGAAATATGCTAATGATAGAGAAAATCTGCGCTCATACCTGGAAAATAATTACAACACTCTATGGGAGCAATATAAAGCAGTTCTTAAAGCCTATGTTGTTGATACAGCTGATAATCAAAAGCAGGTGCGTAAATTACGCCGTAAAGAAAATTTAATGGCGGATATTATAGCTTCACAAAGTAAAAAAATAGCCAGTAGCGATGGGATTTTAAAGCGACTGCGAACAGAATTAGCTGCTTATGAATCGGGAACAAAGCAAGCGGTATTCAGAGACCGTCGTAATAGACATAGAGCTGCTTGTTATCGATTAAAGCAATGTCTAATAAATGGATGTAATACAGATGTAAAACAATTGGCAATCTTAGTAAAACTTTCCGATAGTTCTATTGAATGGCTTGAACAAGCAGCTAAGAAGGGTGAAAAAATACTTCGGATGGCCGCACTTTGCAGGAAATTTGAAACAAGACGGGAAAAAGTTCTTCCATTTGGATCAACGTTACCCCATTCACCAACACAAGCTAATGTACGCAAACAACAATTCGACGACTCATTAGTTGTTAATGCTATATCAAGCACTTGTGGTTTGACCCGTCTTTGGCAGCGCATCGCAAAAGCGGAGTTAACTAAACGAGCTCTGTTACGTGAAAAAATGCTACTTCAACATGAAAATGCTCTTATAATGAAAAAAATAGAGGAATACAAAGAGAGAAAAATAGGCCCAGAAATACAGATATGTAGTTGTAATAAACATGGACTAATAAAATCAGTATCACGACCTACTGCTGTTGATGGTGCTTTAGAAATTAGTAAATACAACAAAGGTTAATCATAATCTCATGATATCAAATTAATAGTTATAGTTTTGAGTATAAAGCTCTAGTTATCATGATGGACTAGATCATCAGGTTGATGTGTCATAACACAACAGCGCACAGGCACCACCTATTGCAAGCAATGACTTGTGCAAGGAAAGAGCTTATTCCTTTTTATAAGACCAACAACGTACTTGCAATTCCCCTGGTGTTGAGCGTGCTCATGGGCGGCGGTAACCACTTACCATCAGGTGAGCCGCATGCTCGTTTGTGCCCTGAGTTATAAAAAAAAAGAACCTTAAAAGGTGCAAATGATTTTTATATTGTATTGCCTTTGTCACTTGCAAGCCATTTATTTTATTACAATTTTTGTCTTAGTTGTTTCAATATTATATAATAGTCTATTAAAATGACTTTTCCATTTTTCTAATTATTAACTTAGTTAAACATACATAATTTTGATGAATTTTTATCCATTGAAATTATGTCGTTATAATTTAGTGTTTTTTTTTTGTAAATAATATAGAAAGATGATGTGGCATATCATCTTTCTATATTATTTATTATGATCCGAGCATTTGTTTTATTAAATAATTAGTTACTTAACATTATCTAACCCGATTAATATACTTATGATAGGAAGAATAAGAGATTAAAAACTTTTGTATAGACAAAAGTTTTTAATCTCGTATTCTTGTCAAACTGTGGTATGGTTTCTAAAACATCTATTTTTATAATTTGGCTTCTCATACATGAATCTATTTTATTAATATGATTATTGTGACGTTGAACAATTTTATTTGGACTGTTCATTATTTGTAAATATCTATTGTTTTACTTAATCCTTAAGTCCACATTCTATAACTTGCAAACTGAATCGCTAGTTCGTTTCCCCCTTTCTCATAAAAATGCAAGTTTGTACAATATATCAAGCGTCATATTTGCAGACGGAGAGTCACATAGTCATATCACAAATTAGACAAACATTTATTAAGTATAAGTTAAATTCGTTTACAGTGTTCCGCAGGTATATTTCTTGTTTATCTTTGTTTTCTATATTTTAAGGAAATAATTAATATTTATGGGGTATGAAGATGTAGAAAAAATATTAAAACAAAAAACTTCACGTTCATAAGCGGCTAAAATGTCCTACGTGAATAAATTATATTTGATTGGATTTTAAAGCAAATTATTGTAATCGTAAACGAGCCGTGTCGGTACTTTAAATATTTTTTCATAAAAACAATGTACACGTTTTATTTATGTAAAATCAAAGGGAATAGTATTTTTTGTGTTTGACTGTGCGTAATCTCAGTAGCTTAACTGATTTTGATGGTATTTACTGACGATTTACTGTTTCATTGCAAAAATAATATAACCTATTGTTTTTCCGAACACAATACGTAGCTAAGAAGATACAGCTAGTAGCAGCAGTACATTCATAAAATTAAAGTACATATATAAATTATTATTAGTAACATTTATATAAAATTATGTTAACTAGTGTAAATAAGACCTGATTTAAAAAGTATAAAGTAATTTGAAATCATACATACGGAATCCCAAAAAGATATAAATTTCGATAAAGTTTATGTCTGGTTTATGAGAAAAATATTATATTACCTACTTATATTTACTAAAGTAATGTCAAGTTTATAACTTTTATACGACCCATTAAAACAAAGATCGGATCCGAGTATTAAATTAACAAAAGGGGAATTTATATAATTACGAACTTTACAAATTATAACACCTTTAGAGAGTACTCATTTTTTTCTTATATGTAAAGAAAAGATATATGTAGAGAAAAGATAATGTTACAGAATATATAAACACAACTTTTCATTACATACTGTCTTTCCGTCCCTATGTATGCTTAAATGTTTAAAACTACGCAACGGATTTTAAGCGGTTTTTTTAATAGGTAGAGTGATTCAAGAGGAAGTTTTATATGTACAATACATGTACACCCGGGCGAAGCCGGGGCTAGTAGCTAGTATATTAAATATAATATAAGAAATGTACGAAGTTAAAGCCAGGTCAGTTAGACCATATTGGCAAATGGCAATTGACCATGATGGTATTACCAGGGGGTACCGCATGGAGGTCAGCTTGACACGGTTACATTGCTACCAATGTAGATTTATTTGGTATTGTTGTGTAGACTTTACTTAGTAAAGTCGTGTTTCGATAAGTATATGGGTAGGTACAGTAAACTAGATGACAATAGTTAATTGTGTATTAGAATGATTTTCGTAAAAAATGTAGAAAGTTATAATTTTCTTAATGTTTCGAATAAAGGATAAAAATTATTTTTACAATTTACGTGATGTGATTAGGTATACCTAAGTATTGCCAGATGTAGAGGTATATAAATTATAAATCATAGGTCATGAACTTCATTATATACAGTAATTGTAATATAATTGTATAGGGATTGAAACAATGAAATTACTATTGATCTCTGATTACAATTTGCACTGTAGGTATTTAGAATATCTTCGCTGACATTATTCGTACGGGCATTCCACACGACGCGAATATATGTATGTACAATAAAATTATATTTAAACTGACTTCAAGATAATGAACTAAAGCTTGGGCAATAGTCTATTAGGATGTGAATTAAACAATTTGTCTATTTCGAAATAATTCTTACTTATATATTCAGATATAATTCATTTGTCTTATTCATACATACCTAAACAGAATAAAGATTATGTACCTAATAATGTTAAGTTTACCAAATTATACACTCATCTATGATTTTCTCCTCTCCATTACATTTTTACAACAAATACTACTACTTCAATTAAGTTAATTGTACTAATGAGTTGCTAAAGTAACTATTCGTCATTCCTAAAGACGAATTATCTGTTACTAATTAACAATTAGATATGAGCTGTCTCTGTGTAGGATATTTTGTTCTAAATAATTTTAACACTGACGTAGAAAGAGTCATACATTTCAAAGCAATATCATAAGCTTCACGTATCTGTCTGTAACATGGTAATACCAAGAAGATTGGACTGGTGATTATATAGTTGATTTTTTATTGTAAGCCGACGTGTTCGTGAGGATTCTTAGATATAATTTTCTAGCTAATTTTTTATTCAAGTGTTAATGAAATTTTTTAACTAAATCCTTACTATTAAAAATGCGAAAGTAACTCTGTCTGTCTGTCTCCCTTTCACACCAAAACTACTGAACCAATTTAAATGTAATTTGGTACATAGATTTTCTAGACCCTGAGAAAGGACATTGTAGGAGATTGAAAGAGGACGTGAAAGGAATTGAAAGAGGGAAATTCGTCACTTTTGGAGTAAGAACGATCAAACTTTTTGGGTTGGCCGCGGGCACAGCTAGTAATTATTATTAGAATAATGTATGCTACACTAAATATACTGAAATATCGAAGAGGAATGGAGAAAAGGCAACTTTTTCATTCGGAGGTCTAATTAGCTACATTTTTGAGACCATTTTTACGAAACGATCATGACCTATATAGTATAAGCTAGAGTATTTATGGATATATGCAATTTTATATTAAATAAAATATAATATCGTAAAAGCACAATAACTTGAGTCACTTCCTTATCATGAGTCTAGAATGATGAATACGAACATGATGAATACCTCTCGCTTTCACCGGTTGATGTGTAAGGATAGCTATAACTCACTAGGTATAAGGGCCCCTACGTCAAACATAATGATCGTTATTGTAGGTAACAAGAGTCCTTTGTAAACTTGATAAATCTACCTCGGTCGTCTACTGTTTCACTTCCGATAGACTCGGGTTCGATTCCTCGCACGGCGCAAACATTTGTATTCATGAGTAAGATTGTCTGTATCTGTCTGGGCGTTTTCTATGTATATTATGTATTTAAAAAATATATATCTATGTATTTATATCAGTTGTCTAGTGCCCACAAGCTCTATATACCTTGGGATTAGATAGCGTTGTGTGAATTATCCAGGGATACTATTATTATTATAAAGAGTCGTCATAGTTACTTATATACAAAAGCTACATATCTGTAACGTCGTTATTAAGTGATCACGAGTAGTCTACATAGTTACAAGTTCTAATAATTCTTTAAACTATTAAGGTATTATCTAGTTTTTTTGCGGTATTGTCCTTAACATTACTAATGCGTTTAACATTTAAGAAGCAACAGACAGCATCCCACCCCTCCGCAAAGATCAAGACGCTATCTTTAAACGTTTTGATCTTAAAAAACTTTTAGTACATAACGTTAAATGTTTTATAATTGTTTTAATAACGTTAATGGAGGATACGTTATCCACGCATACAAGTCTCCCAATAATTTAAAACAAAGGTTCATGGTCACTTCTTTTGATATTATAATTGGATGATAACCGCGAAGGCAAATACACAATTATGAAGTAACTACCCAAATGTGTAGTTATCTAAAATACTAAAAACGTTACGAAAAAAATGTATGCAAACATGATCACGTGATGAACCAAAGCCCGCCTATATCCAAGTTTTCAGTAGTAACGTTCTTAATAATGAGAAAAGGTATCTTTAATTATACGACAGGTCTGTCCGTCCGTCCGTCTGAATTTGGTACACAGATAATCTGAACATAGACTTTTTAATGTGAAAAAAGGGTTATAAGTGGTAGAAAGGGGGGATGAAAAAAGATGAAGGATGGATTGTCATTTACAAAGCTAGAAAGCTTGATACTTATTTTCTACAGTGTTGTCACTCTTGTAGCTAGAACGATGAAAATTTTTTCTTAAAGTAATTATACATACGTGAATTTGTAAAATAATTAGCCTAAATAATTAAAAACAAGGTTTTCCACGTGATTAGTATAATAATATTTATTAAAGTAATAAATATTTTAAAAAAACATAATGATTGTTTATTAATTTGTATTTAATAAAAAAAAGATGTTCACTGTATGAACCCTGACATTAATATTGCAATGTTAATATGATTAAAGCCGATAACAAATTCATATCTTATATGACATATCATATTTTTACAATATTAATGAACATATTCTAACGCCGCGCCGTACAATTTGACAAAAAAATAAACAATTCAATTGTTCTTCTAACAACTACAAACTTGGCGCTACTTTGTTGACATGTAGTCAAGCTTATATATCAGGCTAAAATCGGAATATGTGGAGGCATATCCATCACGATAGATATATTGCCACATCTTCGCATCGTCGGGGAGTCGTGGGGTGCATATATAAGATGAGGACGAGGCCGGGGCACGTCACCAGTCAGCTTCACACGCCATACGGCTATTGTCAACGGTTTTACAGGTTGTGTAGTGTCGTGTTTGTATTTAGTGCGTTCTGTAAAGGTGAGTTTAAATGGGTAGTAATTGGTTTGCCGGCAGCGGCACTCTTAAGTTCTAAAAACTGTCATAGAAGTTAAAAGATATAATAATTATAACAACATGTATATTTTACGTCCTTTTCCTTTTATAATCTACCTCTTATTTTCATAGATCTTATTTTCTCTCATTTGTTTGTTTGTATTGTCCCATCATTTTGCGTTTTAGTGCAATAAATACACTGGACGGCAGGGTAAAAAAAAATTAAGTTTCATAACCGGCTAAAATGTCGTATATTCATGTTTTTTTTTATTTGAATTCGCATCTCATTTTCTTTTCTACAACCAAGTCCTGTGACTTGGTCGTATAATTATAATATATATTATAATATGAAAACAAAAGATATGAAATTATCTAGGAAAAGCAATTTTTATAATTTTAGAATCCTTGTATAAAGACACAATGTGAAGCAAAAAGCTATATTTATTATACCCAAGTATATACAGAGGTGGTTCAGAAATGTTAAATAAAATTGTTAAAAATCTAATTAAGATTAACTGAAATATAAAACCAAGGTTAGGAACTTAGAATTTTTATTAGCGGACACCGAAATATTTATTAGGAAAACGATTAGCGAGTAGCCAACAATGAATTAGATAAACAAAAGCTTTAAATCCTTAATTCATTCTAATGCGAATTGTTTCTCAGTAAACCGCGAATTGCCTATTATAATTTACGATGAATGTTATCAGAAGTTTAGATGTGAAACTGATTGTTTTGTTAATACGGCTGCACAACGAAAAACGTGTGAAACTGTATTACAATATTGATTTATTGCAAACATTTAATTATCTCAACCTGCAGTGATCTTGATTATACTTTATTTTTACATCTATTTAACTTCATGTCAAGGGCAGGGTTAAGGACCCCTTTGGATATAAATAGATATAAATTTGTTTCGTATAAACGGCCGTTGAAGTTGTAATATAAACAGACAGATACATAAGATAGATTATGATTTATTTTAATATGGCATTAAAGCAAATCATAATTTATTGTAAATATGCATGATGTGACATTTTAATTTGTTGCCTTACATGAGAAAATAGTGCAACTGTGTATACATAACGGCCCGTAAACACATGTAAATGTATACCAATTTATTGAAACAATGCTCTACTTGCACTATAAATTAATATGAAGTGTCGATTTTTCACTGAGTTATGATTTCCGGAATGCATATATACATAAGTAGAAACTATAATTAATTACGTCTACGTCAGTCATAATTAATAAAAAAAATTTAGTGAAATAAAAACAGATTCCTTAATTTTGCATATATCTATCAAATGTTTATGTTGTCTTAAACCATATAATCCTTTTTTTATGCCTTTATCATACACAGTTAACATAAAAATGGCAATGTTAAGTCTAATATATCTTTGTTGCTAAAAATCATGTAAAATTACATGCATCACGTGATATGATGCGATGTTCACCTTTTCATTATTTAACGCTTCGTCAACTTGTTAACAGTAATTACTTTAAGTAGTGAAGAAAACTATCGGTTCGCACGCGCACTTGCTTGTAATACAACCACACCTCTTATAAACTTACAAACATATTTCGCAAATTCTATAATATGCATATTAATATGGTTATTTGTTTATATTTTCTAATATTTTAATTGTTAAAACCGAATAATATTTAGCATTAATGAAATTATATTGTTAAATTTGTTATTAATTTATTACCTTTGATCTATATTATCCTGATCACCCGTAAGTACATCATAATATGGAAGAGGACGCTGACTTCTGAAACACAGGTATTTTCTATACCTACTTCAGAAGTACGCAACATCATAAATTATATTTGTACTAAATATGTGAAATAATTAATATTATTATTAATTAAAAAAAATATTATATGCCGCGAACGATATTTGTGTTTTATGTACCTACTTATGTCTGCTACTAGTGTAAATACACTAGTAGGAGATATTGGATCTGTATATATACAGTTCTCAATATAATTGTTGTTCACTTAGGTAGGTGTTTCGCAACATCGTTACCAAAACCAGTGTAGTACTGGTATTACTTTTTGCAAGGTTACCTAAAAAAAATATAATAAAAAATAAAATATATAAAAAATACTTTTATTGACAGAAGATGTTATATAAATGTTAACAGATGAGTAATTTAAAGAGAATAAAAACCTATTGGTTTGTATTAACTTTAGTCCCCAAACTAGGACGGCCATTATTTTTCAATGTGTACTAAAATATTTTTTAAGAACCGTGCTTAGCCACTAAGGTATCGATAGAGGTCTTGTCTAAAAAAATCTAATAAAATCGTGGGCAAGAGCACTAGCTAGCTAGTCTCAAGTAACTACATATAATGTTAGCAGGTATGGCATACAAATTGAACAATATTAAGAACTAACAACGTTAATTACTGGATATACCGATTACTGTATCTACTATACTTGTGACACTACAAATTACAGAAACAAAAAAGTAAAAAGTCGCGATACGCAATCACATGTCATATAGAGATTGCGCTGAGACAACTAACAACCCGTAGGAATATAACGTACTCGCAAGGCCAATTTATTCTCGATCATTGACATAGATACCTGTTATATTTATAATGTATTTTGAATTTTTGTGGCTGTTAAGAATGATATACATATAAGAAATATATGAATAGGACATCCAGCACATGCATTGCCTACATAAATCTCCGTTTGCCCTATAGTTGGCTGGGAGAAAATGCCTCAAGGTGTTAAGTCCACCATATGCATCTATATTTGTGCATTAAAGTTTTAATTGATAAATATCCTACTAATACTATTAATGCAGACGTTTGTGAGTGTGAATGGCTGAATAGATGTTTCTCTACTACACAAAAATTAGTAAATATTGCAATGAAACTTTATAATAATATAGCTTATAAATGAGAATAAGAAATAGACCATACAATTTACACAGTGGGCAAGTTAGTTTACCATATTTAATAGTTCGAAGCTGTTACATAAATCAAATTAATATTTTGTTATTAATATTAATAAACTGTTTTGATTCACTTATAAGAAAATTATACTAAATTAAATTAAATAATTAAATTATAAAATTCAATTTAATTAAAATTCAAATAAATAAATTAAATTAATAATTTTTTGATCACCCAAATAGTTGAAGAATTGAGAGATTTAGATTAATAGAATGAAATAGTTATTAATCTCATTCTCTATTTATTTATCCAAAACTATATAAATTTTGTAGTATAATTAAGACAATATATAAATAATAATAAATAAAGACAGAAACACCGTCTATGGGATGGTGTTTTTGTCTTACGCGTTAATTACTGATTTTGATTCTTTTTACTATTAAGGATAGATTTTAGTCTCACACTGTGGATGACATACAAATTTTTCTCGATTGATTTTTTTATGGAACAAAATATAGCTTTGCATATAAGCATATGCTTATTAATCTGCAAATGAATTTTTCATTTATACATGTATATCTAATATTTTATTTACGTACATATAATAAATACAGAAAAAGGAAAGACATTTTAAATAACAAGATTAATTCAACAAATTCAAAACTGAATTAGAACATTTTAATAATTTCTTGTAATCTTATTAAAAACTAAGATAAAGTACGAGCATTAGCATAGTTAACTGAAGGGCAGATAACTTAAACAAAAAGTTAATACGGCAATTAATTGGTTAGAGTGCCATCTTCGGTCAATTAAAGGTGTTTATTGCTTTAGATGGATTGTAACTGATAGCTAAACCTGTTTATAATCCTAAGTTAAACATTGCTTTTAATTATCCGGACCTTTGTAATTTATCTATGAATGTAATCTAACTAATTAGGTTAACTATAAATAACTGCAGCAGTTAGTTAATAACTGCTCTATTTCAACACAATATTGAAGAATAACTTTAAAATAAATTTTAAAATGTTAACTTATTAGATAACATATTATTGTTATCATTATATCATATAACAAACATATTATCGAAGTTAATCGTCGATCAGTTGAAATTTTAATACAATAAAATATTCAATGTATATATATGATGTAATGTTTTTAGATGTCTTCAATGAAATGGATAGTGTGGGCGCTCGTTATTGCATCCTTAAGTATGCGACATTCAGAAGCTGCGCCTGCACCGCAAGAAGATGCGTCACCACCTATGCCAGTAAGTATGTGCACATTTCTGCATAATCATACTTTGCCATATAAATCATTTGATTCCTCTATGTACGTTAATTGTGATTTGTTTTTATACAAAGATCGACAATGAATTATTCTCTAAAAATTAGTAATATTTATTTATAAAATTAATAATACCTATTTAAATAATATTAACGCCTTACGAATATAAGTGTTATGTACCTTATCTAATTTTGACAGATAATGTATTTTGTGTTTTATATTATTATTTATTCCATATTTCAATCAAATAAATATATTTCATTTCATATGTTAGTAAGTTAAAGTACATAATATTTCTATGTTCAATTTTTGTATTACGATAACAAAATAATAACTAAAAGAGTATTATTTTTTACTAAGAAAATTGACATACATAGGTGCCATGATGTGATAGACCATTGATAAGTGATGAGTATGCACTGTGATACCATGTATTTACATTACCTGTAATTGAGACGTTATATCTCTTGTATTGGAAAAAATGCAAGGATATGTTTTCGTTTACGACCAAAAGACATCAACGCAAGTGACGGTACTTAATGACAGCATTATATACACTACAATACCTAATTCACTATGTAGGAAGCGTTACATAAGATAATAATAATTATTATATGTATTTTATAGTAGATATTTTAAATAAGAAAAAAAAACAATGTCCAAATATCGGGTCTATATCGATATCGGTATCGCTCATAAGTAATATTATCATTGTAAATATCTCGTGTCGATTATAAAATATGTTGTGATTCTAAACAACCTTATAATTCAATATAACCGTATTTAAAGAAAATTATTTACTCATTTCTAGATATTGCAGTAGTCTATTTGCCTGTACAGACTGACATTTTTTTTTTTAATAAATATTTATTATTGTTATTTAATATCCAAGGACAATTCACAAACCGCCATCTAATCCCAAGTTAAACAGAGCTCGTGTGTTTGGTACTAGATATCTGATATGAATACTTAGATACATGTTTTTGTAAATATAATACATAATATACATAGAAAACACCCAGAGACCGATACAAACAATCATTCCATGAATATAAATGTTTGTACCGTGCGAGGAATCGAACCTGTGATCATCGGAACTATAGTAATGTGCTAAACCGCTAAACTACCGGGGCCGTTATAATTAAGTTTTGTATGTACTAAGTATGTCTATAAGACATTCAGTCTTTGTTGTCGTTTCTGTTTTATGCACACTGTCGCAATTCCAAGTTCTTGTTACTAAATCAGAAGTCGTAACTCTGTAGGTCAAAGGTATTCACGTTTTGTTTAAATTATTGCCGATGTGCGCCGGCGCATCCTCGTTGCTCCTCGATAATGTTAAGGTAGACAACTTTTATTTAGCGCCCTATAGTTCTAACTTAACTGTCTATAAAGTACATTTAATTAAGTACGCGTCTTATATTCATATAAAACGAAGTGGTGGGCTTAGATGCTATACAAATGTATTTGAGTCCCTATATATGCAAATACATTTGAATATCTCAATTACTATAAACGTATCTACTCTTAATAAAATATTGTACAGTTCATTCATAGTGTACTTAGGTACAATCAGCCACCTCTGGTCTCACTATCGGTTTCATCTTAGCATTATTCTAACGATGTGAACATGCAATCCACGAAGCCACTAATTGGATGCTGGGCGCAATAACGTTTAGCCGTCTTTGTGCGCTTTGAGTTATCTCGACTTATCTCTATCTTATCACGATTAATTGCACACACTGTACGCAAAAAGAATAATTGAAATCACGTTATCTCTGTATAAACTCAGTTTTAGTTCCCAAAATGCAACATAGTGCAATACGCAATGATACAACTGTACTATTCGTATTAAAGAAAATGTTGAATATTTCGCAAAATAGTACAAATATACCACACATAAGACAATATAGTAACTTAATTGTAGATTTAGGATTGTAATAGAGATAATATTTTTTTAAGTTTCTACAATTCAGGTTAAAATAAAAATACGAGGTAGATACTTATATTAGGTACACGGTATCTAAACTAATCTTGAATCTAAAATTGAAATTACTTAGACATTTATTTCGTCTCAGCCAAAGAATTTTATTCCATAGCACGATAATATTATGATAAATATGTTATAAACTATGAAACATAATTCATGAAGAATTAGCAATAAGGTACTCAAAGTTTAAATCATCATTACAAACAATAGCAACTTTATTGCAAAAATTTCAATGTTGAGATATATGTGGTCTATGTATTTATGAGCCTGTGAACTGTACAAAACAAACGTTGCAACGAAAATGTGACCCTTCTTAAATACGAACAAAAAGTTATGAATTTATTAAGCAAGAGACATAGACTTGCCTTGACCGATTTTCTCAGAACAATATTTATATAGGGTACATAGTAAATATTTTTTTATTTTATTAGTTCAATGGAACTGACTGAAAAGTATAAAGTGTATAATAGAATTCTCATGCTTTTGTAGTAATTATTCTTAATTATTCGGTTAGACGGTTTCTGTGGTCTAACTAGTTTACAACGCCGCCGCCTTACTTTCGATAGTCGCGGGTTCGATTCCTCGCACGGCACAAACATTTGTATTCATGACATTGATTGTTGTATAGGTCTAGGTGTTTTGTTTGTATAATGTGTATGTATTTACAAAAAAAATCTATATATTTCCAACAGTAATCTAGCATAACCATAGCCATAACAAACTTTAGCTAGCTTAATTTGAATTGAGATGGTACTGTGTGAATTGTCCTTAGATTATTATTATTATTCTTTTTTTTTTATACGTTACGCGAATCTTTATGCAAGTTAATAGAAGATTCAATTAATAGAATACTTTTAATCAATAGTATACACTCTAGATGATTATACCTAGATATTGAACAGATTTTGATATCATTGCAATAGGTTTTGTTATTAAAAGAAATCGTAGATGAATATAATTAAGCAATAAAGTCAATTCCAAAGAGATTTTGATAAAACTCTTTTTAACGAAATATATTCACTCCTAAAAAAAAATATTAATTATTTTTCAGTATGAGTATAAATACGACGTGGAAGACCAAGAGAAGGCTCTATACTTCGGTGCCAATGAATCTGGGGATGCACAAGGAAAGGTGATTGGAGGGTACAAAGTGTTACTGCCTGATGGAAGACTGATGACCGTGGAATACACGGTGGACGGTGAAAGCGGATTTGTTCCCAAGATCAGTTTTCAGGAAAATGCTAACCCCTTCGGCAAAACAAAGTAGACAATATATAGAAATATCGTAAGACTGTTGCAATGAATGTACAATTCAATTAATTCCATTTTAATGAATCCACATATTTTCAACTTAATTGATCTTTCTTATATATGTATATATATATAAAGTATTTTATATCTACTCTTCAATTCAGTTACATATTTGTCTTTTCTAAGAAAAATGTCCATGGTAACATATGTATTATAAAAATATTGTTACTAAATATCCCTATAATGAAATAATTTCTAAACTTCTTTTCTTTGAGCGTAATTGATTTCTTTTGTTGTAATTGGCATTTTTGTATATGAAATACTCTTTTTATTATACACAATAAATTAGTATTGCCAACTCTGAACACGAGATGTTACCATTACTGTGATGAAATAATATTATAGTTAGGAAGTAAGAGTAGACCACAATTGCCATGTGAAATATGATATATTTTTAGTACTAAGTAAAATATAAATTTTGTAAAATAAATTATAATAAATTTTGTATTTACAAAGTATTCTATTTTTATTTAATTGGTTTACTCTATCACTAATAGATGGGTATTAGTTAATATACTTTATAATTCGATAAAGTAAGTATAGTAATAATTGTAAGTTATTTATTAATATTGGTACCTACCACGTCATTCATTAGTGTCTCACGTAATTAATTGATTATTTCAAGAGGTTTATTTTTATATGACTGGAATGGCACACTAGCTTTCGCTCGCCTAATAGAAATTGGTAGCCGTTGACTACAAATAGACATGAACCCATTAGTATAGAATGCACTGTAGTACAAATTCGTACACTTAGTAATTTCACTATCTTCTCTATATTTGAAAACATAGTTTGGATGAAAGGCGAAAAATAATGACAGTGTCATGTAGTCCTGCTCAAATACATGGTTTTTATGGTAAAAATTTGATATAATATAATATAAAGGTAATAAAAGGTATACTGATTTATTTACTACTGTTTACTGTGGCTTTGTCAGCAGAAATCTGTTGTTCTCTCGACGTAAATTATAAAGTTTTTTATATTCTCTATGCAGTTTCATAACGCCCATCAAGTTGTGAGTAGTTCAGTCGTAGACCAACACATACACAGTACAAATATTTTTATATATAGATATAATCATAAACTGTGTAAAATAATGTCGTTATCGTAAATGATGTGAACATTTCTCAAGTAGACGGCTTCGGTGGTCTAGTCGGTGGTTTAGCGCACCGCCTTACGATTGTTTGATGTGTATATTATGTATGTATTATTACAAACAAAATGTATATAAGCATTTATATCAGTTGTCTAATACCTATAACACAAGCTCTGTTTAGCTTGCAACTAGATGGCGCCGTGTTGTGTGCAATGTTAATATAGTGAATGATTTTAAACTTTATATTGTAAGAGTTAACCTTATCATTGAGTCGGGTCATAATGACAGCGGTGGCTTCGGTGTCATATTGCGGGCGGCCAGCTCGCCCGACCATCTGCAGTACGGTGCTGATGCTGTACTCCTATACAAAATGTATTATCAAATACACAATCACATTATCAATAATAAAACTCGTTTCAGTAGTGTCAAATGTAGTGAAAAAAATTCAAAACTATGACCAGTTCAATACATTCCCACTACATGACTAAGATATTAGGAGACACGGTAGGTCATCTTAGTAATTTAAAGGATTTTATTTCGAATTTAGCTTCTCTTACGTAAATATGACCTATGTTTTGTTACATCGTATGACATCCATGGAATGCAAAGGAGTGGTACTTCATTGTATTCGTACTCCCTAACTGTATGCAGAATTTAACACCTACTTAACTTATTCCTGTTGTTTAAAATTAATTTAATATATATGCAGAATAGGTACTAATCAGTAAAAGAAATATCGGATAAATTCAAAAGGTATAAAATATATAAAATTCAAGGACATGGAGACTCTATAAATATACAGTAAATTATTACGGGAAAGGCTACTTAACGCTACTAATTGTAGTACATAGGTACAATCACAAACAATCACGCAACTTTCATAGCTATCTCACGACACGTCGGTCCTGGAAACTCGACGTATAAGTAACAGATCACACTGTTGATATACCTAATTTGGTTTGACAGACTCAGTGGTCGAGTGGTTTTGTGCACCGCTTTACTTCCGATGGTTGCGGGTACGATTACTCGCATAGTACAAATATATCTATTCAGGAGGATAATTATTTGGTCTTGTTGTCTAGTACTCATAACACAAGCTCTGCTTAGCTTGGGACTAGATGGCATTGTGAGAACTGTTCAGGGATATTGTTATAATTAATATTAATTACCCTGATGTACATTTGTACACTTCTAAAGTTTATATCTACATAATATATGTTCTACTAGTTCCTTTTGTAGCAACATGCTAATCTCATATAACAATCAACTTTACTCGCCTGATATGCTCCGTTGACATATTGTTGCGTGTTTTTGATGATCACAAGATGCGCTGGAAGATTTACGCCCATTGCTAGAAAACAGATAAAACAGTTGAACATTAGAAAGTTCTGTATCCTTTATAGACATAAGCTAAATAGGATAAAATAATTGCTGCCGACCGAGTAACTGGAAGCGGGTATAAACTATTTTCAAGCATTCTATCTACATATAATTAAGTACACATCTAGACACGCGGCAGCGTGTCAAGCCGAGTTTCAAGTAAACTGGCTTGCAGCACCGTGTGTATATTTACACGAACCATTTGGAGCCACTTTTGACCCCCTCATAACTCAAAAACTCTATCACACAAACCTGTCAAATTTGGTTCATATATTGAGACTTGCGAGATAAATATGTGTTCCAAATTTCATAAACATATCTCAAACGGTTATTTAGATATTAATGTCCAAAAATCGTCATTTTTATCACTGATCAACTATAGATCAAAATTATAACCCACTTCCAGATGACCTAGGAAGTTCAAATTTGGCATGAAGATAGGTAATTAGGTGAATATAAAGGAAAAAATCTGAAACTGGTAAATTGTTATCATTTTACTACAATTTTTCACTTTAATTGATTATATTTCAACTTATACTGGACGAATACTAAAATTCTATGAAAACGTCGATAGTCACCAATTGACATTGATCCCTGGCGAAAAATTTCATCTTGTACTGGACGGAAAGTAATATTGTATGAAAACGTCGATCATTACCAATTTACGTTGACCCCTTCACATCAGTGTCGATAACTAGCAAACTTCAAATATTGCATTGAGCGATAAACACTAGTTGCTATAATTTAGATTCTGTCTAAAATATACTCGTACTTATAACTAGGAGTATAGTCGAATTTCGTATTTATTATGTTATTAACTGAGATTTGGTATTAATTATTATTTCAATATTCAGCGCACATCGATAGTGTAAAATCATTATTTTTATAAATAATTATTAAATAATAGACATTTCGGTATAGGGCGCCGCGGCGGCGCCGTGTGGGAGCGGTGCGATAAAACGTTGACGCGAACCTGTCCGAGCGAATGGCAGCCACCCTCATATGCCTCAATGTTTTGTTTCTCGATATCTAACCTATAAGGTTGCGATTTATGCTACGAAATTTATAACTTTCTTAAATTATACTTATATATTTGTGGTTATATTATTATTACATTATTTTAGTAAATACGTATGGTATAGACAATAGTTTAAACCAAAAATTAATAACAATTTTAGTATAGTTATAAGTAGGAATGTATAGTTAACTCGAGAATGAGAACTCATTGGTAACAAATTGTTTTCTTGAGAATTCAATAGATAACAGTCAATTTGTTACATAATCGTCTTTACGAACTATAACGTGTCAATACGAAGTTTCAGATATTAAATAATGTATATGTTGAAAGAGAACAATTCCGTATTTGCTTAACATATGCTATTACTATCCACAAATCACAAGGCCTTAGTTTTGGCAGTCCTCTTCTCAACATAGGCTCCTCCATATTTAATAAAGGGCAGGTTTACGTTGGACTCTCCAGAGTTAAAACCTTATGGGGTACGTCTTAACAATTTAGATCCAAGTCACGAGAGCTCTATTGTAGAGTACAACCATCTGTGGACGTTATACCGCCCCGATTTGCCCAAAAATTCCTGATACTGAATTGGCTTTGGACTTCAACATTTAAAAGTTACAAGAAAATATAGAAAATAACACAAAAAAAAGACAATTATACCCCGTAAATATACGAAAATACAGTAATTTATCAAAAATAATTTGGTATTAATTTAGTTATAAATATTTACCTAGTATAATTTATGTACAAAAAGTAATGATATCCCATCAAAAACATAAATGTGAAAAGATAGCCGAGTTTAATATTATGATATATACCTTGATTGTTGACTTCTACGACAAAAGAGATGAGATCTAAATGGGTGCCAAGTTCAATGGTCTGTCTTGAAATGTATTTATAACAATATAAAATATCATTTCTTCTTATAACTTAGGATAATATACTGTAGCCTAAGGTCTAACTTGGCTAGTTTTCATATACGAAATATACTGTAGCCTTCGCAAGTTCTAAACATGTTACTTGTCGGTTCCTATTTTAATATTAATAGTAACTAGCAATCGAAAGTAATAATTGGTATATGAGAACTGGCCAAGTTAGACCTTAGGCTACAGTATATTATCCTAAGTTATAAGAAGAAATGATATTTTATATTGTTATAAATACATTTCAAGACAGACCATTGAACTTGGCACCCATTTAGATCTCATCTCTTTTGTCGTAGAAGTCAACAATCAAGGTATATAGCATAATATTAAACTCGGCTATCTTTTCACATTTATGTTTTTGATGGGATCTTAGATTTCAGAAAAAATCTCACCACGATAAATATATATATAGACAAGATAAATATATATTTTACATCTATATCTAATAATGTATGTTTATATAATCTAGAGCCGAAAAACTGTAATTAAAATACATTATGCATAAAATACATTACTTGTTAGGAAGGAAGGGAGGATTCAACAAAGTGTAATATTAAATAACAAGACATCTTAGGAGTCAGAAATTTCGTCTATACAAATAATGAAGCCCTGATTGTAGTTACTACATATTTAAATACTCTATTACGTAATATATTATTTTATGATACATCATAAAATGTATTTTTTAATAAAGATGCTAATGTATAAAGATGAATGCCCGTTTGAAAATACAGGTATGAAAAACTTAAAAAAGTAGGTTATGTATAGAGTACATACATACCTAATGTTGTAGTTGTGATGAGTATCGGTAGATCTCTGTTTCTGAAAGCTTTTTCTATGTTACTTCGCTCTTCAAACAATAAACCAGCATGATGGCATGCGACACCAGCCAGAATCAATGACTAGAAAATGTTGTTATTTATTGTACTAATCTCAATTAATTTGTATTGTATTTAATTCAAAGTATATAAAATATAGATAATTTTTTTACAATTCACACAGCGCCATCTAGTCCCAAACTAAGCAGAATTAGTGTTATGTGTACTAGACGACTGATATGAATACATTTTTTTTAAATACATAGGTAAGCACATAATAGACATAGAAAACAGTCAGACTGATACAAACTTTCGTACTCATGAATACAAATGTTTGTAAGGAATCGAACCAGCAACGATCGGAAGTAAGGCGGTGTGCTAAACCGCTAGGCCACCGATGCTGTCGAGGAAAATATCTGTAATCTGTGTATGTATTATAAAAATTTGAAGGAACTAAAAAAACTTAGCAACTGAATTCAACACAATAAATTATATAATAACGTCTATATTACGGCAATATTTATAGGATTTTACCTGTAGTTTCTTATTCTTTATCGTTGAAGCAAGTGTCATGAGTTTATCTTTCTGCTCCTGATTGAAATTGATGGTAATTTCACGAGATAATGTTTCCGCTGTCAGTATCACGCTCTTTCTCGTATTGCAGAATATCTAAAGATTTTTTTAATAATTAAAGATACCTTTATTTCTCTTTCTCTATGATAGTAAAGACAAGAAAGCTAATATTTTTATCCTACGGAAATGCGTTCTACCTAACGTTTGCCCGTGCGATTAATCATTCTCAAGAAAACTTCCGAATGTCGCGAAATACAAAAACAAAGGTTATTAATTTCCCGTATAGTTAGTGCAAAAATTACCTATTGAATAATAAGGCGTTCTAGGTGACGAGCTACCTAATGAAATGTAGTAATTACCCATACAAGTAAACAGCAAAATAAACTTGAGACATACATAGTCTCTCTGGTCTCAAGTTTAAATAAACTTGAGACCAGAGAGACTAAATAGCTTACATATGTTGCAGTTCCTAAGCTCTGAGATATAAATATGTACTACTATTATAATATCTGCTAATATTTATTAATATGTCTTTTTATTATTATGAAAGTTTCAGGAGTTTTTGATGTCGGTTAAAATTACGAAAAAGAAATAATATTTATTTAAATGAACTCAATAAAGGCACTTCATAATATTTCAAAGAAGCCATATTAATTTATTGTATCTTGATTGTTGGAAAACAGACTGATCACAAGAAGACTGAGTAAGATATTTGCGTGTTGAACTCTTTTAAACAATGTTGTTCTGCATTACATATTAAAGACTATGAATACAAATAAATATAAATCATTAATTTTTAAAATAAACATTATAATTACGAGTGTTGGTTTTCCATTGTGATATTTCTGTATAATCGGCCACAGTTTGTAGTTTAATATGATGTCGAATTTGAATATACTGGTGCCGTTCGAGCAAGGATACCCCTCTACTATACGCTTCAACTTCACTGGACGGCATTCGTCGCCGAATCTGTATAATTTGTGACAAATGTTACCTTGTGTAGGTATTCTATAGACGATCATTATAAAATGAAATCAGGTCATTTACGCCAAACATCCATACTAGTCTTTTTTTTTCGAAATAATGTAATACTGTTGGCCGCAGCAGTGCAGATAGCACTCCAAACCCGCGGAAGGACTTACAGAGCCGTTGAAGGCTGACTCCTATCTAACATATACGACTTTAGTCTGAGAGCATCGCTAGGGTTTCGAACCTCAGCTCAGGTCGTCGTAATTTCAAGATCAAAGGGGAATGGGCTATCGATCGGACGAGAAAATATTAATATCTTCATCGGGAGTTTATTATGATGGTTTCTAGGAGAGACTCATGGAGTTCGATCTTAAGGTGTAGGTTTTTAGCAATGAAGCCATTTGTAACAACCCTACTAACAGTCCCTTTCTGCACAAAATACATATTGTTCACAAAATATGTACACTACAATTGGGATGGATAGGACCTACGGTACTAACAAAAGTATAAAGATAATAACTTTTAAGTAAAAATACTTATAAGTACGCGTATCATAGAGTCGTATGTACTGATTAGAGACTGCTAAAATAGAGCACAATAACACTCCATGCGAAAGCCTATGCTACTATTCCAAGAGGCATGGTGAGATGCGGGACATTTTCTAGACAAAGAGTCTAGAAAATGTCCTTATCTTAATGTCTTTTATCAAATAAATAACATTATTTATTTGATAAAAGTACAATAATTACGAAAGTTATATATGTATATATCAGAATTTTGGAATAAAAATACCTTATATAGAAACATATTGTAAAGACATCTCGTGTAATACTCAGCAAAAAAACAATCTAATAGGAGTCTGATTTTCTAATCGCATTTGTTAGAAAATAAATAAACTTACCTATAGTACACTGCTGGCTTATCACTAGATCCCAACCATGTCGCTACATCTTCAGGGTTACTCACAGTAGCAGAAACGGCCACAAATCTAATCCTAGGAGGTGCTGATTCATCTGTGGCGACACTAATTGCATAGTGATGACTATTAAATTTTCTCTTAAGATATTCAATTCTGTGAGCTGATTGCGCTGACGACTAGAAAACGTATTCAAAATTATTTGGGACCCTACTTTGACGACCTTTACGGTTTAATATACCGGCTCGCCGTGTGCTAAACCACTGGACCACAGAGGTTGTGAAAATATGTTTAAGAAATTATTTATTCCATACACCATATGTCAGGTAATACGTTACCTGTATCGTTTTCATTCTACTGACGACTGCTTCTAACACCGGGCCGCGTACTGCGTCGTTCAATATGTGAACTTCATCAATAAGGAACAGTTTGATAACTTCCACTAGGCTCCTATGGTCTCTCCACCTTCGAGTGAGCATGTCCCATTTCTCTGGTGTTGTTATTATGATCCTGTTTAAATAGTACCAAGGAAATTCCGATAAGTATGGTAGGCTATATATCAGGGATGTTATGGATATGAAATTTCGAATACGGATATGAAATTATTTCGGATTATCCGTTAGTTTCGGATAATTTCGGTTAAGGATATTATTTTTTAAGGAATTTCAAAAGTAAATTACAAATCTATACATCTATACATATAAATAAAATTGGAGTGTCTGTTTGTAATATTGAAATAACCGTTTATGGTATATAACGGTAGATACACCAAAAAACCACTTTATACAATTTTTGTCTGTCTGTAGGTCCATTTGTTTCGGCTAATCTCTGAAATGGCTGGACCGATTTAGACGGAATTTTTTTTGGAAGGTAACTGATGTAATAACGAGTAACTTAGGCTAATTTTATTTTAGAATTAAGTTACATTCCACGCGGACGAAGTCGCGGGAACAGCTAGTAGCTAATAAAATGGTTACATAATGTGTCTCTATTAGGCACTGCCCCTATCGGATATTATCCGAAACTTTTATTTCGGATTCAGTTACAGTTACGAATATTTTTTTATATCGAATATCCGACAGTTTCGGTTACGGCTACGGAACTCCCTAACATCCCTGCTATATATCACAATAACACCGGCTTGGTCTTTATTATTATATTATTCTTATATTATATAATTCTGACCGACTGTCAGGTGAAAGAAAAAGCGATACAAAACCAAAAATTAATCCGATACAATGCAGTAGGCTCGCACCCTACCACGTTGGATTCAAAACAAAATGAAAATTTTATATTCATTTTGACGTTGGCAATTGATTCTGCTTATGATACCATCTGGCATAACAGTCGTGATATGGTACGTTAAGAATGAACGAAAAACTCTTTCAGAAACGTTCGTCTCACAGAAAGAAAATACAATTAGACAAATTAATATGTAGATATACCTAATATAAAAAAATATATAATTATAAAATAGAGGTAACAATGGGCGGCCTTGTCGCTAAATAGCGATTTCTTCCAGGCTACACTATACTTATTTACACAAACTCCCTATATAAATAATATAGATAAATATTGATGGATACATATGGTCTGGCGTATCCGACTGACCTAACTGTAATACTCAGTAATACAGTAGAGAATAACTGCATATGGGTGTGTCAAATCAGTTAACCCAATGTGGAGAATTCACCTGGATTGAACCACGATTATTTCTCAAGGAGATCGCGTAGGGGTCGCCCTAATCAGGTAAATTTCGGAGTTCCTATTTAAGGAATTTAAAAGTATTTTGTAGAAGAGTAGACTTGTGCAAGAATAATATTTAACGGCAACATTTAATTGAATTACCTAATTCATTCAAATATTGGTAATAATATAAAGGTTGACATCAATAAATAGCTTTAATTAAATTCATGGGTTGGGTAAATTCGTAAATAATTATTATAGTATTTCGTGTAAGTTACATTAGTTTCACAGGGAGACACAGTATAACTCCAATCTGTACCCATGTAGTCTATTTGTCACAATGCGTATTATGGTGTCCTGTATATCAAGTTTTCACTTCAACTCTTCCGCACAATTGTTTGAGCGCCCACATAAAAACCAAACCCTAGTATTTAACCTGGTTTATAGTTGCGATATCTCACAGACATATTAATATAAACCTCTATTAACCCAGTAATTTCTTTTAATTAATTTCCATATATCTATTGACGTTTTCTTAACATAGTTTTTATACATGATTATGTAGGTATTATAGAACCTTACTATGCTAACAACCGAGTATTTTTATCTAGTAATTTCATTTCCTATATGGAAGTGAAATTACTGGACATAATTGTTACTGAACTTAGAACGTTGAAAGATTGATGGACGTAATATACTAGTAGCCTATGTAAGTATGTACAACAACTAGTAACATCTTTCTATAGCGAGACTACAGATATTATGCCTTTGGTAAGAAGAGCAAACAATATTTATGTTAACAACATATATTTTAATTGTATGTACAACTAAATTCTATGTTATCCAACCTAGCATTGTCTCACAATACATGGATAACATATAATTTAATTGTTACATAATCCTGAATTAAAATATAAAAAAAAATTACTCAAAATCTCTCTGAAGGTTATTTAAAACCCTATAGATATTTACACCATGTAATATTCAGGATTACTTACATGATTCAGACAAAAATAACTCATGAAAATAATACTACACATTATTCTATAATTATATTATTTATTAAAATTAATAATTATAATAATATTTATATTATTTTATATGTGTATATTATATACTATACTTATTGTAATATAAACTCTATTCAACATTTCATACTTTATTTTCATCATGGTCATATCTTTTTATCATGGGATGAACCAATCCCATAAGGATCTTCTAGTAAGGTCTAATGGTACCATTTTGTTTTGCTAACATGTGAATCATATAACCTTCGAGTTAATAATCCTGGCTTTTATTTCCTAAATTAATTGAAGATCCAATTGTAAGTTGATTTGTCTTAGCATAAAAAATGGCATCAGATATAATTTTATTGACGATTGTTAATTGTTGTCCATTCAGATCTTTTAATTGTATGGCTATGGATTTTCCCATTATTTCCCATTCTTCCTCTTTCGTCTTAATTTCGTGTATATAATCCTCATGTTTCATTTGAACATTCATTTGCGGTTTCCTCCTTTCTATAACTTGTATTTTAGGCATTTCATTTGATTCAACTGATGCATTATTATCAGATAGCTGAAAAAATATATAATATAATTCAGAGTCAGCAATGTTTTAGGAAACCGCAAAAATATATTAACTAAGAGAAATTATTTTTAACTAATGACATTATTTTACAATTACAGGATATTTGAAAGCACAAAGGTCTTATATGTCTCATATATAACTTGTCACACAAAGAGAGCTTATTTTTCACTAAATACAAAAATATTAAGTGTAAAATGTGATATTTCTACAAGAATAAAATTAAATATGAACTGGTTTAATTCTTATTCAAATAATACTAGATATAATTTTATAATCCTTAAATAAATAATTACAAATATAATACAATATTTTCAATATCTGTTTCTGATTAATACATTATGATTATACTTACATCACCTAGCATTTCAACAGTCTCAAATATAGGTTCATTATGTAAAAAATGGAACATATCATAATACCAAAGAGTTGGTACATATATGTCTTCTACACCACTTTCAGCTGAATTTCTTACCTGAAATTATAAAACAATATGAGGACAATATGTAAACAAACAATCTATAAAAGTAGTTAATGATGTATGGTGTGGTTGAAATCAATAGAATTATGTATAATGTATGATTCCTGCACATAAACTTTAATGGAAAGAAATCAATAAAGTACTTGAAACATTAAAGGACTGATATCCTATATTATATAAATAAAATTTTCCATACATACATATCAACAAAAGTAAGTACAAAAGATGACCATGAAATCACTTATAGAGAACATTATTTTAACTATAATATAGTCAAGATATTTTTCTGTGATCACAATTTTATAAACTATGAAGCCAAACAGTTCATTTCAACTTTGATGTTATACTTTCAAAGCATAAATTCTTGGTAATACTGCACTAATAATAATAATGAAGGGTACCTGACGGATGCCATATTAGGTTGCTCCTGCAAAAGTGCTCACAGACTTTCCGGACTCTATTCAGTTCTTATCAATCAGTGTAGCCAGTTTAAGGCACTTAGCCTTTTATCTTAACCATTATCCACGAATGAAAAATATAACTATAAAGTACAATATCCAGGCTTGTTTAATTAAGACTTGACCAATGATGGGGTAAAGCGAAATGTAGGCTTGACTACACTGTAAAAACAGAACAGGATTTGGAAGGTGTGTGAACACATTAAGTTATAATACAATTCATACATATTTCAACAGAACTTTTTATTTGATAAATATGTAAATAGACATAAAATATACTTTACTTCAAATATCAAGGACATAATTAATATATATATTAAATTATAATAAACTGGAGTGTAATCAACTTTTATTATTGTGGTGCATTTGTTGATATTTTAAAGTACAATAAACAGTATAACACTAACTTTTATATTATCTCATAAGTATCTGTCTATACTTTTCCATTATTAACAATAGTTCTTCTACTATAGTAATAATATAGCAAGCAAAAGCAATTCTCTATTACTTTAACCAGTTTCAAAACCAAAATAGTTTCCAAGTAAAATTTAATACTTTAAAATTTGGCAAATAAACTAAATATAACAGTTAATTCTTTTATAGACAAATACCTACAGATTACAAATTAATTTGATAATACATAAAGGAACTCTGGGCAGTATTTCTAGTCTAGTGCATATACTACTGAGATGACAAACATCTCACTGTATCCAATTTGAGAAGAAAGATAATATGTTTAAATTGTTTTCTTGATTATGATTTGGGAGTTTATTCTATGAGTTCTTTAGTGTGCTGGGGCTTAAAAGATTTAGTAAACAATGTATGGTGTTCAGGAATTTATTGATGTTTTTTACTTAACATATTCTACAAAGAGATAATATAGATTTACCTTTTTTAATTCTCTATAATAACATGTTCTCATATTCTCTATTTTCTTCTTTAGCGCTGGAATTGTACAGTCACCATTATCATATTCGCGGTAAGCTTCCAACAAAAGTTTATAACCTTTATCTCTCATAAAACGATTTCCGTAGGATTCGTGCGCTCTATCCCAAAGATAAGGCAAATTTTTGTACAATTCAATAATTCTAGTCCACAGTTCTCTTTCTTTTTCTTTGTATGACATATTACAAAACTTTGGCGTAAATAGATTAGCTAATGGACACAATATACAATCGATGGGAACAAGTAAATAAAAATAAATCACCGGCAGTTAGTGTTGCTAGATAAACCTTTGGCTTTTCCCTCAAAGATGTCAAAAATCCCCCAAAATTTAGGGTTTGAAGAGTCAAACTAGTACAAAAAGTATCAGTAATAGTCTATTACTGGTACTTTTTGTACCAGCAATAGTCTGACTCTAGGTGGTTTAGCAGTTTAGTACACGGCCTTACTTCCGATAGCGACGGGTTCGATAACACAAGTTCTACTTAGCTTGGAACTAGATGACGCAGTAAAAATTGTCCAGGGTTATTATTATAAGCAATTATAGTATTATAGTATTAAACAAGTCTGTATAAGAAGCCCTTCAAACCTCCATAACTAGAAGTTTTTACTTAAATGAGCTAAAAAGAATAAAATGCACTTATCCATTATAACTTTTACTATCGACATACAACTTCATTACAAAATATAAACGATACCTACATTTATTTTTATAAAAGCTTGTCGCGAAAATTATGTACTTAGTTATTGTGTAAATTATAAACATTAAACACGCATTAATTAGTTCAGATTATTCAATTTAATCAATTTTTGGCGAAATATTATGTTGTTACAATATAAACGCTTACGGCAGAGAGTGGAATGTAATTATTAGTGTCGTTACTAACAGTATCCATCACCCGCCACCCCGTGCGAGCCATAATTAGCAATTGCAAGTTCCGAATTCAAATTCAAACTAACAGTTGACAAAATTGGTGCAATCATAATATTTTATTTCAATTAATTACATAATAAGATATTTTCTCGAATGTCTTTAAGTCGCAGTCGATATTCCCGTAATAATAAAAACACTACTTCACGTTTAAAGAACAAAACACTAGAAACAACATCTTCTGTCGGCAACGTACAAATGACGAACGATAAACAAAATATTAGTTGTTCACTACCGACTTCGTTCCAACACTATCGTGTCACAGCGTAAGTTTGTATAAGAAACCGTTTTGCTGTAAACCGTAGATACCTACGTATTACAGTAGATATTTTATTTATTTATTTATATAACTTCAATGCACAAAATACCAAGGTAAAAGTACATATGGCGGACTTAACGCCTTAAGGCATTTTCTACCAGTCAACCATAGGCTGTGCAGCGAAAAACTGTAGATATATAGTTAAATTATATTTAGGGGTTAACACAAGGAGCTATAATCTACTAAAAAACATGTAACTGCAACAGCTCTTTATGGACTTTTTAAATTTCAGTCGTATAAACAGGGTACTTACCGATAAGGCTTCAATTGATTAAAGTCGACGTCAGTATCTCCAGTAACTTCAATACACAGCAAACCCAGCTGCGTAAATTTAGGATACCATTCTGTTAGTCTTTCAGTACATAAAGCTTTGACTGGAGCCACTAAAATACATAATAAATCTGTTAAATTTCTCTCTAGAATAAATGTCAAAAGGAAAAATATTATGCTTTGATAGAAATTATTATAGACGATCACGTTATATTTTTCTAATTATGCTAGAGTTTAGGTAGGTAGGTACCTACTAAACAACTGAAATATATTGCTGAATTCACTTTACTGTTAATTCGTGGACATCGTTCAGACAGCAAAAAACACAAATATAATATTAGTTTACATTTGATAGATTAATGGTCGGTAATTGAATAACAGATAGAGAAATTACAAAGTTTAATTTCTTCTTCGGACTACTCTCATGCTGTTGGCCTCAGCTGGCCTTTACAGCTTCATCGGATGAAAGGGGCGAGGCAGATGGCACACGAAACCCGCGGAAGGCCAACTTTCATCTGACGAATACGACTTTAGTCTGAGGACACCGCTAGAAGTTCGAATCTCGGCTCAGACCGTCATAATTTAAATACCCGTTTGAATTACACGAGGGATCGATCGGAGGCATGATATGGTCGTATAATTTGGCAGGGTATAGATTCATCTTAGCCAACCATAGTCTTCTTTCGACTTACCATGTGATAAACACGATGGTTGCCTCTTACGATCAGATCTGTATCTTATTTCCCATAGTAATAAAAAATCGGATTATAATGCCAAATGAATTAATCAACTTTAACATTATCTCTAACTATACCTCTGTCTGTAATATGTAATGTTATCTTATCTATGGTCTGTAATAAATACAATCAGTCTGTATTTATTAGATTGATCGAGCGTAAACATAATTTTATCTAAATTGTGTATATACGTACTATAAATAATTTTAAAATCGCCGCTATAGTTCTTGTTATCCATATTCATTAACAACTGCACTATGGCCATTTCAAATATAACGGTTTTACCGGAACCTGTAGGTGCACAAACCACCATGGATTTATCTGTAATTTATAACATGTATAATGTTTAATTTTTAGTATACTTTGTTTAATAAGGAGATACCTATTGGTTATTTATTTATTTTTCTATATATTACTGGTAGTGATAGTGGTACCCACAATTTGACATACTGCAAACATTAATGATATGATGGTTTGCACATATACAAACCTTAACAATTAAATAAAGAAAATCGATTTCACGAATTATTAAAAAAAACATATAATTAGACGAAAAAAATTACCTGAATATAAAGCATCTTCTATTACGCCTGACTGTACTAAATTGAAAAAAGGATACGTGAATACATGTCTGTATTTTGCATCTGAAAAGTAAATCTTATGTAAATAGAGCTTTGAAATCCCAGCAAAGTAACGTCGTTAACAAGTTTTTCTTTGAATAAGGCCTGTCGCTTTTTTTAAAATATTGGATTTATAAAGGAAGGTATACGGAGTCCAAATAACTATCCACCATAATATATTAATGTTGTCGTTTACCAGAGGACGACTTTATACAAAACAAGGCAGTGAAATAAAGTATACGGAGGCCTAAAACGAGGTAATAACCAGGGACTAATCTAAAATAATAACTCCTGAATTGAACAACCGGACATACTGTATTTTACATTCGTTGAAGGAATCATTAAGTTAACTTGGTAATTCAGAAAATTAATTAATAATATATCACTATTAGTAGTAGTAGGTATACCAATCTCATCTATGCTTCGAAAATCACCATATTGTCCTGTATGTTTCGGAGGGCGATTTTTTTTAACAATACTTTCAGTTTCATTTATTTCCTGTGTTTGAGAACTAATGCTATTTGGTGAAAGCGAAATAGGTTGGGAATCATGTACTTCATCACCCAAGACGTCTGTAAAACTGGACCTAATAAAGAAAGTAAATAAATTTGTATATAAAATATATAGTGGCTGTTATTTTTTTCACTACTTAATAATCGAGTGATACTTAATAGGCGAGTCGCGGTTTGGTCACCGAACAGTCTACACTAGGCTTCCAAGCTATATTCTTATTTTATACAATGTTCGATATGCCTCGTTCAGAGGCGAAATACGTGTAGACTCATTAACGGTCGGAATTTGATAACCATTAGAGGTCGTATAAATAGTCAAGTTTCCGCACTGAATATTTGTGGTCTCCCACGTGCTACTTGTAGAGGAATCAAACAAATCCATTACGTAAATAAATTTGTAGTACTCTTTGTTTAATTTGGGACAAAATGGCACTTTATGATGATATAACTATCTTGCTCATGGGTAAGAGGACCAATAAATTATATTTTGATTAGTAGTAAATAACATAATACTGCTATAACTTACAGTTTATGATCCATTTCTATTCAACATAAAAATTAAAAAAAACTTTTTGTGTGCTGTATCTACTTATCTACCTAATTTATTTAAACAGAATAATGTAGGGTGTAGTAATACTTCCGTGCTTGCCGCCAAAATAGGTGTAATTGCATTTTTTTTTTTTGCTTGGCACGTTGCTGCATTTGCCAAAGACAAAAATTGTGACTCATTCTACTGTCAGTATAACTGTCACTGTCAGTTACAAAATGAAATGTGTGATTGACATGATTGCGAATTACTAATGCGATTGGTTATAAATTGTCATATCCTATTTACATTGTACAATTTGTTACTATTTTCCTCATTCATAAATATTTCTGCAATAGCTTTACTCTCAATTTAATATGCTTTAATCAGTACTTTTACTTATTTGCAAGAGTTGAAAACAAAATCCATATATAATGTAAGTTATGAATTGATTGTATAATTATAAAAACAATATAATTGGGTAACTCCTTTGATAAGTAACTAATTGTAGAAATGAAAATATTTTATGCAGTCGTTTTCTCGTATTCTAAAATCTTTTACTAATATATTTCAGGGAACTGGCAAGGGAATTTGAAAATGCAGAAACTGTTAGTATCGACACCTTAGTTCTAGAACAGTTAGTTCAAGAAGAAAGAGACAAGGAAATAATAGAACTCAATTTATTAAGTAAAAAAGTTTACAACTTACATACTAGTGTTCTGTATTATCGTAATTCCAAAACGAAGATGGGATCTCTGTGTTATGATGCTTGGAGGACTCTTGTGAAGAAAGTAGGGGGAACATCTAATGGTTGGAGAGATTTGGGATTTTTACTTGGGATAAAACAAGAAGATTTGGATGTAAGTATCTCTATATTGGAAACCTTACTTGGCAAATACATTTTATTCAATTAATTTCCATAATACATCAAATAAAATTTAGGTATGTCTAGGTCAATATCTGTTACAGGTATAGGGGAATTCAATGTGATAAAAATGTAGAAGCTTTGTGTAACTTGTATATGCAGACACTTGTTTTTCATTGATAGTCTATTTCAGTTTGTTGTTTGTACATATATATAGCCTACAAGAGCCTTCCTTGAAATAGGCTATTCAAGAGAAAAATATTTTATCAAGTTGTGGAATACAGGCCACTTATTTAGTTTATAAGCTTTATATTTCGAATACCAAAATTATATTCTAAATTGTCCTTTTCGGTTTCACTTCCTAGCCCTAGTTAGTAGTGTTTCTTTATAATATGTAATCTGTGAGATTAGTGTGTTCAACCAAGCAAACAAACTCTTCAGCTTTATGACATTACTGTAGATACAATAAATTAAATAAACCTGTATAATTCACACAGTGCCGATCAAACAAAGCTTTTAATATTAGGTTACTAGACAACTTAGAGACATTTATAAATATTATATAATATTTATACATATAATTGGACATTTTTTTTTTAAATGTAAATATAATACATTTTAAACTCTTTGTTTATACATAATTAGTACTTGTAAATTTACTTTATTCTTAATCTGAATAGAGCATATGAGATTTGATCATTTGAAAATTTTCACCAGTTGCATTCACTATCAAATTTGTTTATATAAGTATTTAGTTAATCTATAGTATATATATAGTAATAATAAGTATTTAATTAATCTACAATTGTACATTATTACCTCTAACCTAATAAATTATATTAATGTTTATTTTCAGTATATTATGAATTCTATTCAAGATGATCCTATAGATATTGTGCTAAAATTATACAGGTTAAATGAGAAAGCCACATTAGACAAGATTTTGGATGCTTTAGTGAAAATGAACAGATATGACATATTAAAGGCACTGGAAGGACCACTTTCAAATTTGGCTCAATGTTTTAATAAAGATGACAGTGGGTATGTCAGTAACAGTAAAACAGGACAGAAAGAGATAATAAGCTTTAAAAATCTACCCAATGATTTGCCACCTGCACTAAATAAAAACTATGTTGCTTCAAAAAATGAAAGAAATAGACCTAATATACCTAAACCAATGGTACCTGTGATAATGGATAATGAAGTTAAAAATGATAAACCTATCCTGTTTCTAACATTCACAGAAGATGGTTTTCCTACAGCACTAAACATTCAGGAGTATGTTTACAATTGGACAGATATTACAGGTGTCACAGTAATAACTTTAAACAATAAAAGGGATGAAGTGTACCAAAATCCTGAAAAGTTTATCAGGGAATATTTCGAAAAGGTGAGATACAAATACATGAAATTAATAATATTGTAGTTATTATATTTATTATATACTCACTAAAACACGTATTTTTCGAAGCACACATCACACTGGCCAGAATGACATCTATTGACTCTTTTTTACAAAGTACCCACTTTAGTACATAACATATCTTTCCCCCGAGATTGGTAAACATTTTCACAACACAATTTACATTCACTTTTAAATTTTATTGTCCATGCACATTTTGTTAACACTTAAATAACTAATTACTAGGCTAATTTTTTGTTAGAATGGTTGGCGAGTTATTCTACTTCAAATGATTCGTCTGTTTCAACCTCAGACTCTTTGTCCTCCAAGTTACACTCTACCCGCGATCTTACTCTCTTGGAAGATAGTGTAGGTGGGGATAATGATAAAGCTCTCTTTGTCCTTAACATTTCACCTGAACTTCCTGGCATTACAATGTCTTGTGGCCCTGATACTCCAATGATGTCAGCCCATTTCTCTGGAGATGGTATAACCACATGACTTTCATCATCACTATTATATTGGGTTGCATCAGGCCTTGAAGTATTTTTTAAACTGTCTCCATTAATTGTTATCCCTCCTTTATGCATCTGGTTAATGTGTCTCAACAACAACCTTCCATTCCATCGTACCAAGTATCTACATACCCCTACTCTCTTCTCCACCATTCCTCGTAACCATCGAGGTCCTTTGCTATAATTGCGAACATACACAGACTCACCAATTTCAAATGACCGTACTTTAAGTTTTTCATTGTTTTCATTTGCACTTAATTTTCTATCTGTTTTATACGATAATGGATTTAAATAGTCGAACTGTGTTCTGAACCGACGGTTGTTCAGAAGTTCCGCAGGTGTTTTTTCATTAACACTGTTAGGTGTGGCTCGCAATCCATATAATAAGTTCGGCAATCGGACATGCCAGGGTTCTGATGTTCTTTTCCTAAGTTTATTTTTTACTGTCTGTACTGTACGTTCAGCTTGCCCATTCGATGATGGATGATAAGGAGGTACTAATATCTGTCTAATTCCACAGCTCTTAAGATATTTCTGAAATTCTTCTGAAATGAAACTTCGACCATTGTCACTTACAATAGAATCAGGTAAACCTTGTTCAGCAAAAATATATCTTAATTCTCGAATCAATGTAGCACTGCTAAGATCATTTACTATTTTAACTTCTGGCCACTTAGAGTATGCATCTATGAGTATTAAAAAAGATTTGCCCTGAAAAGGTCCAGCGTAATCAACGTGTACTCTTGACCAGGCCTTATCTGGTTTCAACCACTGATGAGTAACTGGAGCAGGCATGTTCCTATTTTCTGAGCAAATATTACAGTTTTTTATCATCTCTTCAATTTGTTTATCCATACATGGCCACCAAAAATAACTTCTAGCTAAAGCTTTACTAATAACTATACCATCATGGTTCCGGTGTAATTCTTCCAAAATATAAGAGCGCATTTTCTCTGGCACCACCACTCTATTTCCCCACAGTATACAGTCACTATGTACAGATAATTCCTCTCTAATTTTCATAAACATTTTATAGTCTGTATGTACCTTAGAAGGCCATCCATTTCTTATCCAATACAATATTTTACTTAAAACTTTATCTTTTCTCGTAAGTTTTGCTACATCTTTAGCTGTAAATTCTAGTTCCATTGGTGTCTCCTCAATTAATAAAACTCCTGAATATTCCTTTTCTATAGTTGATTCTTCTGCTGGCCACCGGCTTAATGCATCAGCATTTCCTAACTTCCTGCCTTCTACATATTGAATCTCGTAATCATATGAGTTCAATAAAAGTGCCCACCTCAGCATTCTGGGTGATATAATTGTAGGAATTGGTTTTCCTGGTCCAAAAATGCCTAACAGTGGTCTATGATCTGTTTTAATTATCACTTTCCGTCCACTTATGTATTGATGGAATTTCTTCAAACCAAAAACAATAGCAGCTGCTTCTTTATCAATCTGAGCATAGTTTCGCTCATGGCTATTCATAGTACGTGATGCAAACATAACTGGTTTCACCATACCATTGTCCATTTCCTGTTCTAGAACAGCACCAAGTCCATACTGAGAAGCATCACACGACATAATCAATTTCTTAGTGCCATCATAGTGAACCAGCGTATCTTCATTGGATAACATTGTTTTCAATTTTGTAAAAGCAGTGTGTTGTTCTTTGTTCCATTTCCATTTGGACCCTTTCTCTAATAATCTATATAATGGTTCAGCAATGGTTGCCTTATGAGGTAAAAACCTATCATAAAAATTAAGAAGTCCTAGAAATGCCTGTAATTCCTTTATATTTTTTGGTGCAGGTGTCTTCTCAATGCAATCAATTTTCTCTTTAGATGGATGTATTCCTGACTCATCTATTAAATAACCTAAAAACTTGACCTTAGGTACTGCAAATAAACATTTTTCTTTATTCACTCTTAGACCAGCTTTTTGTAACCTCTGTAACACCATCTCCAGTCTTGCATTGTGTATGTTGATATCCTTACCAGAAATAACGATATCGTCTAACAGAACAGCTATCCCTGTTATTCCTGCCAGTAATGAAGTCATCAGCCTTTGAAAAATACCAGGACAAGCTTTAACACCGAAGGCCAACCGCTTTACTTTGTATAATCCTCTAGGTGTATTTACTGTAAGCAAGCTGGCTGTGTTATTATCGACAGCCACCTGTGTGTATGCTTGCTCCAAATCAATTTTTGAGAATATTACTCCCCCCTGAAGCTGTACAAAAGCTTCATTAAGTGTAGGTAAAGGGTATGTATCTGTATTAGTAGCTGCATTCACAGTGGACCGATAATCTCCACACAAACGTACCTGACCATTTGCTTTTAATACTGGGACTATCGGAGTAGCCCATTCAGAATGTGTAGTAGGTTCTAGTACCTCCTCTTGAACCAGTCTGTCTATTTCTTTAAATACTCTTTCTCTAATTGCAAATGGAATGGGTCTACTTTTAAGGAACTTTGGTACAGAACCCTCTTTTGGTGTAATATTCACTACTGGTCCAGTGTATTTGCCTAAACCAGGCTCAAAAATCTGTTTGTATCTATATAACAATTGTGTTATCTGTCCCTTATTAAAATCCATTGATTTAACATTATTTAATCCTTCTATACTTATACCCAATTGTGCAAACCAATTCCTGCCAATTAGGCTTGAACCACTACCTTTTGTAATTAATATATTCATAATTTTACTTATTTGATTATATTTTACATGGACTTTCGTCTGACCTAATAATACTAATTTACCTTCTGTGTAAGATTTTAATGCAATATCTGTTAATTCTAGTTTAGGTAATTTACCCTTCCATATTTGTTTGGCTGTTATCTCATTTATAATTGTATATGGGCAACCTGAATCTACTTCCATCAGTAATTCCATTCTATTAAGGAATACTCTAATCACAAAAGGATCCACTTTGTCTTGTCTAATGCTGTTGATTCCCACTTCATATAGCCCATTACATTCTGAATTATACTTCTTACCTTGGCTGGACTTCAATAAACAGGCTGCCTCTATATGACCAATTTTCCCACAATGATGGCATTTAGTCCAGCGGAACCTACATTCACCCCTATGTGGTTTCCCACAACGAAAACAGGTTGACATATTCTCATTATTCTTATTTGTGCTTTGAGAAGACATTCTCTGACTCACCCGTACTTTGTTAATATCCATTGGCACTATTGTATCAAGAACTGGAGTATTTGTACTACATGGTGCGATAATATTTGCATCAAAATTTGCAGTTTCCTGTGATAATACTATGTCACAAGCTTGTTCAAATGTTAATTGCCTTTGTTGAAGCAGTTTCCTCCGAATATCTTTATCTAATATTCCACACACCAATCTATCTCTCAGAGTACGATCTAAATCAGTGAAATTACAACCTATACTTAATTTACGTAATTGAGCAATATAATTTTTTATCATTTCACCTTCCTCTTGATTTCTTGTGTGAAATTTATATGATTCTACAATTTCATTAGGTTTCGGATGGAAATGATTATTCAAAATGCCCACAATAAAAGAGAAAGTCACATCACTTATTTTACTTGGAGATATCAAAGAAATGATTAAATCATATAATTCAGGGCCACAGACCGCCAATAAATTCGCTTTTTTCTTTGTATCTTCTTCAATTTCACTAGCTTGGAAGCAAAAACATAACCTTTCTATATAATTTTGCCAACACCCATGTGCTATATCAAACTCGTTAAATTTTATGCCCATTATTGTTATTTATGTAATTAGTAAGATAATAATCACTTTATTGCACTTTTCCACTATTTTCTCTCGTCGCCACTATTATATACTCACTAAAACACGTATTTTTCGAAGCACACATCACACTGGCCAGAATGACATCTATTGACTCTTTTTTACAAAGTACCCACTTTAGTACATAACAATATTCATTAATAATGTTATGGTCATTGAAAAAATATCTAAATTTAAATACTTGAGTCTTTTCCATAAAGTGTAAAAAAATATCTAACAATGTTGTCCTCTCTAGATACTGTAAAAAATGATTAACCATCCTTTCTACATTCTTAGTCTTTGTGTTTGGGTATTATAAACCATCTCATCTAACATTCCAATTACCAAACTTGCCAAGCTCGGTTCTGTTATTGAGAGTGATTGATTTAGGAAAGGTAGTACATCAAAAATTACATGGGTGTACTTGTGTACTTATGTTGCAATGTTAAAAAATCTGTTTATATCTATAGGTTTCTATAGAATATATATTAGGGTGAACTTGTGGCATGGTTAGCTTATTTGCCATTATAGTTATATAACAAAAACTTTGTAAAATAAATGTTTTCTTTTTCAGGCTACTTTTGTAGTGCCCATCATAACATCTGGTTACCTGAATGAAATAACATCCAACAGACCTGGCGCATTCAATACCACTGACAATCTGGACTTGAAATATGCAAATTTCATTTATAAACTTATAGTAAATCATTACATCCATGCAAGTGGTTGTCTTAATAAGAAAGTCAGAACTGTACTTCCACAAAATGTGGATGGTGAGGTGTTCACTCACATTAGTATGTATCCAGAGTTGATGCCATGGACATTTGAAACTAAATTTGATGAACAATTCAAGGCTTTCTTGAAAAGTGATTGCTTAGAAAATATATATTGACTGCCTAATAGTGCCTTTTTTACAACTTGCCTCATTTAATGTTAATATTGAAATTATGATGCGACATTTAAGGAACCTCCATTTACTTATGAATTATTTTTGTATTCTATATACTATAGATGTATAATCTACAAATTAGTAATCTGTAGAAAAGATATAGTAGAGGTTTCTTAAAACTAATAAATTTATAAATATGTCCAATGTTAAGTGTACCTGATATATGGTGGCAGTTAAAAATAAAACAATTTGTTATTTTACTATATTATATTGTCTTTACACAAACAAAAGCAAACAAGTTGACTTTATATTTAAATGTAAGCCATTACTAGTGAAAATTATTAGTTACTTCATTTATTTTAAGAGTAAAGAAATACAATTGAATTAAAGTAATTTTTAACATATATTATTGTTTTTATTTTTTAAAATTCAAAGCAAAATTTGTAACAATATAAAAATATTTACATTCTAAGAACAGGCTAGCTTTTAGAACATAATAATCAGTCTAGAAAATTGTCACATCTTGAAATTAATACTTACTATATTTTACCTACATTATTCATTGGTTTTTATTTCATCTTCGGTTACATCTAAAGTACTGACATCATTAACGTCAATGCCAGTGTCATCATTCGTGTTTGATAGCTCCTCCTATGGAAAATAGAGATAGTATATATATTGTTCATTAGAAAAATATTTTTTTACTTTGTCCAAATTGACTTAATTTATGCATTAACTTTAATTCTTTGAATTTATATTTATTTCAAAGCGGGTTGGGTTCTATTTGCATTGAAAATAAAATCCATAACATTTTTTTTCAATTTATATTTACCTTAATAACTTCTATAAAGGAATTGGCCTCTTCTAACATTTGTTTTGTCTGTTGGTTCTCCTTCTTGAGTTCAGCAATAATTTTATGAAGCTTTTCATTTTCATCCAAGGCCTCTTCTAAAGCAACTCTAAATTGCAAAACCACAATACTTTATTATAGTAAAATGTATCAATGAATAATAAAATATATGTATATAATAATTTGGTGTATTAAATTTTTAAATCAAGTCAACACTTAATATTGAGTTAACATTTTTTTATTATTTAGTATTACAGTGATATAAAAAGTATTTACATTATAATTTGTTATTAGGGTGCCAGACAAGAGGATTTCTTTTGTATAGTTTGTTTTGATAACAAATTGCTAATTATAAAATAATAAATTTGAGTGTAGAATAATGTTAACCGCTGACTGACCCCAAAGCACTTGTGGTAATATTATTCCAGACATAGGCATTATTTTATGTACTTATGTTTCTAAAGTTGTGCAATGTCAGAATAAGTTGCTAGTAGGTAATAATTTGATAACAAATATAATAATAAACAAGAATTCCCTGTTTCATAACACACTAATGTGCCACTCATTTACTCAAAATTTTGGATAAATAGTCCATCTATGTTTAATTAAATGTTACTCAACTAATATTTATCCATATGTGAATCTGATAATTGTGAACATACTAAATTATATTCTTACAAAACCCATACTGACCGTCGTTTCTCTGCCAAGATTTTCCAATATTTTTCTGATGCTTCAGGGTTTGTAAGGTCTTCAACAGATATTTTAGTATCAAGATTAGCCTGAGTTTCCTTTGACAATAAGTTCTTTCTTTTCACTTCTATATCCCTATAAGAAAACAATAATTCAGTAAGTATATACAGCATATCAAACATAGATTTTTTATTCCACTAAGCACTTACACGAGGGATTCTTGGCTAAGTTGATGCTTTAGAGATTTTGTTGATCTACCCACTAGATTTTCTCTGTCTGTAGCTGTATGTTGTAAGGTTTTAAGCGACTTTCTAGCACTCTTCGTTGTTTCCTAAAGAACAAAAAACATAGTAATGTATCTGAAATTAACGGAAATTAAAACAGTATAAAGATTTAAATACAACAATGATATAACCTGCAAATCTTGAGTACTCATTGTTACTTTATTTTGATGCACAAAATATTGGGGTATATAGGGTTAAGATCCCTATCGACACAATAATAAAAATGAATAAGCTACACAAAAGAACCAAATAGAACAAATCAAATTAATGATAATCAGAAAACTTCGCAAAGCAAACAACAACAATTTCCGTTTGCGCGCGTTCAAGAAGTATAGACATACGTTGATAGATGGAATGACGTTTTATTCATGTCGCTACTTATGGAATGACAGCGTCTAGTTTTATAAAAAGAAAATAAAAAAATTAACACAGACAATGTTACCATATATAGCAGCTTTTTGTTTTTGTGGTGTGTGGTGAGTAGTAATCATCACTTTTATTATAATCGTATTTTATACATTGCACTAAATAGAACACTGAAAGAAGCCTTTTAACCTGTATGACAGTAATATATTGCGTTGCAGTCTCGCTCTGTGATGTCATATATTAAATGGACATCAGAGGCATAGCATACAGCAATTACTTTCACTTAAGTTATGTATATTATTAAGTTATTAAACTAATTTGGTTTGTTATCGATGTTACTATTGCTACAAGATATGGTCAGTGATGCTATTTTACTTTAGTACCTATATGTTTTAATAATATATTCAACAACTAACATAGCCTATTATTGTTATTTTAATCGTGAAGCGTGCGAACTGCAAATCGACGAATTTGTAAAATAGAGGACTAGATAGAAAATGTTATTTCATTTAGTATTATAATCACTAATAACTGTAATTAGTCCTACGTAATTTTAATATGATATATAGGCAATTCAAATTTTATATTAAACAAATGTTATGTAAAAAGCTTATTATAGGATAGATGAATTTATAGATGATAGCAATATCTAGCAAGAATAAGTTTATTTGCGGACAACGTTATAATTTGTTTTTCATACTGCTTTCTTGATATATGTTAGCGTAGCGACTTTTGTATTGATTGCAGCATGCATTCTCATATAAAGTGCGATTACTGTAACTACCATATAGTAATTTTAATTAACTGTGACGTGGTCGAGTGGAATGAGTCGGCGGCGTGGTGGGCTCCCTAAAATATGGTCATACTCCGTCATACTCGTGAACAAGTGCTGCTTGTAGGGACTGGTCTGCTCTTATCACTACGACTAATTTAATCTTATTGTATATTTATATTTGATCCAAATAAATTAGTGCTGGTTGGTAGTTTGTATTCACATGTTTCGACTTGTAAATGTAAACTTACAAGGATTATTTAAGATAGGACAGCTTTCCGAACGAGCGGTAGATAAAAAAAAATTGTTATGTCTATTCAAAAGTGCTTAAATTAAGTTTTTTTTGAATAAATGATTTTTTATTCTTTTCTATGCTATAGAACAACATATATATGTTTAAATGATAATTTATATTAAATTTCATTGTTTCTAATTTTATATATCACACATTTGAAATTAGTCTAATACGGCAATATTTGCAATTTGACGATGGTCACCTCGTATATCTCTAATCTGTAGTTACTATTCTGACAATTTGATTGATAACATACCAGTTTTTACTGACAGTAGATAAATCATATCTGAGACTAGTACAATTTCAGACTAATTCTGACTTTTAGTTAGTTCGCTCTCAGTTTGGTTGTACACTTATGTGCTTTCGTTTGTAAATTGATTTTTATTGAATAAAAACCTACTATCTGGAAATCTGTGTCTATTTATTACAATTGTGATTTAGAACTGTGTGACAATGACCTGAAAGTGGTTTAGTGTTTTTTTTTTTGATAAATCGCTTTCTCTGTAATAGTTTTGATTTTAAATTCACTTCGGTATCTTATCTGGAAACCTTTATCTATACTCTACTAATTTAGAAACTATAAAGAAGGATACTTACAATGGATACACTAAGGTACTAATTGGGTTAAACAGCTATTTTCGAGTTAGAAATCTAGTTAACTGTACTGCTATTAAAACGATTATAGCTAGTTATACCAGTTAGATGTGTGTACAAAGTCAAGGTTATTTTAGTTTCTTTCGATCAATGGGTAATGTACATTTCTCGGACAAAATTTTATATTATTTGCACGTTAGTTATTAATGATATGAAGACTGTATATTTAATAGCATTTTTAATAGTTGAAAATGCTATGGTGCACCCGCCTGTGCTGCGTAAACCTTCGTTTATACTGATTTTGGATGCAGGTGGGTTCCATTGGAGAATGATAAGATGAGCATGAGGTCAGGTTGGTTAGCCCATCATGGCAAATTCACTAGGAAATTATCTGGATGGTTTCCAAGGGAGATCCACCTAACATAGTATATTGCTACCAATGAAGTTATCACTATTACCACCATATTATTAACTATACCTTTCCCACTGAGTTGTCATAAGTAAATGTAATGATATATCTGTAATATTTATATAAATATCCAGACTACACTATTTAGTATCTGGAATTGTTAGTATAGAATCCTCATGTGGCTGTGGATTTCTTATTGCCAATGTGAATATGGTAATGAGAACCTGAATGAAGTATGTTTATTAGACTTTGCAGTTACTATTGAAATAAAATAGTTAATCAGATATATAATATTCATATTATGATATAGTAAATATTTTAAAGTTTTCATTACCAGTTTGTTAAATTGTTAATAATTTATATTATTCAATGTATTTATAATTTTATATAATGAAAGAGTATGAAATAAACTGAACAATTAATCAATTCAAGTCAATTACTGTAGACAATAATTGTTATTGTTGGAAAGAATTACTATACTGAAAGCTATTTTTTAAATAATTACATAATTACTACAATTATGATTGTAGTTATAATTTTTAATAAAAGTTTGAATATTTAATAATATTTAAATTACTATGTGACATATTTATGTTTGAACTGGAATTTTAATATAAAGAAAAATATAAAAGGAAATAGCAATAGTGATGTTTATCAGAATTTACTTTTAGTTTACATGAAAATTTGTTTAGTAACTTTTTAGATTAATATGAACATTCAAACAGGTGCAGTGGGGACTTTGTTTTTATATGTACAGATTATAGTGTCTTTATTATAGTATACCTATGCTACCTGTTTTTCTACAGTAAGCAATCATATTGAATACAATAGTATTCTGTCACTGTAATGTTATTGCATATTCTGATTGATTGATTATTTATCAATGAAATTTTATTGTGATAAGTTTTTACATATTACTCATGGACAAGCCCACAAAAATGTCTGTGCAATTGTACATGTCTATGATTTTGTTCAATTTATTTCATGTGAATTTCATACAGTTCTTTACAGTCCCTAGGGATACTTTTCAATAATACTCATTTCCTGTATTAATTTATATTCAACATTCCTGAAGTTTTAGCCATATATTTAGAGTTTAGACAGTTTTAGTTTTGTTATGCATCTCATTTTTTAGTTTCGATATACTTTATGTCAGATAGTAATTCAAACAAATGGCTTTATTATGGAATAGTAACTGATGTCTCGAGAGCCAATATAGAATTATATAATCATACTAATTATTCTAACTTTTGTAAATTGTTCCCATAAGGTAGAAGGTGTAGATTTATAAGTCTGAAACATGTTTACGAACACTTTCCTTATTATTGTGCGCAGCACATTCTTGGCAAATATTTTTTTAATTTTCCTTTATTTTATAATTAGTAGAAACAATGTTTTCATATGTGGTACAATATAGCTAGTATATTTTATCAAAATTTCGTTTAAAAGATATTTATTTAATATGGCAAGTATAAAAAAACTAGTCTTAAGTATATATACTAACTAGGATGTAAGTCATTTAAGTGGGTACATACACAAATTACTTAAAAATGTTGTCTCAACACAGATTCTATTTTGTGACTTGGAATGTGGCGACAAAGAACCCTAGCCAGGATCTCAATGCTCTTTTGGACTTTCCATCACAGTTTGACAAGAATAAACCATTACCTGACTTTTATGTAATTGGGTAAGTATAGTATGTTAAACATTGTTTATCATGGTTGTTTACAATTTTGCAATAATATCCAGAGCTGACATAGAAGGATAATCATAACACATATCCTATTATGAAATTTGTATTATTCCCTATTAATAACAACAGTTCTCGTCTCTAGTTATGCCTTTAAATATTTACGTTTTATGTTTTCTTTCAGATTACAAGAAGTGAAATCACAGCCGCAAAATATGATTATGGATAACCTGTTCATAGATCCGTGGTCATCAGCATTCAATGCGATATTATGTCGCCGGAACTTTTTTATGGCGAAGAACATAAGACTACAGGGCATGCTGCTTTTAGTTTACACTCAAATGAAGCATTTAACACATCTTAGGGAAATTGAAGCACAATATACAAAAACTGGTTTAGGAGGAATGTGGGTAAGAAATAAGTATTTTCTGCTTATATTATTTCATTAGAGAGAGAGAGAGCATAAATAAATGAATACTATTTTAAAACTTAATAAGATCTACACATGTCTAAAAACAGCCTTCCTTAATATGATTAAATTTTCAAATCAAGGACTGTAAATTACTCGAGATATGTTTAGAATAAATTCGTCTGTATTGATGCCTATATTTAGCTTATAATTTGATATGAGACAGACCTATTTCAGCCACTAAGCAATTTGCTTTCTAAGACGTGTTTCCATACGCCGAAGATAAGTGAAATTACAGAATACCATTGTATGACATCTTTATAATCCGGAATGTACCTATGAGTACATTATAATACTACGAGTACTTGATTACAGTATTTTTGTAAGAAATTGATTCGTTGTCAAAAAATAATTAGACCACTAGGATTTAAGATTTTTTTATTAATTTTGTATAACATTTTTTTAGGGAAACAAGGGTGCAGTGAGTGTGAGATTCAATATATATGGATGTTCAGTATGTCTTCTAAATTGCCACCTTACAGCACATGAACATCTATTAGCGGATCGTATCAATGACTATAATACTATAATCAAACAACATACCTATCACGTTAAGGAAACTACAAACATTTTGTACCACGAGTGAGTATCTACAATTCATTATAATAGTAGAAGCAAATTGTTTTTCACAAAAGTATATTTATCGTGTCCGTTTAGAGTCTACTGTTTGTATAATAACAAGCTTCAAACGAGATGAACCAGTAACTAATTATCCGTACTAAACTATAAATGCGACGTGTATGTCTGTATATTGGTTTCATGACTAAATAGCTTAACGAATATTGAAATATTACTAGAGTGTATCCTGATAAGTACTTCTATTTACACTTTTTGTGACCGCCATAATTATTTTATACTATTGTTTCATAACGAATGCCAATATCGCATTAACTCAAATCGATCAAGCACGAAAATACGTGGTCGAATGTATTCTTATTCCGTCGCTAGAACCATTTGAATAAAGATTTACTCTGTTCAATCAATCAAGCAAATGTGTTGTTTAAACTGTTCGACCGACAATGAGACTCGACGGTAGTTGGCTTCTATTTTAAATGTGGATGAAGGAATATAAAATCTTTATCCTCCTTTAAAATACAAAGTCTTTTCTAGACTAATGGTTTTTATATACAGTTCTCTCACTACGCTCTAATAATAATATATAACACTATATTAAACGTCTTAAACGATTTATTATTATTTACACAATTACTAAAAATTAATCATATGATTGACAGTTACGTGTTTTGGTTCGGCGATCTGAACTTCCGTACAGACCATCCGTCCGGTAGCAGTCCTACATCGGAAGAGATCGTAGCGGCGCTTCAGAAGATAGAAAAGGATAAATATACGTCATTGCTGAAACACGATCAGTTGATAGCCGTTATGAAGGCAGATGAAGCGTTTTCAGAATTCACAGAACCTGATATACAATTTCCACCTACCTACAAATTCATGACTGGCACAGATGAATATGATTTGAAGTAAGTATTGTCTGTATAATTAATACATACTATTTTTAGTCCACGTTTAAGTAAGTAATTATAAGACAGTGTTTCAACTAAGAAAATAATCCATATTCATAATATTCATGTTATGCAATAAATGTTAAATATGTATTTTCCTTTAATATCATTTACGAAACCTAACTTAAATACATACAAATACATACCTGATTCAGATTAAGAAATGGAAAATTCATGTATTCTTTATTGTACTTTGAAATATAGTGAAAATCTTAATTATAAATAATGTGAACAAAGGTGGTATTATCTCTAAGAGAGATCTTTACCAGTCAATATGACACATTATAGCATGGCTAGTAATGATTCTTTAGAAACTAACAGTAGGTACAATGTTGAAATCCTAATTTTGTGATTTAAAATTCTTAGAAGTACCTATGTGTATCTTATTAGAAGTACGAGCGACATATTATGATACCTCGTAAAATCTGTGTTTATTTTTATGTATTTAGGTTATTTGCGAGGGGCAAATATGAGAGGGGCAGATGTTTTGTATTTTTTTTTACTAGGTAATGAAATAACGAAATTTTTATAACGCTGCTCATTCACACAAGTGCGCTCATTGTAAATAAAAAATATTGAATTTTCAGGAGAAAGCCTTCGTGGACTGATAGGATACTAAACAAAGTGATAGCCAACAACTATGAGAATTTAACTCTAAGGGCTGATTTAATATCATACCATCATATACCACATTATACTGTTAGCGACCACAAGCCAGTGGTAGCGCAATATAATATTAAGGTCAGTATCAATGTCTTATCAAGGTTCATTTACATTAATTAAAAAAATTAACATTGAATGTATGCTTTTCTATGTTGTAATAATTGCATTGCACAATTATAGTTGTATTGTAATATTAATTTAATTGTAATACTTTTAACTTGTTGCAATGCATGCCTTTGATTTCGTATTCGATCGAGGGGTCGAAATTACAGCTGACGGCCTAAACCGAGGTTCGAACCCCTAGCGGTGCCTCAGACTAAAGTCGTATTCGTCAGGTGGGAGTTGGCCTTCAACCGCTTCAGACTTATGTCTTTCTGCGGGTTTGGAGTGCCATCTGCACTCGCCCCTTATCGTCCGGCGAAGTTCTAAAAGACAGCTGCGGCAAACAGCATTAGTCAGAAAAAAAATATATATTATTGATTTTCAATCTTTCAATTTTGTTTGAAATAAACTGCGTTATGATGTGACAAAATTAAAATGGAACCAAAATGATGGTTTAACTATTGCATAAGTACTATTGCCTGAGAAAGAAATGTCAAACCTTTTTGTCAATTTTCAGATTTATAATTGTTCGTTTCGAATTGGTTTACATATAATTTTACCATATAAAAGACACAATAACCATCGAAGTAACTATATTTATCATCTATGTAAGGATGTCAGATTAGATATACACAAGACGCTGTGAACGCTTATCGTTTGTAGAGTGCGGTATCTATACCGTATTGAATTGATAACGAACTATACTTGACAACTGGCGATTATTAATAAAAGTGTAATGATTTATATATAGTCATGATAGGTAAATACTTAGGTACATTATAAGGAAGGCATTTGTTAATCTGGTTTAAATAATGTTTAAAATAGTTAGCAATGTCACCGTGACATATACAAATATTTTTATTTCCACGTATATTTCACGTGTCATATCCAATGTAAATGTATTGGTCAAGACAGCTTATCAGAAACTTACTCTGTTATTCGTAAATTTTGTTATCTTAACACCACTTTCAATGTACATGAATATGGACGGTATATGTTTGGAAAATGTTTTGATTATTATTTTATTTTTATCTTCTATATCATTGAGTTGAGAGAATTGTAGTGTATTTGAACACAGCTCGAGAAATATTGAACTTGGCAACAAATTTTTTTTGATCACTTTTTTAAATAGTAAATTCGTTAAAATAACATAACTTAGTCACGGAAAAACTCGTAGTAAAAATTAGTATAATGCTGGGTTTTTTAACTTCAGGCACTAACTTGAAGTGACAGGCGGTTATTGTACTTGATACTTAACTGTAATTTATTACGGGTATCTTTACAATTTTTTAAGGTTCAAGATGACATATATTACACTTCTAGATGATGTTATAGTAAAATCGAAGGAACTACGTTTTTTTTTGTAATAACATTTATGTAATCTCGCCTTTTTACATTAACATAAAAACGGTGCTTTTAACTTTGGTAACACTGCCTGTATTTTATATGTAGTTGTATCTTCCCTACTAATGTACACATTTAGAGCATGCTTAAAATATTTTGCACCTGCATGGTAGATTCGTCGTGGCTTCACTTCCTCCATCTTAAACGAGTCACCTAGAGCGTCTAGAACTGCAATCAGGATGCGTTCAGCTGCCGTCATCCCACCTTCGGCCGATGGTACAACTGTGTCTTTAGATGCAACTGATGGTCCTCTATTTGAGTCCGATTTTGCAGCTCAAGAAGCCCAGGTTTGTTACCATTGCATGTAATTTAGTAGATGGTTTCCTGCATTATATATAACGTAATGTAACAAATAATAGTAACCCCAGCTCAATTTTGTACAGCGTTATCTAGTCCCAAGCTTTGTCCAGCTTGTGTTATGGGTACTAAACAACATGCATAATATACATAGACATCCAGTCTAATACAAACAATAATACTCATGAATACAAATGTTTGTATCGTGCGAGGAATCAAACCTGCGACCGTTGCAAGAAAGGCGGTGTGCTAAACCGCTAGACCACCAAGGTCGTTTAACAGCTTAGCATACGACCTTGAAAACTATGTAATTTTTATCTAGTAAAGAAATTAATCTATTCTCATTTTAATCTATGATATTATGCTCTGGCTTTTTGTACGTGGCAAACTAGTTTTACTGACCAGTTTTGACATATTTGTAAAGTATCAGTGGACACTGTCCGATAGTCCCTAATAATGTATTTTATGACCGAAACAACTAAATTTAAATTAAAATTTTGCGGTTTAACTACTTGTAAATGAAATTCTGATTACTCCAAGTTCTAGCTTATATCAATTCTACAGTACATTCTAAACAATACTTTATTGTCGTGATTTTATTACAGGCCTTTGCAAATTATACCGAGAAGACTGTAGAGTTCGCACCGATCAGTCGAATCTGGTACATAGGTGATGCTGACTTCAGGACGCAGTGTACCCTTTCACATGATGTAGAGATCAATCCTAGCGATTGGATTGGGATTTATGATGTACGTAATTTTTAGCTTTAGTTTTTCAATTTCTTTTAAATTATAATAATATTTGAAAATAAGAATATCTAAAATAGATTTATCAAATATCTGGCGTTATGAATAATATGAGGTTTTTATGTTTGAATTGACAAAACAGTAACGAGTATACTAGTCGTAGTCTTTTGTCATGATTCTAGTTACCTCGAACCTTGAATATATGAATCGGAGCATTAACTGTATGTCAGTGTTTGCATATCCTAACTGCAGACAGGTGTGACAATAGTATACAGTTTGTAGTTTTCTGATGTAATATCTTAAATTGTATTCTTTACAGGCCGACTTTCACAATCTGGATGACTATATAGTGTACGAGTATTTGGCTAAACTGAGTCTGCCCCACGCTCATTCCACTGCAGGCCAGCCTAGGACCATCACATTAAGTTTCCCCGTCGGTAGCGGTGTTAGGACACCAGGATTTTACCGCTTTATATACTTCAGCCAGCCTAACAATGACGTGAGAAGTGTTTTGGGTAAGTTTGATTATTGCTGGTATCAGTGTGTTAGAAATATATTGTTCTTAAGGTAATTAATAATGATAATGTCTCAAGACAACAAACACAGCGCCATCTAATCCCAAGCTAAGCAGAGCTTATAATATGGGTACTAGACAACCGATATAAATACATTTTTTTTAGTAAATACATACATATAAAACACTCAAACCGTTAAAAACAATCCTACTCATATACGAATTTGTACGAAGTCTATCTTTACATAGCAACGTTTATTCAAAACAGCAACACGCAAGTTTATTTATCGTTATTTTTGTGTGAGGCTGCTATCGAATGAGTGACAGAATAAAAAAATGCTGTAGTCAAAAAACACTTTTGAATAGTGCTATTCAAAAGTGCTTATATGAGGTTTGAAAAAAGATAATTTCTATTTCTTTATTTCTACCTCAGTAAATTTATTTGTATACTTCTTATTGTGCTGATTATTCGTAGCAAAATTACTTTAATTACTGCGCAATTTGGTACCTACACTTTATATGCCATTTTATTTAACAGGTATTTCGGAACCTTTCGAGGTCAGTTCTAAAGAAGACAAGTTAGTATCGTTAGATAACTCGGAACCATCGCCAAGTACCTCGTCACCAGCGCAGCCCGGAGCTAACACCAACAATTCGGATATATTCACTGACTTTACCGGTCTCGATGTTGCAAAGCTGTCCCGCCATTTTGCAAATGATTTGAATATCGACTGACTAAAGAGTTACTTGCCAGGCTCACCGTCTGTTGGTAGACGGAAGGACAATGGACAAGTTTAAGTGTATGTACCATATTATATATATGTATGTATGTAAATATGTAGCAACTTTAGATACATAACTAAATAACCAATCATTAGAGATCATGGGCGCGTGACCTCCGTCAGTGTTAGAAAAAAACTATTACGCTTTATACATTTTTAAAATATCCTGCACAAAGGAAGAACTAAAAAATGCGACAGAATGCGCAAAAGTCGTCGCAACATTCCGGCAAATATATATTTAAATATATATATCTAGTTGTCATTGAAACGAAAGAAGTTTTTATTTCTTTTCATTCATTGAAACCGGACAATTTGTTTTATAATAATTGTTAATATCTTATGAATGGTTATTTGTATATGAGATTTGGTCGCTACGTACAGGCTCTAATTTATTCCGTACGATTTGTTATTGCAATAAGATAAGGCCATTTTTATGTGTTAAAACTTTAGTATTAATGCTGTTTGGTTGCGTGTATTTGTAAAGTATTTTTGTAAAGGACCTCGGTTATTTTGATAATCGAAAAATGCCTAGAATATTAATTTCGCTTTCTTTATGAAATTAGTAAAATTAATATTGTTTCGTACGTGCGTTGTACATAAATATGAGTTCAGATATTGGATTCTATCAAACAAATAAATATATAGGTATAAATTATATTAACCTTACGAAACGGCTATAATAGAAACATTTATGTACAGATCGTGTTGTGTTTAAAAATTTGTTACAAATATACGTTCGTCACAAAAATATATAATGTTAGTTAAGCTTTTACAAATGTAGGTGATACACGCTGTAGCTAAAAGCAACACATTATTAAAACAATGCCATACATGTTAGGTATGTTATTATTTCGTAAGTTACAACGCAAATCCATTTTATTGTCGCTTCAAACGGCAACTTATGATTAAATCGTCTACATTTACAACATTACTACAATAAACCTTAGCGTAATTAATATAAGGGTTAATATGCTGGTCATAAAATAAAAGAATCATGTTATTTTTATATATTATATTGGTAGTTTAAACACATGCACGGTACTTAATGACTTAGAGGCAATCTATAAATTACATCACATCAAAGTGAATAGTACAATTTGAAGTGAAGTAGACATGACTTTTGCAATGACATATCTAAAGTATTATATGAGTAATATCGACTGTATATAACATTATTACTTAAAAATGGAAAGTGAAGTAAACGTTAGTTACAACTAGGACTAAGAAAATATATGTACTGTTTTAATTAAACTACACTAACTCATTATTCTCACTCAACTCATGGTTGATCACTTTAATTAAAATTAAATGTATTATATATTTTATAAGCCATATTCGCATTACTGTGTTGTTAATTTTCATAAACTGCCATTATGTTATTCTTCAATATACCTATATACATACTGACCACTAATGTGATCGTAGTATATGCCCAATAACTTGTGCTGTTGTTTTAAAAATTATATATATATCTGTGAAATGAATCTAGACAGTACAAAATAAAGTTCGTTATTGCATGTATTTCATCTATTCGATTCAATTTTGATCTGTTAGCCTGATGCGCTAATACCATATAATTATTTGATACAGACGAAATTTACACATTATTTATATAGTTAAACGGGTTACCACCATTAATTTTATGGTAAATAAAGGTATGTATGTATGCACCTCTTCGACTAGGTATCACTAGTAATGGTCACGAACTGACTCAGACTAGTCAGCTTATTCGTGGTAAAACCCGTTTAACTATAATAATAATGTGTAACACAATGTACATTTAAAAAGAAGTAATTTACACATGTTTTGAAATATATGACATTATTTATATTGACTAAATCTTAAACTGGATCTTTAAAATTATTTACCATAAAAAGATTCATGTTAAGACCCGGTTAACAATATAAACAATGCGTATTACATAATAACACGAATTGTATATAAAACCAATGGGCTTAATATACCTTTTCATGTCTAATATTGAACAATGAAGATGTGTTTTGTAGGTTTAAAGTATATGAACATTTAATATTGCATCACACTCACATTTGCTTGGCAATAACATTGACATTCATACGTTAAATGTCAAGTAAAAGTGAATAGGGCAAGGTGTAAGTGTTGCTACGGAACCCTTTACGTTGGATATGTTAATTTGTTAAGTAAATATACTTGCGGCACATTTACACAGCAAGTTATCATATTGTATGTAATATGTGCCGAAATGTATTACTATATACTGTTTAAATACTGTACATGATGCACTATGTAATATGTAAATACAAATTTGTTAATGATAATGTAATATTTGTATTAATACGTTCCTTACATATAAAGATAATACAGTAAATACCTGATGTTGTTGCTACATTCAAAATATAGATTATACATATTTATTTTTAATTGAAGCGTACAGTTTTTTTCTCAACAAGTAATTAGTTAACGACTATTTGAAAAATATAGTGATAATGGTAATGCAAAGTAATTTAAGTGCGTACCTGATTAACTTGATGAGATTCACTAAACGTCTATTTTCGTAGAAAAATAATTTAAGTAGAATTTAGATATTTTTTTTTCTCTGTGAGCACAACTCATTCTTTTGTTACTATTTTTTTGAGAATAGTCTTATTAGAGTAAACTTAAAATAACAAAATTTTTAAAATTAGGTTACTTATGCGATACAGGCGCATGGACATTTCATTCGACATTAATAATGAAATTAAATCACAAATATTTATTTTAATTATTTTATTGCAATATTTAAATTCATCTATATATTGAATTTGGCGATCTATATTACACTTAATTCAGTAGGAAGTAGAGTTAGTGTTTGTACTTTAATATTATCTGTATATCACAATAATGGACCAAACTTCCACTAGGGCATCACAATGCTTATGTAGATAAGCTATATGTAGAGATAAATTTGTATTATAGTTGGCTTATGCTAAATTATTGTGTCCTAAATATGTATTTACGAAAAAAAATCAAAAGCAATTTTCTTATCTTGTCCATTAGGGTTTACATTACCGTTGAACATTCCAGATACCTATTTAAAGGTATGATTAATGATTCTTTCCTAAACTGTTTTGTTCTTCAAGTTTCATTGAACCCGTTATTAATGCAAGTAGATTAAAAAATACATCAGTTCACTATGTAAATAAAATAAGAATTTTCTTTGAGTGATTATATTAGTACAATGTGTTTTTTATAGTGCAATTGGTAGGATAGTTATATGTATAATAATATAAAGAGCTTGCCACTTGTAAACAAATGTGTAGATAACAAGACGTTGCTTATAATATAGGTACTTTTTATATTGATATAAAAAATGTATTGCCTTTAGAGATTGGTTTGGTATAACCTTTGGTATAACATGCGTATTTGGTAATTCTTTGGCTTATTCTAGGAAGACTAAAGTGTTACTTGCGACACGTGTCGATATCTGAAGTCTCGTCACCTGGAGCGTCGTACGTATGTTACATATATATTTATAACTCATAAGATCGTTTAGTAATGTTGGTAGAAAGTCGTAGCTGCAGGTAATGGTGATTTTACGACCGTCTGTGAGTCGATGTAATTATTGTCATGCTGTTTTGTTAATGTCTATATTATCATGTTATCGTTTGTGTTAAATATATCCATAAAATTCTATACTCTAAAATTCAGAACTAATATAGTTTAGAAAACTGCTTTGTACGTCTATTTCGATGAGTTATTTACTAAATCCAAACGAAATAATCGTATTTTTCTCTCTCTCTAAAATCAAAGCAATGTGTTAATAGTTTTTTTAAAATGAGATTACCAACCTGTATTTGAATCAATAAAATATTATCAAAGGTCAATCGGTCTTTGCATAAGTCAAACGCTGAGATGTACCATATTATTTATGGCGCCGTGATTCATTTTCTGTTTACTACGATTTACTATAAAATAAGGGATGTTCTTTATTTTGAAATCTTTGTATTTGAATGTGTAATATTTTGTACCTAGCATGGCTATTTAGAATAGATAAATGTTATATTTCATTGTTAAATTGCTTATTGAGAAAGAAATCGGTTTATGGAAGTGAATTAAAATAATTGGCGTTTATGGTTAAGACTTATTAGGATAAATTGGTTTTATTTGTACAATTTTAAAAGTAATCCTAATAATGGATTTCTAGATGTCTTTTGACGGGACCCTAACTTGTAACTTGCAATATAATAGTAATATATTAAAAATTTTATTATTACAATAAATAATTATGCTTACCATGTCAAAACGTGTACTTAAATGCTAGTGAGAATCAATGCACAGTTGATTAGTTATATTTTATATATCTACTATTATAAAATTAAGTATCATGAGATTTTCGAAAAACTACAAATGCCAAAATTACATTTTTCTATTATTTTCTTTTTGTAAATGTCCATATCCTCTCTAAAATTATAAATGATTGTGGTTACCCTGAGCATGATCCTGTGAGAGGCATTTACGTTCAGTAAGGACTACATTAACTTAAACAAATGTCAACCACAGGCACTATTTTCTACACTTATTTTTTCCAGTATATCAATTTATAATTGTTTTATGAAAAAACGTCAATTGTATGATTATCAAGTTAATCGTATAATAACAATAATTTGTTGTTATTTTTATAACTTAGGGACTAAACAAGCATCACTATACCGTCATCATTATATTTAATCATTATCTATTGATTATATTTTGTCTTTAAGACCAATGGAAGTATTAAGTAAAGGTTTTGTAATGGTGGGAGGCTAGTTATTTATTTTGGGCTCAAAAATGGTATAGAAGACAATAATTGTAGTTAGTGTAGTGTTGTGATATATTTACTATTGGTGTTGTATTGTAATGAGATTCAAGTAGACCAATATTACTAAAGCCGAATTCAAGGTAAAGTTTTACGAGGTTTACGAGTCCATGTATAAAAAATATAAAATCTTGTAGTTACATATATTTAGAAAAATAAAGAAAAACATAAAACATTACAAACTACTCATAACTGTTTAAATTATTTTGTAATGGAAAAAATCAATAACAATAGTTATTAACTAAATGAAGGCCAAACCCAATCACAATAAAATAAGACAGGCTTACAATTAGAGAATAACACCAAATGCTCATTAGTATGAATAAAATAATAGCTAAATTGTTACAAGGACGATAATGCCGGTCGTCTTTATTCTTTGATTTAAATTAATTATCTTTCTAATTATTATACATGTATATAACAAACAAAAATGATAAAACCACCGATTTGCATGTGATTCATATATATTTATCGTTCAATCTAAACTCAGTAGGTAATTTAATTAAAACTTTTGTGACTACATTTGTTTTTGTATATTATTTTACACCAAATATTGTTACAAATTAATACTAATTTATATATTGTTGATTTTAAATAACTGTCACGTTGCTACAGTAATTAATTACATTACAGACATTCAGTTAGTCATCAGTTTTCTAAAAATTTTTAAGTATGTTATTTTTAAATAAGTAATTTTTTTGACAATCAGAATTATGTTTTACTCAATACCGTTACTATACATAAAACTTAGTAAACGGTAAAACTCTTCCCGCCTCCACGCGTTTAAAAAAGAAACCCATAGCAAAACTTATTCATAATTAGTAATCCCTATATTTCAAATCAAATCTACATAAAATATGGCTACACATTTTTGCGACAGAATATTTTTTTTTTTTAAAAGAGACAGTATGCGTTTCTGTGAATGATAGGTATATCAATAAAAAATCTATATATATTATATATTTGATACAATAAATTTTGTAATAATGTATGTGACTAACATACTTTGTAAAAGTATTCAATAGTAGGTAGTAGGTAAATAGCTGTTAGACTTGTACCGATTATTTAACTTCAATCTGTTGCTCTACCATTTTGAAATAAATACCACACAAAGAGTATTTAAAATAAACTCATTTATCTATTTTTCAACCTAGGTCTCTTACGAGGTAGACACAGAGAACCGAGTGCCATTGCCTTAATTAAAATAAAGAAAAATCTTTCCTTACACACGAAAACGAAAATATGTACTTTGGTCATCTGCGACCTTTTGCAACACTTCTTCCTACTAAGGGCGGCCTCCAGCCCGTATTTGATTCGGGAAATGGCCGCCCTCCGTGAATCTGGATAGCGCTCTAAATTTGGAAAGTCGCTTGTATTACAATATTGTAAGAACATCTTGGAGGCGGTGACTTACAGTATGAATTACTTATATTCCCTAAATTATATTTTTTCTAATATAGCTACAATTATTTTTTATTGCATTTTGTTTCTTAATTATTTACTACTCATTAAATTCAATGTAACAATGCATTATAATTTTGATATTTGGCACATCTATATTGAGTACTTAAAATTCTTAGTTTTATTTGTATTAATTGTAATAAACTACAATACTAAATAAAACTGTTTCGTAAATATTTTTTTTGTTATATCTCTAATTGGTTTATATATTTATTGTTGTTGTATTATCTACCTATACTTGCCAATTTAGCAAAATTTATGTTAATAACAAAGTTTGTATTATGAGTAAACTATAGAATAAAGGTGAAGATGATCAACGATGTACCTAAATTGTTACTGTTTTAATTAACGATGTTGTATACAGAATGGAAATTATAGCGAGTTATTAGGTTATTACTTCATTAATTGAAACATCAGAAAATAACAATTTAATTATTTTCTACAATTAATTTATACCGCAAAAGTATAATCAGCCTTTCTTTTGCACCGTTTTTATTTCTCTGCTGAAATGTACAGATTTTTTACTTTACGTAAAACTGTTATTTCAATATTACCACATAGATAATGGGAGTGCCCTATTTTTAATAAATCTTCACTGACGTTGTGTATAATAATGTAATATATACATATATGCAATAGAAAATATATACTTTAACGAGTACTATATTATGTTTGTAATTTATTTTCGTGTCCGTAGGTATTTATTTCTATAAGTATGTTATAAAGGCATTAAAGTTTATGCACGTATTATTACCACATTACAAGATAAGTATTTTAACGTTTCAAGTGCTGAAATGTACAGATTTTTTACTTACGCACTTCACTGACGTTGTGTATAATAATGTAATATATACATATATGCAATATAAATTACGCACTTCACTGACGTTGTGTATAATAATGTAATATATACATATATGCAATAGAAAATATATACTTTAACGAGTACTATATTATGTTTGTAATTTATTTTCGTGTCCGTAGGTATTTATTTCTATAAGTATGATATAAAGGCATTAAAGTTTATGCACGTATTTTTGTTAAATGATATTTTTGTTTCTATTTATCGTTTCTTTGTTACACTATTTACAAACTGCACTATGGTGATAAATGACGAACCTTAAAATAATAATTTCTGAACAATATTTTGATTATTTATCAGTTTTAAAGATACTGCATCATTTTTATGCCTAATGTTTCCATTCTGTACAAGACTATAATGGCACTATTTTACGTATCACTGGATGTATTGTTATATATTAAGCATTTGTTGTACCTATATAGTAACTGTGCAATAATTAAACAAACACCGATGAGTTCAGATTTGTAGTACAAAACGATAATTTGTAGTTGTCACGACAGTTGTGTTAATTTATGCGAATAGATTTTATTTAGTTGGAAACTTTGTTTTATTTATATTATTATGTATCCTTCGCGATTAGTATTAGAATACATATAAATATTTTATCACTAATGCATATCCGATGTTATCAACAGGCAGGTAATAGTCGTTGATGTCGATTGTGTGTTGTTCCTCAAGCTCGTAGCTGTAGCGTTATCGGAAAACGCGGGAAAATTGTCGGCGGCCGCTAGCAGATCAGTTGGCTCGCACCCGTCGTGAGAGATGGACCGTTCGTTGCGTTCGTTTGTCGTAGCGCTCGTCGCGATCGCGTTCACGACCACGCGTGCCTATATTCCCTCCCACGACAATATACTCAGAATACAATTGTGGGATGCTGAGGGCCTGAGTAGAGACCCTATAACCACCCAACCTCCGTCTACTACCACTCAAACCCCAAACCATAAACTGAAAGTCAGTTTGGATTCGCTGAACAACGCGATGTTGGAGGAAGAGTATGGAAGCGGTTTCGGGAGGTTCATTAGACACAAAGTGAGACATAAGAGGAGAAGACCCCGGGAGAGTGGTACTGATCTTCCGTGGAGGTTCCACTCGGGTAGTGGATTGGTGAATGTGCAGATATATAATGACGATGTGCCGTGGGATGAAATCGAGGGGGCTGGACACGGCGTGAATGTCAGTGTAGTGAGTGAGAGTGCGTATCCCGTTGTGGAGGAGGTACGGGACGTAAGCCCGCCGATGAACCTGCAGCAACTCGAGGACGAGGTAATTAGTGAGGACAAACAAACTGCACAACAGCTCCTTTCAACGTTATCGTCGCCCGAGGTGGTTAATAGCCATTCACTGAACTGATAGCCTGCCGGCGTTGCCTGGGGAATCCTATTCACGGTACCTTTTCAGAATTTCCCCTCGGGCGACGATGCGTTGATAAAAGTGAATGCCCTTCATTGTTTTAAAAATATTTTCGCGCCGGCTGTATGTAGATCGTATCATAAGACTGCGACACGACACGGAAGGAGCAAAATATTTTCCACAGCGATTTGGCTTTCATCGTCCCTTATCAGAGAGATAATTTTACCAACTCGTTGATTATTGGCATTATGTCGGTCATATTTATTTTGTCATACACTACACCTATGTTGATACTACACATTATCACGTTATCAAACGACCATTAATGTAAATCTCCACAAACAAGTAGTTTAAGTACTTAAACTATTACGAAATGATATTAGAATATTATGTGAACTAGTAAAATTTACTACATACATACATATATTATACCTATCTATTTTATTTCTTATCAGTTATCAGTTACCGTCTAGCTATCAACATCTAGATATTGTTGATGATTCAGATAGTTACTCGTATATGAGAAGTTCATCATGTAAACGGTGTCCTATACTTTATTTACCTAAAATACCCATTTATTTCTGTTATACATATAGATTATTTGTCACTTTAGGAGATTAGGACAATATATTAATTATATTTGTATACAATGCCGTGATTATGATATCAACAATGATAACCACTATCTGGTACGTTCCTAAAAGATGGTACTGAGGTTAAAGTTTTCGTGGTTTACTGGTTTGGATTTTAGGGATTGAACCAGCTTCGTTTCCTAAAGGCAGAATGTATTTCAATGAGAATTTTTATTTTATTCCAATATATATTTGTTTATAGAAAATTCTGTAATCACTCGATAAAAAGTTTTTGATTTAGGATTTATGAGTCTAGAATTTTTACAAACTATGCTAAGTAGCTATTGTAAACTGTGGTATGAATCATGACTTTTTAAATTTAAGATCAAAGCATACAGAAAGTGGCGGGATCTTGTTTCATACTATATACCATACATACTATATAAAGATAAGAATAAGAAATATTAGTGATATAATATTTATTACTAGGTTAGTACAATATATTATCAATATGTCTATAGGTACCTGATATAATTTTTATCATTTATTATGCGACCTGAGTACAGTATTGTTAATACTCAATAGGTATAAAATTCTGAAGTAGCAGAGTCGAATTAATATTTGAACCTTTTTACAATTTGAGATAATAAGGTTCAAATTAATTTTTGTATACCTACCTAATTGAAAAGGAATACTCATTCTTTATCTCAATAGGTATAGTGTGATTAATTTCATTACCATTGTAGTAAAACTCAACATTGACTAATGTTGATACTAATAATCTGAATGTCACAAAATGTATAATTTACATAAATGATAACAAACCCAATAAAATTAATTCTAAAGACGGCAACAGGCTTGATCTCTACTTTAACGAGAATATTTTAATACAACGTAATCCACCACATTGAATTAAGATGTCGACGTGTTAAGTGTTCACCATATCGCACTGTTAAGGTGAAAAATTTAAGAAGATTGTAATTCGAATTAATTTTGATAATTTTTGTAATCAATGCTTAGTCTGTTTCTTTTAAACAACATACATCTACTAGCATATAGGTTGGACTGCCAACCCCAAGTTTAAATAACCAGGTATTGAAGATGGAAACGCCAGGACAATCCAGTTTAAAAACAGGACATTACAGCAGTTATTGGTGAAATGAATATCAAGTAATTAAAATAATCATATTTTTAATAAAAGTATTTGAATAAAATTGTACGTTTCGAAAACTAGCTTTTAAAAGAGGAGCGCGAATTTTAAAATTTAAGAATCCTGGACCTTGTTTAAAATCATTTAGGAGACACTACAAATACTAGGACATATGTTGGGAAGACAGGTCAATTGGTTACTCTAATATACGATGTCAACAATTATTAACGTATACATCATTTATCTAATGTAGTATGAAACAGTACACAAAAATAACAATATCGTGTATTTGTATACCCGTAAACAAAGTTATTGGTTTGGTTTCATCGTCCGTCCTGGAAATTTGACCTGAGGAGCCGATATAGCCAAGCCCCGTAAACGTCCGGAAACTAAAGTCGACAATGATGAATTGGTACCAATAGTGGATTAATCTCAAACTAAGTCAGATATAGAATGAGAATATTATAACAATACGACAAGTTTTGTACAGTATTTGTACAATAAATAATTGTGACCGCGTATTTAAACGAAATTGGATCAGTGATAGTTTGTACTTATTTAATTATTAAGTAAATAAGATACTTAATATCATCCGTTCATTTCATGAGTCTACCTCTCTATATTTAGGTGACCAATTGATACCAGTTATTTCGTCGAAATTTCTTGTTACTGCGTTTATTAACTACGTACCTATATACTTATATGATGATGAATTTGACCTTATCGATCAACATATATCGTTTCAATGATGTATAGCGGAGAACCAATTTAGCATCATATTAAAACCAATTTGAAATCAATACGTCTACTATTATTTTTCCTGGAATATTGTGAGTATCGTATCGTTTATGTTACAGGCGTATTTTTTTAAAATATAATTCACAGGAAATAATAATTCTGACAGACGGAGATCGCTCTATCGATTTTTAACATAGTTCCGGTGGAAATAAATATTGTATATTTTGCAATAAACGAATATTATTATGAATATCTTTTATACCTACATGGTAGTTTCCCACTTTCCTTCAGGATCACATTCTTGATAATATACTTCTTGGTAACTACCCCATCCGGGCTAACATAAGTTGCTACATTATTAGGCTGTAAAGTAATATTTTTTTTAGTTTTTATAAATCGGCGTAATTTGAAAAGTAGATAATTATTAAGTTATAAATTACTTTTCATCGGCTCTATTTATTTCACACATATTGGCTGAAACGTGGTCAAGTCGAGGGTTCCTTGTACCACAACATTTTCCGACAATCCGTATGTAGTGTTGTAATGTATTGTTTGGGATTGTAATGTAGTATCCACATAATGTAACAGTTGTCTTAATAGATATATTTACTAATATTACTCACCCAATGGTCGAAATTCTATCATAATTATTTAAATTATAAGTTCGAACATCATCATGGTTCTATTGTCAAAGACTTCTATGCGTCTGTGTGTCAAATACATTATAGTGTGTGTAATTTTGATTTATTAATTTAATTTGTATTTTTTATATATAATTAAAATATAAACTATATATATATATATATAACTAACTTTGTCTATATAAACAATGTGGCGAATTTCATACTCTTTCATCCGCGCAATTTTTGTAATAAAAAGGGGCAATTTTTTCCTTACCTATAAAACTTACTTACACGGATAAATATTTGGCTATCTTTAATAATAGCTTGCTAAAGCTATGATGATTGTAGCATGTGTATTTGAATAGTTAATATTTAGAACAGTGTATATATGTCTTCTGATGAATATTCTCTCTTACCACTATAAATTTTCTAATCTATCCTGGCCTTAAATTGCCAATAAACTCAATAACGAACTTCGTCACGTACCTATCTAGTAACTGGGTATTCATTCACCTATCGCAGTGACCGCGGCACGCCCTCCGCCCGCAGGTAGTGACGAGAGCTAATCAACCGGATATTTTACGCAAATCGATATCCGAACTGGTGTCCATCCATATGTAGCTACACTAATTGTGTCTGATTGATTTTCACCGAATAGCTAAGTCTAGTGGATATTATTGTCTGCTATAATATTTGAATTTAATGTTAGTCTTGAACCGGCTGTTGCCAGCCTGATTTTGATTTTGAAGAGTCTAAATGCAGTATGAGTTCGACTCCTGGTAGTGGATACAGGAATCAAACAGCCCAGATCACGGCAGTATGATGCTCGTCGGCACATGCTCGTCGTCATATATCAAGCTGTAGTCTCTATGAAAATGCTCTTCCATAGAACATACACAAAATATTTTTTATAAAGTACAAACTGTTACCTGTCAGTTCATCCGCTTCTTTTGAGATAGAAAAGTCGCCTATGTCTGTCGTAGTGATATCATCTATCTTCACGTCAAATTTAATTAAAATTCTTTCAGCTGTTTAATGTAACGTGTCGTGACGTGACTTGTACCTATAAAAAACAGACATACCGATACACTTTCGCATTTCTAATATTAGTATGGTTCATTGTAGGTATTAAATATACTTATATTCAATGTGACGTGAAATAGGATCGTTCATCGTATTTGTACCTTTATCTTCATTACCGACATTATTACACGAATTTACGAGTCGAAAAAAATATAATTTCTTTGCGTGACACAAAGCCCATGATTATGACTCATGAAATTCACTTCGCATTTCAATTTGGTGTTTGAACTTTTTCGCGTAAAAGACCATTATACTTAATTATCTCTTAAAATTCTTTATTATGACGCGCGTGCAAATCATTATGGAAAGTAAGAAAATCGTAACTGGAGCTTGATAATGATCCCCTTTGGAATAGAACTGTAAAAAGGAGGGTTGGTTTTAGTGTATCAAACATCTGCTTTTGAAATAGGGCGAACCAAAATAATTATCTGTACGCGGCGCCGTCCCCTAATCATAAAGAGCGACGAAGCGAATTCTTCAGCAAAAATCGATAGCTTTATTCAGTGATCGCCTGAGTATATATATTAATACCTTTTATTTCCTGTAAATAATGTACCAATCGTGTTGTAGGTTTTAGTACCTAGTGCCTATTTACTTTGAAACATTACTCAATTTCGTTAGACTTACTCACATAATGTAAAATTTATTTATTTGAATGAACCAGCTAAGCCCTTTGATTTCGAACCCGCATAACCTATTTGCTTGTAAATTAATAGGAATAATACAATACGTTAATTTTTAGTGATC